ACGCTGGTCTACTCCACCCTTGCTAGTGGTTTCCAGGATCTTGCACACATCAGTGTCAAACTGTGACCACACTGACTGGCTCTTAGCTGGAGGCCATTTGATCCGCTTCTGTTGGATTATTTTGCAGGGATTGGAAGGCTCTACTGCTTGGAGGGACTGGGCTCTGTGGGGCTCCTCCTGGCCGGGCTCCTCCTGCGTCTCACCAGGATCATATCCTGTGCGTTGCAGTATGTTCTCCTTCTCCCTGCATTTCATCCTAGCCAGATGTATTTTTAGGCCGTGTGTGTTCTTGCACACTTTTCCGCAGATGCATCTTGGATTCGTGGTCGTGTTTCCGTTTGCATGGTTCGATACCGTTGAGTCCGTTGGTTAGGGGTTCTCATTCTCCCCCCCTCTCGGGCTCCCCTGGGGGTATTTCTCAGAAGGCTTCTTCGTAGCAGTTTTGGGTTTCTCCCTCACGGAAGACACAGGTTGGGGTGCTAGCCCTTCCTGTCCTGGGTGCCGTCTTTCCGAGCTGTCAATTGTCTTTCCAATCGTCATCAAACTGTCCTTGGTTGCCACCCAGTCTATTCCTGGGTGTCACTGGCTGAACCAGCTTCAAAGGTGAGAGATACATCCTGCGGATGCGCTGGGACACATCATCAGTGATGTTGTTTCCTGGCCTCATCGGGGGTTTCGGGTCTTTCAGCATCAGACACCCTCAGCCCAGGCGACCCGGCCGGGGTGATCAATCCCCGGCCTGTGTCCCAGCAGCGTTTGCCCACGGTTCTGCCCTCTTAATCCAAAGCCATCTCGTGGCTTTCTCTGCGGCTTCAGTTGCGGATCTGATGGCCTTCCGTTTTGCCTCCCCGACAAGTCCTAGCTGGGTGAACACTCTGCAGAGTGACCGTCCGGCGAATCCCCGACAACCCACCTCCACAGGCTCACAGGTTGTTTTCCAGCCTTTGCCCCTTACACTCTTCCACCAGTTCCTGGTACTTGGCCCGTTTCCTCTCATTAGCCTCATCCATGCGTTCTTCCCATGGCACAGTAAGCTCCAGAATGATCAGCTGCTTGGTGGAGTCTGAGACAATGACCATGTCTGGGCGGAGCCTGGTTGATGTAATCCTTGAGGGGAACTTCAGTTGCCTGCCCAGGTCCACTTCCAGTTGCCAGTCGTTGGCGGAGGTGAGGAGGCCGGACTTTGCCCATGGTGGTATGTTGGGCTTTTCTCCAGCTGTGGAATGTGATGGTCTTTGGCTTGTGGTGGCCTCTGCTGGTGTTGATGGCGGTGGCGATACTGTCAGCAACTGCCCTAAGCACCTGGTCGTGACGCCAGTGATAGCGCCCGTCTCCAAGAGCTTTTGGGCAGCTGCTTAGTATGTGTTCCAGGGAGCCCCGTCCTGAGCAGCGTGGGCAGGATGGTGTCTCTGTTTTACCCCAGACATGGAGGTTTGCTGGGCTTGGAAGGACATCATACACAGCCTGGACTAAGAACCTGATTCAATGAAAGTCTGCTTTCCAGATGTTGGACCAGGTGATTTTCCGTTGCAGAACATTCTCCCATTTAGTCCATGCTCCTTGCTGCCCCATTCCCACCATCCTGCTAGCTCGTGCTTCCTCCACACCTGCCTGTACTTCTTCCTGGATCAGCTGACGACGCTCCTTGCCCTGGGCCTTGTCAACTTTGGTTGAAGGAAAGTAGCCAATGCCTGCACGCCCAATTGCTATGGACCCCACCAGTGCCCTCTGCCGCAGACGTGACTCAGCCACATCTATTGCTTTTCCTGCGTTCCGTTTCCTGCCTGTTTTCACCTGGATCCCAGCTGCTGCCACCTTTGGATCTCTGGATTCTCTGTATTGCAGTACTTCTCGTGTTCTGGACACCATGAACTGGTGTGAACTAAGAAATGACAGGGAAGGTAGAAGCGGGGGAGGAGTGGCCACATTCATTAAAAGAGGAGTCCTAGAGGAGTCCACATTCATTAAAAGAGGAGTCCAATTATAGGTTGAAAAAAGCAAGTGATGAACATGAGTCAATAGTAATACGGATATGGACAGAAAATAATAATGTGACAATAATAAATTATTATAATCCAGGGAATAGACTGTCCAGGGAGGTACCATAGACTGTATATAAGATGGACACCGTGGTTCCGCCTTCCGCCTGTATACGGATTTGAAGCCAAAAAGCTCTCGGTAATTCCGGGTTTTTCTCCACTTCCTTGAAAGCGTTGTGCGCATTCGGCCGCGCAGTCGCCGAGAGTCCCTGTGATGACGCTCGGGTCAAACAGCGTATTCCCCCGGAAGAGCTACGCAATCCCTGAACGCCCATAGGCTGTACCAGGTGTCAATCATAGAAAACATGAACCCCCTAATAACTTTTAAAAACGGAGCTGTACAGAAAAAAAAGGACTTGGGCACAAACCAGTCTGACAGTAACTATATGTCAACATCACAAGCAGGGGGGAGAAAAAATTATGTTCTGTGTAATAAATTTCTAAAGTTTGTCCACAGTCCCATAAGCTTTGCTGTCGGAGGCGGGATTTATGACCTGTACTGCAGCCCACCATCAGAGGGTGCTGTTCTCGGAGTGGCTTCACCCAGCGAGGAGGCAGACTCTGTCCATCTTATATACAGTCTATGGGAGGTACTTAATGAAGCAGGGGGACAGGTGGCGGGGAGGGTAGTATGGTGCGGAGATTTTAATGCACACAATACTTTATGGGGGAGCATGACTACAGATTTCAATGGGAAGATAATAGAAGAATTCATAGATGACTGTGAGATGGTGTGTGTTAATGACGGCAGGGGCACTCGATACAACACCTCGAGAAATACTGAAAGTGTAATAGATCTCACTCTAATGTCGGCTGGGATGGCGGGAATTAGTACATGGGAAGTACTACAATATACAACTATGGGGAGTGATCACTATCCAATAGTCTGCAGAATTGGAGTTAGCCCAATACAGGATAGCGAGGAAAGACCGCCAAAGTGGAAGTTAGAAAGTGCTAATTGGGAAAGATTCCGGGACATCAGTGAGAGTACATTTAGGGAAATAGATGAAGAAAGTATAGCGAGTGAGGAGGAGTTTAATGAGAGAGTGGTGGGAGCAATAAGGATAGCAGCAGAAAGATCAATTCCGCAAGTAAAGGGAAAGGAAATCTCACTCTAAGCTTAGTTCAAAACTTGAGAGCCCTGAGATAGGACGAGAAACAAAATTGACAGATATATGGGAATGATTAGGAAAATGAGTGGAATTAAAACAAATTGTGAAATCCCAGGGCTACGGGTCGATAACCAAGTGGTAGTGGGGAATGACAGAGCGGAGGTTCTTGCAGAGGCATTTGTCAAGGTGCATAGTTCTGCAAACCTAACTCTGAATGCTAAAAGTAACAGGGAAACGATGATAGGAAAAAACAAGGGTATTAGGGGTAAAAAAACAATATCTAGGGAGGGAATAAATGTGCCATTTAGTATGTTTGAGATAAAGAAAGCAATAGCTAAAGCAAAGCAGATGACACCAGGTAAGGATGGAATCTGTTATGGAATGTTGGCACAGATGAGTGACAGAGCCCTCAAAATTGTATTAAACTTGTATAATAAAGTGTGGGAGTCAGGTAAAATCCCAACCAAGTGGAAGGAGTCAGTTATAGTTCCTATACTAAAGCCAGGGAAAGATCAGTCAGACCCAGCTAGTTATAGGCCCATTGCACTAACGTCTCAGCTGGGGAAAATAATGGAGTGAATGGTTATGGAATTGTTAAATTACTATTTAGAGAGCAAAAACCTCATGTCAACGTATCAAAGTGGTTTTCGCAAAGGAAGAGGGACTATGGATAATATATTAGTGTTAGAATCAGAGATTAGGAAAGCTCAAGCTAATAAGGAAATAGTTCTAGCAGTCTTTTTTGACGTAGAGAAGGCATATGATATGCTGTGGAAGGAAGGTCTCCTTATTAAAATGAACAAAGTGGGAATCACAGGAAATATGTACATTGGGTATTGAGTTTTTTGTTTGATCGGAAGATTGAGGTAAGGATGGGCACTTACTACTCCAGACAGTACAGTGTAGAGAATGGGACGCCCCAAGGAAGTGTGTGCAGTCCAACTTTGTTTAACATTATGATAAATTATATCTTTGAGCAACTCCAACCAAGTGTAGGGAAGTCATTATATGCGGATGATGGGGCCTTGTGGACTAGGGGGCGCAATTTACAATATCTACGGCAGAAACTGCAATGTGCGATTGGGAGAGTGGAACAGTGGGCGGACAATTGGGGATTTTAATTCTCAGTGAGCAAGACACAGACAATATGCTTTGCAAGAAGACATAAGTAAATGGAATTATATCTGTATGGCCAAAAAACAGAACAGGTCGGAGAAATAAGATTTTTGGGATTGTGGCTAGATGAAAAATTAATATGGAGACAGCATATAGACAGGCTTGTTAACAAATGTAAAAAAGTGAATAATTTATTAAAATGTGTATCGGGAAGGGACTGGGGAGCATCAAGAATGTCACTGTTAGGTATATACCAAGCTGTGATGAGAGCTGCATTCGACTATGGGTGCATAGCATATATGTCAGCTGCAGACACTCACTTGAAGAAATTAGAGGTGCAGCAGGCACAAGGACTGAGAATATGTTGTGGGGCATATAAAACCTCCCCAGTAGCAGCTATACAGGTTGAAACAGGAGAACAGCCACTGAGAATTAGAAGAATGAAAATTATGTTGGCATACTGGATTAATATAAAGGGGCACAGGGAGGATCACCCCACGAAGAGTACCCTGAGGGACTGTTGGGAATATGGAAACAGTAGTGCAGACAGTTTTGGTAGAATTGGGAATGAAGTTGCGGAAAGGGTGGGTTTAAATCGGTTCCAGTGTCAAGGATTCCCCTATGGCTTTTTGTAATGCCAGAAGTGGATTTTGAGATCAAAAAACTTCTTAAGGCAGTGAAGAGACAAAGTACAGCTGGGTTTGTAGCCTCGGAATATTTGAAAGAGAGATACGGCAATACTCAAATAGTATTCACAGATGGATCAAAAGACCCAGATACTGGCCGAACTGGGGCCGCAGTGTATATCCCTACGGAAAATATTAGAATAAAGCAGAGGTGTTCAGATATGTATCAGTGTATGCAGTAGAGATAGCAGCAATAATAATGGCATTACAGTGGATAAAAGCTCAAGGGAAAGACAAATTAGTCATAGCATCAGACAGCTGGGCGGCTCTTTCAAGCCTACAAACCATGAAATCTTGTAGACTAGATCTTATATATGAGGCACACAGTAACCTGTATGAAATCTGGGAAAGAGGGCAGGGTGTGAATTTTGTGTGGGTTCCTGCCCACATGGGAATAGAGGGAAATGAAGAGGCGGATAGGCTAGCAAAGCAGTCGTTAAGACAACAGGACATAGACCTACAAGTCAGGTTAAGTAAAGCAGAAGGAAAGGCACTCATAAAAAAATACAGTCGGGAACAGTGGCAAGAATATTGGGAGTCGGTAAAAACGGGCAGGCATTTGTTTTCAATACAGAGACAGGTGGGAGAGGGAAGAAGGATTGGAAGGAACCGGAAGGAAGAAACAACATTAACACGGTTAAGGATCGGTCATACAGGGTTAAATGGAACATTGAATAAAATAGGTAAACACACAGATGGAAAATGTCAACAGTGTGGTGTAACGGAATCAGTACAGCATGTGCTGATGGAATGTATGAGATACAAAGAAGAGAGGAAGACCTTGAAAGCAGCAATTGAGAAAAATAAGGAATCATTTAAGTTAGAAAACCTGCTAAAAGTGGACAATAGGGCAAGGCTGGGGCGGCTAATGGTTTTTTTGCGGGATACAAGGTTGATAGAAAGGATTTAGGAGTCTCTGTCACTAAAGGGTTATAGTCTGTAACTGCCTAATCTCCTGCTCCACCGTAGACTCAGTAGGTGGCGGTAATGCTCCAGACACTAAGGAGTAAACTGCCATTAAACCAAACAGAAGAAGAAGAAGAAGATCAGGATGGCATCGAAAGGGATAGATGAGGATGAGGACATGGAATTTCTCGATTGGACGCTGGTGAATAGAGGAAAAGGGTGAGGCAGGCCGGGTGCACCACGTGGAGGTGAAATGGGGATGACAGCTAGCCAAAATAGTAAAAGAAGTTTAGATGGAAACAGCACGGATGAAGGTGACAGGATAGTGAAACGAAAGGTGGAGAAGGAGGAATTTAAGATTGTTCTGAGGTTCAGGAAGGAGGATGAACAGGTTAATCTTAGTCCGATTAATATTTTTAAGGGAACTAAAAAAGAAAGTAGGTGATGTAGAAATGGCTAAAATACCCAGAGATGGGAACTTGTTGATAATCTGCAGAAATGAGGAGCAGAAAAACAAGGTAATGCATGTAGAAAACATATACAAAAAAGTGATTTATGATAGGAAAATCCTGGGAGAGAATAAAGTTGTTTGTGGGGTGATCACTGGTATTCCCACTGACGAAGATCTTGAGAAACTGAAATGTAGCATTCAAGGAGGAGAGGTTAATAGAATGAAAATACTATTAATATCAGTTAATGGAGAGAGGGTGGAAAGCTTATCAATACTGATGGAGTTTCAGGGATCAGTGCTCCCAGAGAAGATTAGGGGGCATGAGTTTCCCAGTCAGGCCTTATGTCCCTCCTCCACTTCGATGTTTTAAATGCCAGAGATATGGACATATCGCGATAGCATGCAAGGGGAAACAAAGGTTCCCTAAATGTGGAGTGGACCACACATACGAGCAATGTGGAGATCATATGGAGAACAAATGCTGTAACTGTGGTGGCCAGCACAGAGTGACGTATGGGGGCTGTGAGAGCAGGAAAAGAGCAGTTGAAATTCAACAGGTGAAGACTGCAAACAATATAAGCTATGCTGAAGCAGTAAGGAAAGTTCAAGAACAAAAGAAAAGGTATAAAACAGACAGAGGCAACGAGAGGACAAGAACAGAGAGTACAGGATAAAATAAAAATGGGAATGGATATTGAAAGATTGATTGTGTTCATTGCATATGTAATCAACTGTACAGACCAGGCCAGAAATGGATATTGAAAGATTGATTGTGTTCATTGCATATGTAATCAACTGTACAGACCAGGCCAGAAACAAGACAGAGAAATTAGAATAATAGTCAGGGGTGCTGAAAAATTTCTAGAAATGAAGGACATATCTTGGGAACAAGTCAATAGGAGGCTTGAGGATGATGGCAGACAAGGATTAGGGGGAGAAAAGACAATCTGATTATTCTTCAGTGGAACGCAAGGAGTCTAATAGCAAATGGCCAAGAATTCAAAAGAGTTATTGATGGTATCAGAAACAAACCAGAAATTATATGTGTACAAGAAGTGTGGCTTAAACCAGAGTTAGATTTTGTTATTAAGGGATATGTCAGTGTGTGCAGGGATAGAATGGATGGAGTTGGGGGAGGATGTGTAATATTTGTGAAACAAGGAATTCAATATGGAATACTGGAGAAGGGGAAAGATCTGGAAATTATAACAATTGAAGTATGGACAAAAGAAGGAGTAATCAGAGTGGTGAATTTTTACAATCCATGCAAAAAACTGTCAATAGAGTCTTTAGATGATCTTACTAGAAATCTAGTGGGCAAAGTAATTTGCTGTGGAGATTTTAATGCTCATAGCACAGTATGGGGTAACTATAATGATGGAAATGGGGAGGTAGTACAAGAGGTAATGGAAAACAAAAATCTAGTATGCATAAACAATGGAAAGGGAACAAGAATCGATCTTCAACATGGGTCAGAATCAGCCACTGATCTCACCTTAGTATCAGGCAAAATAGCAGGTCTATGCGAATGGAAAATTATGAAAGAACCAACAATAGGTAGTGATCACTATCCAATGGTTACAAGAATAGGGTTAAGTTTAGAGGAATATGATACGGGGGGTCAAGAAAGATGGGTGTTCAGCGGGGCCAACTGGGAAAAATACAAGCAGATTAGTGATGAAGAAATGAGGAAGGTAAAAAAAAAAACAGGACATAGAAGAATATAACCGTGCAGTATGTGAGGCAATTTTAGTTGCGGCAAATCAATCAATACCAAAGAAGAGAGGAGGGAAGAGAAAGAAAATAGTGCCATGGTGGACGAAAGAATGTGAAAACGTAATTAAATCCCAGAATAAAGCAATTAAAATATTAAAAAGAACTCATAACTTCCAGAACCTTATTGAATATAAAAAGTTACAGGCGAAGGTGAGAAGAACAATTAAAAATGCAAAGAAGATCTTTTGGAGGAAGTTTTGTTGTTCAGTAGGGAGAGATACAGAAACTGAGAAAGTATGGGGAATGATAAAAAGAATGAATGGAATGAAAAGAGAATTTGGATATCCGGTACTAAAGGTTAATGAGAAGAATGCGGTAACAGAGGAAGATAAAGCAGAAGTACGGTCCAAGACTTTTGTTAGAGTACATAGTGTCAGTAATATCAGTGAAGAGGGACAAAGAGGAAGGGAGAAGACATTATCTGAAAATGTAGATCTGGTGCAACAGGAGGAAGGAACAAGCAATGTATTAAACTTGTCATTTACAAAAGCAGAATTAAACCAAGCTCTTAGGAAAACAAAGGTGTCTGCTCCAGGAAAAGATCAGATTTGTTATAACATGCTCAACTGTTTAAGTGATTCATCTAAGGACATTATATTAGATTTATATAACAGGATCTGGGAGAAAGAAAAATTACAAAAAAAATGGAAAGAGGCTGTGGTGATACCAATAGGCAAACCAGGGAAAGATGGGACAAAACCAGAAAATTACAGACCAATCGCACTAACATCAAATGTATGTAAAATAATGGAAAAAAATGATCAATACAAGATTAACATATTATATGGAAAAGAACAGATATATTTCAGCAATACAAAGTGGATTCAGAAGAGGCAAAAATACAATGGACCCAGCACAATGTCTGGAACATGAAATAAGGAAAGCTCAGGTCAATAAAGAAAGTGTAGTAGTAGTATTTTATGACATTGTAAGGCATATGATATGCTATGGAAGGAGGGATTATTAATTAAATTAGCAAAGTTGGGGATTAAAGGCCAAATGTATAGTTGGTTTAAGGACTTTTTAGATGGAAGAAAGATTCAGGTCAGAATGGGTAAACACTGTTCAAGAAATTTTGGTATAGAAAATGGAACACCCCAAGGGAGCATCATGAGTCCTATGCTATTTTCAATTATGATAAATGATGTTTTTAGTAGCCTAGAAAAAGGAATGGGTTGTTCACTTTTTGCAGACGATGGAGCGCTGTGGAAAAGAGGGAGAAATATAGAATTTATTGTTAAAAAGATGCAAGAAACTATTGTTAAGATACAAGAATGGGCATATAAGTGGGGGTTTAAATTTTCAGTAGACAAAACAAAAACAGTGTTCTTCACACGTCAAAGAATAAAAAGGAATATAACTTTAAAAATGTATAGTCATGAGCTAGAAAGAGTCAAAAATGTAAAGTTTTTAGGGATATGGTTTGATGAAAAGTTAACATGGAATATACATATTGAAAAAATAGTAAACAAATGCAAACAAGAGGGCTCTCGCAGCTGCTTAGCAGCTACGCTCGGGCCCTAAAAAGTGCGAAACATAATGAGGTGTCTGGTTGGAAGGGATTGGGGAGCAGAAAGAGTGGCATTACAAAACATTTACATTGGATTAATAAGGTCAGTATAAGATTATGGAAGTGTGATATTTAGGTCAGCAGCAGATACAGCATTGGCAAAACTAGATAGGATCCAATATCAAGCATTAAGGTTATGCACAGGAGCCATCAGGACAACCCCAACAGCAGCATTACAAGTAGAAATGGGAGAAATGCCCTTAGAATTGAGGAAAACACAGTTGGCTATTAATTATTGGATACATTTAAAAGGAAATAAAGAGAATCACCCAACTCAAGAAGTACTAAAACCGTGCTGGGAAAAGAAGAAAAGAAAGATAAAAAGTTTTGGATGGACAGTTGAGCTAGAAACAAAAGAACTAGAAATAAATGAAATAAACATCAGCCCAACTGTACCACTACCAACAATTCAGCCGTGGCTTCTACCAGATCCTGTGGTAGATCTAACATTACTGGAGAAGAAAACCAAAAATAAAGAAATCATAGGACAGCCACAGATCATACAAGACTACATTGAAAGGAAATACTATAGTTATATACAAATTTATACAGATGCATCAAAAAACCTAGCAAACAATGTAGGTGTTTCGGTAATTGTCCCAGAATTTAAGGTCAAATTTTTAAAGCGCATTGAGGACAGACTGTCGGTATATACAGGAGAAATGTTAGCAATTCTGGTAACACTGCAGTGGATAGAAGATGTGAGACCACTCAGATCAGTTATAGGTTCAGACTCAAGTTCAGCAATAATCAGCTTTAGATCACAACCATTCAGACAGCAGACAAGATTTGATAATAGAAATTAAACAAACATTGTTTAGGATTCAAATGTTAGGGTTAGATGTAGTATTAGTATGGATACCAGCTCATATAGGAGTAGTTGGAAATGAAATGGCAGATAAATGCGCAAAGAGAGCAACAGAAAAGCAGCAAATGGATAGTATAGTGCCATTTAGCAAAACAGAAGTAAAGAACATAATTAAACAGAAGATCAAACAAAGATGGCAGGAGCAATGGGATAAGGAGAAAACGGGAAGATGGTTTTATGGAATACAGAGACAAGTAGGGACAATGAGAAAAACTACCAGAACTCGTGAAGAAGAAAACATAATATCTAGAATGAGATTTGGACATACTAGACTGAACAGTACATTACATAAAATGGGAAAACACAACAATGGAACATGTGATCAGTGCAATAGTCAAGAAACATTAGAACACGTTATGATGCAGTGCCCAAAATATGAGGCTGAAAGGAGGAACCTTATAAGGAATTTAAGTAGAATAAAGATTAGATACAATCTAAAGGATTTGATACAGAGGAATTCTGGGGAAGAGTCATATCGATTAATAATCAGGTTCCTAAGGAAGACAGAGTTAATAGAAAGAAATTATTATTTTATTTTATTTATTTATTTTATTTTTTTCATTAGTATTATTAAGATCCAGACGCCAGACCAGTTGGTGGCGGTAATGCACCATAGCGTATTTTGCCAACCTCCAAAAAAAAAAAAAAAGGAATCAAGAAGAAGAAGAAACGCGGACAGTTGATTAGTTTGACAAAACACAAGAGGTAAGACCACAAATCTGCAACTAGTGTCTTTAAATGGTGACAAAATGCAGAACATGCAGTTTTATCATAGCTGTAACTTTTAAGTGCATAGCACATTTCCGCTTACATTAACAAACACTGTTAGCCTTTAGCTTAGCCGGACTTGCTAACTTGGATGCAGCTGTGTTTCCGGTCAGTTTCATTAACAAAAGCTGTATTACATAAAATATCAGATTTAAAAATTTATCCACCTTAAAGAGAGGGGCTAATTCTAATCCTATTTTCATGTAATACCGCCTGTAAAATGTTATGCAGCCGATATTACCCGGAAGAGTTCCCTGGCCGACTTCCGTTCAAAATAATAAAGATTTAACGTGACCAGAAGACTTAATTCATGGCATAGTATATCTAAAACTTTTTCTATGATCAGTATAAAGCTTAAAGGTATCCGGCCAGAATTCAGCTTTAGATACATGTCTGTGATGAACGTAATTGTGCCTTTAACTGACAGACCGCTATAGGTCGGTAATAGATTTCTCCACGTTAACGGTAGAGAGTCAAACCAAGTTCATCAAAGCTGGCTATGAATTCACGTATCATACAACCATAGAAAAACATTATTGAAGCCCCGATTATTCTGGGGTATGTTGTAAAGTACCCCCAGTTTTCATCCAGGTCTAACTAGAGTCCAGAACACCGGGGAAATAGGTTTACAGTTAAAGTGTGCAATCTTTGAACGGAGTTTGGTGTTGAGGTTTTCTGTGGAGCACTTTTCCATGTTTACATTATACAGAGCTCTTCCACTGAAGTAAGCAAACTCAAAACATACCTTTTTAGTCTTGCATTTAACAAAATTTTATATCATTAACTTTGTTTACGTGTTTTTGCATTTATCTCTTCTAGTTTTGATCACAGGATCGCCTTTGATTGAGCTATTTTGGTGCTCTTATTTTAATATCTTTTACTGTTGTTCTTATTTCATTTTATTTATTTCTGAAATTTCATTTTATGTTACTTTGTTTTTAGATTTTAAAACCTCCAGTGTTTCCTCAGTGCGCACATTCCTATTTATATGAAATCAAGCCCTTTTTAAGTTAATCCACTTTAATACTGTTTCTATTGTGTTTAGATTGTGCGGTGGGAATGAGGGTTGTGGGTTGGGGTAGATTAGGGTTTTCTTTGTTTCTTTTATTCCTCTGCTATGTAAAGCACTTTGTTCTACATCGTTTTTGTATGAAAAGTGCTTTACAAATAAAGACTGATTGATTGATTGATTAAAGTTAGGCATATTAATCATTAACAATACTTGCTCTGTTCAAGAACGAGACTGTAGAGCTGTGAGTAGACCTGAATAAAGACCTCAAGCTTTGGTCCTGCAGCAGCCTGCTCTTCTCTGTGAGGATTATGAAGTCAGCCTGTGACAAACAAACAAACTCTTGTTAGAACGTATTTAAACATTGAGTTTGTTTTGTTTATCTCAATTAACTTATAAGTTCGTAATATAAAACATACATTTGCACAGCCAGCCTTTTCAGCAGTGACCTTCTGTGGCTTACCTTACTTGCAGAGGGTCTCTACGATCGTCTTCTGGACAACTGTCAGTCTGTAGTGTTGTGAGCTGCCCCAAAGTTAAACAGGACAGCTTTAAATACATAATATTCAGAGAGTGCTTTGCTCCATCACCGATAACATGATCCAGAAGTAAAAAGAACAATGTTTTCAGGAGTAATTGTATGTGAAGAGTTAGAATGAGGAAACAGCTGAAACAAAAAGTAAAGGAGTGCAGGGTCACTGGTGCCCTGGAGTTTAGCTCTCAGTTGAAAAAAAATCTCTTCGTGTTGATGTTTAGGCATAAATGAAAACATTAAAATGTGACTTTTCTGCAGATGGAAAACTACAGTAAAGCTCGGACAGAGGAGCAGCAGTCTGTCTCTCCGTTCTCTGGTCTCCCTCCAGACACGCCGGAGGTCCGAGTCAAAGATGGCAGCAAGATCCGCAACCTGCTACGCTACGCCCTGGGCCGTATGGAGGCCAAAGCCCGAGTAGCTGACCCTGAGGAGGAGGGAGGACCCCCAGCTGAGGGGGGAGGAGGTGAGGATGTGCCACAGGAAGCAGCTGCCCGGCCCCTATGCAGACACATCATCTTCACGGCGAGCGGGAAGGGCGTGTCCAAAGCTATCACGTGTGCTGAAATCGTAAAGCGGCGTGTGAAGGGGCTCCACCAGCTCACCAAGCTGCAGTACAGCACTGCTGTGGAGGTGTGGGAGCCGCTGGAGCCTGGCGCCGGCCTTGACAGCCTCACCGTCAACAGAAACGTGCCCACCATCTGGATCCTGCTCTCCAGAGAGCCAATGGACAGCAGCCAGCCTGGGTACCAGCCACCAGGACGCTATGACCTGCTGTGGGCTCAGAGCATCAACAAGGAAGAGGTGGGGTCGACAGGACAGAGAACCGGGCACAAGAGGAAGAAAGGAGGAGGAGGAGGAGGAGAGAGAGGAGGAGGAGGAGGCAGAGGGAGGGGGTCTGGACGTCAGGCTGGGCGCTCCAGAGACTCAGTAAAAGGACAGAGTTGATTTATTTTCCATTGATAATTTATTTTTACAAACTGAACAGACAGGAAGAGAAAAACAGTCAAAGCTTCAAAACTGGAAACCTGCTGTGAAAAATGCTTTTGGACTTTTTTCATTTAGTATTTTGGTCAGAAAAGACAAAATGATCCAAGTAGGCTGATGAAGATATTTGTTGATGACTGTGACGGGAACAGGATCTGCGTCTGTAAGAAGTGAAGTGGTCTAAGTTTTCTCATGTTACTGTGTGATGATGATGATGATGATTTTGGTCTTCAGGGTCTCTGTTTTGTAAAACCAGACTTGAGTTGTCTCTCTGTGGAAATCTTTTTCTACAGTGTGGATGAAAAACTTTTATGTTCCTGAAATGTGATTTAAGAACTTGTTTATTTTGAAACAAATAAAAACTATTCTGACTTTAAACTGTGAGCAGATGAAAGGTGGTCCTGACCCTCTTTAGAGCGGAGAGTGCACCGTCCATGATTTCCAAAAAGGTCAGCTTTTGATTCGTCACAGGAAAGCTTTCCACTTACCCTCAGTCCACCTTCGATAAATTTGATATGATCTACTGTAGATGATAAAATCCACTCAGGAACTTTATTCTGAAACTGTTGAACTGTTAGCTCATGCAGTCTCTCACAGAGTCCTGAACCTCTGACAGATTCAGCCTTCTTGACCCAGTCATGTGACTAACCTGTCGTTCACGTCAATAATTCGATTTTCTCAGCTGCATGTATACGAGGACAAGGAGAGAAGTCCGATTTGGCGAAAAAAAAACAAATTATGAGCTTAGTCCGATCAAACTGCATGTAAACACACTGAATAACGACTTTTTGGAAAATGTTGCTGCCATGAATAAATAAAATTAAAATGAGCATACCTTTATTCATGATACTTTTCATTCGGATCCTTATCTTGGACTTTTTGAGGTTGTAGTTCATGACTGTATTTGTTACACGCCCAGAGAAGTTGGCATCTTGAACTGGACTGTCAAACATCTTAAGGTCAGTTCATTCTGGACTTAAACAGTCCTGACATAAAGCAGAGTTGAGGGATCTTTGACTGTCTAAAAAATCAGAGGAAACAGACTCAAATCAGGAGAGGTTCACTAGAGCGTCAGAACTCTTAACACCTTTTATGTTCTGGAAGTCCAACACCTTCAGAGTAATCCTGGAGTTTTTTGATGAAAGTGTCAGAGAGCGGCGTGCTCTCAGGATCCCGGTAACATCTTGAGTCCACGTTGATCCTTTTATCTCCTCGCTGGGCCTCCCCCAGCTTACAGGATTAGAGTTTCCCTGCACAAGGATCAGAGCCGAGCATCTGTCCGAGGGGAAAAGTTGCTGCAGAAGAAGCAGAGCATGGAACGGCATGGACGGGCTGAAGCCTTCAGGCTGCTGCTGCTGGTCAGCTGGCTGCTGTTGGGTCCGGGTCTGGCTCAGGTCAGACACCCCCTCCCTGTGCTGTGGATAATGCCGTTCAGCCCAGGGTCTGGGAGGGAAAACCTGACTGCTGCCGTGGCCCCTGCCATCAGACTGGCTCTTCAGGATCTGCAGAGACAACCGCAACCCCTCGGAAACTATGAAGTCCAGTTCCAGCTTCTGGACTCACAGGTAAGTTTCAGACTCCTGTACAAAGAGTGTCTATCAGATCCTGTTTCTGGTCCTGCATAGAGAGGGTGATGGGGGAGTCACTGAATACTGTGGACACCAAAACCAAACACGATGTTCCTCCTCTTGAACAGTTGGATTAGACTTTCTTAAGTTCAACCTGAACCATTAAAGAGGGGACCAGACAGAACCAGGATCCCAGGGTACAGTTTAAGACTGCCCTGTGGTCTGATCCATCAAAATTGGACCATTTTTTGGAAACATGGAGGTCTTGCCTTCTGCTCTGAAGAAGGTTGGTCCGCCCAGCTCGTTATCAGGGTCTCCAGTTATGTTGACCAGTATCTTCAGGTTTTTGAACATGTGTTTAAATCAATAAATGACCTTATTTGGAAATCCTGGGTGGTGCTCCAAAGAGGAGAGGGACCACAGCTGTGTGGTGATCGTGGCTGAGGCTTAGTGGGAGAGTAGGTCAGGGTTCAATGCCAAGTCCTGATGCCCACATGCCGTGTCTTTGGGTGACACACTAAACCCCAACCTGCACCTGCTGACTGATGGGTACTTCACACTCCAGCCTCTGTCATCAGTGTGTATGTGTTCATGGGTGTGTGTGTTCATGGGTGTGTGTGTTCATGGGTAATAATAATAATACATTTTATTTATAAGCGCCTTTCTGGACACTTGAGGACACTTTACAGAGTAAAAACAACAGGATAAAAGAGAGTTAATTTTTCCGGATGTCAGGAGGTGTCCCCATGGTCCTGAAGCGGGCAGGGGGCATGGTGAGGTGGATGGAGGTGGAAGATCTGAGGGAGCAGGAGGAGGTGGCTACGTGGAGGAGAGGGGGGTTGTGTGTGTGTGAGTGTGTGTGTGTGTGTGTGTGTGTGTGTGTGTGTGTGTGTGTGTGTGTGTGTGTGTGTGTGTGTGTGTGTGTGTGTGTGTGTGTGTGTGTGTGTGTGTGTGTGTGTGTGTGCCCCCTTACAGATTACCTCTATTTTTTGCACATTTTCCAGACTTAAAAGTTCCAGATCATCAAACAAATTCTAATATCAAACAAAGATAACCCCAAGTAAATACAAAATGCGGTTTTTAAATGATTATTTGATTTATTAAGGGAAAATGCCATCCAAATCAACCTGGCCCTGTGTGAAAAAGTAATTCACCCCCTTGTCAAATTGTGAGTGAACTGTGATTAACTACATTTTTTGGAAAGCTGAGTTCAATTTCACTAGCCACACCCACACCCAGTTACTACCAGACTTGTAAAATCAAGAAATCACTTAAATAGAACCTGTCTGACAACATGAAGATGGCTAAAAGATCTCAAAAAGCAACACCATGCCGGGATCTAAGGAAATCAGTGAGCAGAAAGACAGTAATTGACATCCATCAGTCTGGAAAGGGTTACAAAGTCATTTCTAGGGCTCTGGGACTCCAACGAACCACTGTGAGAGCCATTATACACAAATAGAGAAAGCATGGAACAGTGGTATACCTTCCCAGGAGTGGGCAGCCAACCAAAATTGCTTCAAGAGCCCATCGACAACTCATCCAGGAGGTCACAAAAGATCCTAGAATAACATCTAAAGAACTGCAGGCCTCACTTGCCTCAGTTAAGGTCAGTGTTTATGATTCGACCATAAGAAAGAGACTGGGCAAAAGTGGCATCCATGGCAGAGTTCCAAGGTGAAAACCACTGCTGTCCAAAAAGAACATAAAGGCTCGTCTCACATTTTCCAAAAAACACTTGGACGGTCCCCAAGACTTTTGGGAAAATATTCTGTGGACTGATGAGACAAAAGTGGAACTTTTTGGTAGGTGTGTGTCTCGTTACATCTGGAGAAAAACTAACAAAGCATTTGATAAAAAGAACATCATGCCAGCAGTCAAACATGGTGGTGGTAGTGTGATGGTCTGGGGCTGCTTTGCTGCTTCGGGGCCTGGACGACTTGCAATAATCGATGGAACCATGAATTCTGCTCTCTATCAAAGAATCCTGAAGGAGAATGTCCGGCCATCAGTTTGTGACCTTAAGCTCAAGGGCACTTGGGTTATGCAGCAGGACAATGATCCGAAGCACACCAGCAAGAAGCACACCTAAGAATGGCTCAAAAAAAAACAAAATTAAGGTCAAAGTCCGGACCTGAATCCGATCGAGATGCTGTGGCATGATCTTAAGCGGGCTGTTCATGCTCGAAAACCTTCCAATGTGGCTGAATTAAGACAGTTCTGCAAAGAAGAGTGGGCCAAAATTCCTCTCCAGCGATGTAAAAGACTCATTGCTAGTTATCGCGAATGCTTGATTGCAGTTATTGCAGCAAAGGGTGGCACAACAAATTATTAAGTTAAGGGGGCAATTACTTTTTCACATTGGTGATTTTGGTTTTCAATAATTCTTTACTTTCAATAAATGAAATGATCATTTAATAACTGTGTTTTTTGTCCACTCATTGTCTTTCTCTTTAATTTAATTTTATTGGATGATCTGAAACATGTAAGTGTGACAAAAAAGCAAAAACAGAAGAAATCCAGTAGGGGGACTTTTTCACAGCACTGTATACAGGAGGATTCTCTACCATGTTGAAGTTTCTGGAGAGATTTGTGAGGAAGGCCAAAGAGAAGAGAGTAATAATAAACAACAAGGGTGGTGACAAGGCTGTGGACGAGAACTGAGGTGGTATGAGGGATGAGGCAGACAACTGATGTTGGGAAGATGGAAATATGTAGACTGGATAATATCACTGATGTGGGCTTGAAATGAGAGTGAGCTGTCAAGGATGACACCCAGACTCTTGACCTGTGGGGAGGGGGAAACTGAGGTGTTGTCAATAGTAAGGAAGAGACTGTCGGCTTTGGATAAGGTGGATCTGGTGCCATTGAGGAAGACTTCTGTTTTATCACTATTTAATTCAAGGAAGTTTGAGGTGAACCAGGATTTAATTTCAGATAGGCACTTGGTGAGGGAGGGGGGTGGAAGTGAGGAGTAGGGTTTGCTGTAGAGGTAGAGCTGGGTTTCATCCGCAAAGCAATGAAAGTGGATGTTATACTTACGGAAAAAAATTAACAAGGGGAAGGAGGTAGATGATGAAAAGGAGGGCCCCCAGGACAAAGCCCTGGGGCACACCTGAGATGACGGGGGAAAGCTGAGATGTGAAGGATTTGAGATGGATGAACTGAGTGTGGGTGAGTGTGTTCATGGGTGTGACCTCTCAGACCGTCACGTCTCTCAGTATTTCCTTCATTTTTTTTCAGTGTGATCCCGCGAAATCCCTCAAAGCTCTATTTGACGCTTTGTGGGCGGGGCCAAAGTTTCTCCTGGTGTTTGGAGGGGTGTGTCCGTCTGTGACGACACTTATCGCTCGCTCTCTTCCGGCTCTCAACCTGGTGCAGGTAAACACACATCCACTGCAGGCTTATCATTGTGTTCAAGGTTCAGGTCCTAAGGTGTTTCCTGTCCTGTGGTGTCCCAGGTGTCTTTTGCGCCCTCGCCCCCAAGTCTGTCCAACAGGAAGTGGTACGGGAACCTGTTCAGTACCATGCCATCAGACCGAGCCCTGAACCAGGCCACGGTGAAGCTGCTGCAGCGCTTCAGGTGGAGCAGAGTGGGTGTGATCACACAGGAGGGACCCCGACTCTCAGAGGTCTCAGCAGCTCCACCTTCAGGCCAAACCCTCAGCTTTCACTCGAACCCTCTGGGTTCCAGCTCCATCCTGCTCCTGTTGTCTTTGTTGAGCATCATGTCTGTTTCTGTGTCCACAGATGAAGAAGGACCTGATGAGGCAGCTGCTGAAGGCCGAGGTCAACGTCCTCTTCTCAGAGAGTCCCTCTGCAGATGTCTGCAGCAGCTTGAGGAGGCTGAAGGTACCGCAGAGTTCCCTCTGACTCACATGAAGCCGATCAATCAGATCAATCAGATCATTGATGTGACCTCTGACCTAAAGATAGATTCAGGGTTAAAGTAAAGACCTTCATTTCTGCAGGAGACAGACGTCCGGATCATCATTGGACAGTTTGAAGAGGACTCTGTCTCCGAGGTCTTCTGCTGTGTAAGTTTACCCTGTTATTTTGAGGATACTGGTTTGAGTGCACCTTGGACTTAGAAACCGGTTTGGAGACCAGGTTCTGGAGTTTGGAAAGTGAAGTATAGTCCCATTCTGGGCTGATAAAGGATTTCAGACAGGTGGTCCCTGTCCTCCACATAAAGAAGGATGTCCCAATAACATTTAAAGGGATATTCCAGTGTAAAATTAATTTAGGGTCAAACACACTGTAACACTGAATTTTGCCGACTGCTTACTTCTCTAGTTATACCAACTTTAGTAACGACCGCAGGATAGCGATACACAGCAGTCGGGTGAGGATGCCAGTGAAGCTAACACTACACTGACATCCTCCAGTTCAACTTCATATCGACTCAGGCACTACATGGTCTGAACAAATGACAGACTGAAAAGTTTACGAAGTGAAATTAAACAATAACTTTTCCATTTACTTCTTTGCTCGTCTTCTCGCCATCGTCTTCCGGTGTTTTTCGATTGTAAAACACCGGTGCATCATCATGATTGGTCCCTGGCAGCTCACTTCCAGTTTGTTTGGTTTAAACTTTTTTTCTTTTTTTTTGAACCGCTACTTTTTTGTGTGTCGTTCACTTCCGTTGTGCCTTTTTTTTAATCTGCACCGTTTCTTTTTTTTTTTGCATCAGTAACTTCCATTGTGACTTCTCTTTTTTTCTGCATTCTTTTTTATTTGCAGCAGTGGCTGTTCTCAGCCACCGTACTTGTTAGAGGTCTTCAAACACCTAAACCTTCCTGTGAATAAGAACAAAGCTCTGCTGAGTTTAGACCTGATTTTACATGAAATGTTCTTTTATTTGGATTATGAATCAGAGTAGAGTCCACTTACTGTTCAGAAGTCCAGGACCTGGACCTTCAAGAACATGTGTCTCCCTCTCAGGCTTACAGACTGAACCTGTTTGGACCACGGTATCAGTGGGTGGTGATGGACGGGGGCACAGTGGGGTGGAGACTGGGCTGGCAGGTTTCTGGATGTATGGTGGACAGTCTGCTGATGGCCGCAGACGGCACCATCAGGCTGCAGATGAGAGGTCTGGGCAGCTCCAACACCGCCGGGATCTCTGGACAGGTCAGAACCTTCAGACACACGTCAGCTCAGTTCTGTCTGTTCTTGTGGTCCAGGTCTTAATCAGACCTCCTGCTGTGTCTTCATAGACCCCTCAGGAATACCAGGACTCTTACCTTAGGGAGCTGGCTCAGGAGGGGTCAAAGGTCAGCTCCCTCCACAGCTTCGCCTATGATGCGATGTGGGTGTTGGCTAAAGCGCTGAGTCAGGTGATGGAGGCGGTGAAGAACAAAGAGAGATACAGCCCACAGAGGAACATCAGCGTTAGTCCAGAGGAGGTCCACAAAATGCTGCTGGAGGCTGTGAGGAGCACTCAGTTTGAAGGAGTCACTGTGAGAAACACACGCACACACACACACACACACACACACACACACACACACACACACACACACTAGGGATGTGCATCTCCATTACTGTGGCGATTAGATACCCATCTCGATGCACTGCCAACGATACTATATAATTTGCGATACATTGAATCCCTGCCAATGCGATACTCCGCGATTCACCCCTGTCCTCGATACGATACGATTCACCTTCCATCCCAATTCGATACGATATGATTCACCCCTCATCCCAATACATTAATTTTATCTCACTTATACTTTTGTATGTACATATTTACAACTTGTGTTTACATTTTCTGCATTCAAATTTTTACATTGAGCAAGTTTGACTTTTGAATAGTGAAGAAATTAATACATTTTTCAAATCCGATTTTGGTTTTTTGAGTGTTTTGTGACTTTCTCGTTCTCACCCATGTTGCTGTTTGCCTCCTGCACTCCGGTAGCAGCGATTTTCATGACATCGATACCATGTTCTTTCAAGTGAGTGGCCATATTTGTCGTGCTGCCATTGTGAGGTTTAGAGGCACGGCATTCTTTACAAATAACGTGCGTCTTGTCAAGTTTACCATCTCTCTTGTAAAATCCAAAATACTTCCAAACGTTGGATTTGAACATTTGCGGAGCATTAAAAATCTCTTCTTCTGCAGCGTTGCTGCTTCCCTCCGCCATGATTACTGAAGAGTGTGCGCGCGCACGGCTTCCGTCCGTCTTCAAAACAAATCACGAAATGGTGATGGTGCATTCAAGATGCCTCGGAAACATGATAGAATGCAGTACAACATGGTGCAACTGATGCAACTGTGAAGATTACCGATACAGACACGCAGTGAACGAAGCATCACGAATTTCAGCCGTCATTGTACCGATACACACTGAATAAATCGATGCACTCGCATCCCTCACGACCACGATCCATATCGATTAATCTCCACATCCCTAACACACACACACACACACACACACACACACACACACACACACACACACACAAAAAGCCTACATTAAACTGAAAATGTCCTCAGCTCTTCTTTCACCAACCCTCTGTAGACCTTTGTGAACCCAGCAGACCAGGTTCTGGAGTCTGACAGTCAAATCTTCTCCCTGATAGAGGATTTCAGTAGCTCCACAGTTCAGGGTCTCCTTGGTCTTGTGTTTGTGGTCCTGATTCCTCATTGTAAGTTTTTGTATCTGAAAGTCTCAATGAATCCTTCAGGGTCCAGTTTTCTACAGAAACGGGGAAAGAATGACGTCCATCGAGCTGATCCAGCTTCAAGGTGCTTCAAACTTCTTTAACTGCAGTCTAGACGCTCATGTGTTGATATGTTTCTGTGTTCATGAAGGCCTTGTGTGTGCGTGTGCGTGTGTGCGTGTGTGTGTGTGTGTGCGTGCGTGTGTGCGTGCGTGCGTGCGTGTGTGTGTGTCTCAGGCAGCAGTGGTGTGTCTGTCGGAGAGTTCAGCACGTCCACTCAGCAGCTGCGAATCATGAACAACTTGCTGAAGTTCAAAGGTAAAACCGTGAACTCCCCCCCGACACACACACACATTATAGACCTGCCCTAGAATGGATTTAGGGCAGGTTTATCTTTCTCTCTGCAGGTCCAGCACCAGTCAGAGACCGGACTCTGGTCCTGGATCAGTGGCAGCACGTCAGCCTCCTCCTGTACAGCATCATCTCGTCGGCTGCAGCGGTGGCCATCGTCATCACGGCGACCGTCCTCTGCTTCACCTGCTGCAGCCAGAAGCTCAGGTACAGCTGCTGCAGATCCACCTCAGGGTCTCAGGGTTGATCTTTGAACTGGACCTGTTTTGACACACTACTTTGGGGAGAAGATCAAAACCGTTTATAATCCTTCAGACTCCAGGTGCCAGGTGACATGCTAAAGAAAATGACGGCAGCTGCTGCTGATGTCCTCACTCTGCAGGCTGCTGAGGTGGAGCGGTGGATCCCGGGACGAGCTGCTGCTGCTGGGCATCCTGCTCTCCTCCTCTTCGGTCCTGGTCTCTGGTTTGGATGAGGCTCTGCTGTCTGACCAGGTCTACCAGATCCTCTGCTCTGTGAGTGCAGAAAGCTGCATCAAAAGATAAAAACACTAACCAAATAAACTCATGAGGACTTCACAAGTGCAGTTTGAAGATACTCATCCAATCATGTTGTCTGCATTTGGTTCTGCAGGCCCATCTGTGGACTCTCTGCATTGGACACTCTGTGGGTTTTGCTGCACTGTTCACCCGAACATGGCGGGTTTTTTCCCTCTACAGGACTAAGCGGACGGTAAACAGGACCAGAAGAGTCTCTTTTACACTTAAAAAGTCGGTTTTCACTTTAAAATAACGTTTGTCTCAATGTTTCCGCAGCCGACCCGTCTGCAGCAGACTGGTTTGGTGGTGCTCTGGCTGGTTCTGCTGGATACGTTCGTTTTGGTCTCCTGGCAAATCCTGGACCCCCTCAAAAAGGTGGTGCTGCAGCAGAGTTTACAGGTAACAAGAAGCAACAGTGTTTCAGAATGAGGCCTGGTTAAACACAGTTCCACAAGTGTCCACTAGGGGCTGGCTCCATTAGATCTCATGTTAAAATTGTCACTTTGAGCCGACTTAAAGGTGGGGTAGTCAGGATCTGAGGAACTCTCAGTTTTTGGTGAGAAATCTTGAATGTAAACCCTAAACCCTCAACCAGTTTTCCCCTCAGCTCCTCCTCTCCCCTCCCTTTCTGCTACGGCAAGCTCCGCCCACAAACAGACGCTCCTGCTCGCTCGGATCGTTCCAATTCAATTCAGATATAATGCAGATAAATACTTCAGATTGTTACAAATGGGGCCCAGTACTTTCTGGTTGGTTTCTACAGTCCGATATTGTGGCACGCTAACTTTGTTTGGGCTCGTGAACAACACAGGGGAGCAGCGTTCGCTTCACAACCAATCAGGTCGGGGAGGCGGAGAGCGGCTTTGTTTACAGTCAGAAAGAGCGGGCCACTCAAAAATGTTAAAATGTTGACTACACAGACATAAGAGAACACAGAGATATAGTTATATTTCCAAATGTCATCAATAACTAACAACTATTGACTGATATTAAAAGATTTTTTGTACATATACCAAAAAAAAAAAGATGCTTTTTTAACAGATTCCTGCCTACCCCACCTTTAATTGACCCATAACAAACATCTATATTTGTGCAGCTCATGTATTCATTCATACATAAAACTGTAAAGGGGAGGTTATACTTTTATAGGACATCAGATTTGATCAAATTGCAGGACAGCAGACAGTCTGCTTGGCTTGACCCAGGAAATACCTGAACAAGAATACAGGTACAAACACCAGGATGAGGGATCTCAGCAGACAGGTGCTGCCTTTGTTGCTGTTTGTAAACAGAAAGTGAGAGTTTTTTTATATAATTAAAGCTGCAAAGGAAGCCGATGGAGTGCGATAGGGCAGCAGAGGGACCTGTGCTCTTCTGGGTTAGGGTTGAACAGAAGAAGAGCTGTTGCATGTTGGATCATCTGCAGAATTGTGAGCATTGAGAAGGGCTATCAGTCAGGAGCTACCCTAATCAGCGTGAGATATTAAAAGAGCCTGATAAGCAGGGGACCGAGCACTGATCCTTGAGGGACCCCTGATGATGGGCAATTTGGTCTGAACCCTTTTCCTCTTCATGAGACTCAAATAGATCCCCCTTTGAGGTGGGACAAGAACCACTGGAGGGCAGATCCAGAGATACCCAGGTCAGTGAGTGTGGAGTAAGACCCCAAAGGACAATGATAAGTTCAGGGTTGAGTATGGTCAGAATGATAAGCACTGGGTTTGATGGGACTGGGTCCAGTGGACAGATCGTCGGTCTTTGGTCAAGCAGAAGACTGGAGACTTCGTCTTTGCTCAATGGAGTGAATGAACTCAGTAAGGCACCAGGAGTCGGAGTCTGTGGGCTGAGCTGGTCAGGCCCTGAAACTCAGGTACTGATGGTAGAACTGTTATCAGTAAAAGTCAACATGGTGGAGGGACCAGGAGCAGGACCAGAAACCGTTTCCACGAATCTGTGTCCGCTCTGATTAAAGGCTGTTTCTGTTGATTTTCATCCCTCTGTCTGAAGTCCTGAGCCGGTATTTCCTCTCTGGGACTGGGAGGGGGTCTGTGGGCCAACTGTGACACCAGAGGGCAGAGTCTCCTCAGAGAGGAGGTGAGAGGAGAGCAGAGTTAAAGAGGAGTCAGAGCAGCAGCTTCACTCAGACCTCCTGTGGGGTTTCTATCACACAGGCAGACCTTCAGGGTGGTACCGAGGAGCTTTCTGGAGTTTTAGTGCGTTTGTGAAAAGAGGGCTTTAAATCCAGGACTGCTGTTCTCGCCGTTATCTGATCTCTGATCTGTTTTTCCTCTTTTTGAGTTTGACTACTTGTTGTTTTTCCTTCCTCTCTGCTCTTTGTAAACTCATTTTTTTGTTGTTATTATTTGATCCAAACTCTCCTCTGTTTCTTTTTCTGTCAGAGTGATTCTTCTGATCAAGACGTCCTCGTCCGGCTCTTCTCTGAGCGCTGCAGCAGCATCAACACTGACCTGTGGCTCACTGCTGTCTATGGTTACAAAGGCCCCCTGCTGGTTAGTATGGGAACTACAAACTCTGAACAAAGCTCAGCATCCAATCAATCAGTTTTTCTGCTCTTTGTTGTCAAATGTGGAGACAAAGCCTTCATCAGCTCTGAGACATGAATATATTAAACTTCTAGGAGGTCATGAAAACAAGAATAGCTTAGAAACAATCAGGAAGCAGAAATCTCAACAACAGGAACAAGTTCAATACACTTGTTTCTGTCTGTAATTCGAACCCTAGACAGAGGGAGATGATTAGAGTCCAACGTTTGTGTTTAGGGTCTGGGCTGTTTCGTGGCGTGGAGCATCAGATCTTCACAGGTGGATCATCCTGCCATCAACAGCAAGCAGCTGTCTCTGAGTGTGTTCGCTGTGACCGTGTTCAGCGTGTCCGGAGTGTCGGGATCTATGCTGACGTCCCACAATCCACCTGTTCACTTCTGTGTGATCAACAGCCTCGTCCTCTGCTGCAACATCTTCACGCTGAGCTGCATGTTCGGACCGAAGGTCAGCAAAACAGACGTGCAGATGTGACAGCAAAAAGACCAGCTCTATGTAAGATTCATTTCTGTCTCTCTGCAGTTTGTGTACGTGTTTCACCACAGCGGTGAGCTGCAGCAGCCGTCAGAGCTTCAGACTGTAGAGAAGGAAGAAGAAGAGCAGCTGAGGAGGTTCAACCGGCAACTGAAGGGTCAGACACAGTTGGTGAGGACACAGAAACCTCACCTGACACACCTGAGAGAAGCAACGTTAATAACCTCCAAACAACCAAACAGGTCAAAAGTTCTGATAGAGGAACAACCAAACAGGTCCAAAGTTGTAATGCTTAACAAACATCTGGAGGAACATCTCCAACTAATGAGGTGTATGTCCAACAGTTTAGTCACATGACTGGGTCGAAAAAGGACCAAAACCAAGACTGGATGGTCCTGATGGTCCTCAGGCAAAACGTCCCAAGTTAGTCCAGTTGTACTTTTAACAAAGAATTGGAAATCATAGATGTCGCATCCTCTAATGAGGTTTAGACTAAATCATGGCAGAGGAGACCAGATAGAACCAGGATCCAGAAAAGATGCTTCATCCAGAGTATTGGTGAAAAACCATGTTTGTTGTGTTTTTCTGCAGCTGGATGTAGAAATAGAAACCATCACCATGCAGCTCGGTGAGGATGAGTCAGCTGATTCGGACCTGAAGTGTCAAAACACGACAACAAGAGGGAGAAACAACAATGGTAAACACAAGCAGGAAGCTCTCCTCTTCAGGGTGTTTTTAGTGTATTAATGGACTCTACAAAGACCAGCAGGTCTGACTCTTAACTCTCATGTTGTGATAAAAGGAGTCCCCTTTACTCTCTTTCTTTATCAGCTGTTTTCTGTTGGCAGGTGACGCCAGGTCCGTGGTGTCGGCTCTGATCTGTTCTGAGGACGTAAACCCAGAGAAACCTCTGAGTCCAGACGACATCAACTCTCCTGAACAGTGAGTCCAACACAGACACAGAGAGGGAGACAGATTTACCCAGAATTTCCACCGCATCTGGAACGGCTCCAATCTGGAACAGCGGCAAATTTCACCGTCCGCCACTTCCTACCGGACCTGTTTGTGAGGCGAATTTCGTGGCGAATTACGGACAGCAGGAATCCGCAAGAACGTACAAGAACCCGCGGATCCACGTTCAATCGCGCGATAACGAGTTGTCTCTATAAAGACAGACACATATAAGCAGTAGATTGTGTCCTTCCAGAGGAAGAAATCTACTTCTAGACTTCTAGAATTAGCATCTCCTCATCCATGGTGTCATCGGGGTGAAATGACGTCTGAAAACCTTTCACTTGTTCCTCTCTGCCCGTTTGCATGATGTGAAATACAATCCTCCTGAATCACAGAGTTTTTTATTTTGAAAAGAAGCAGGATGTTTTATTTTGTGTCTGTACTTCCTTTCCAGCACGGATTAATCTGTGCTGAGACTGTGCTCCACCGGACTGTGGAGTCTGACAATCCGCAGTCGAACAGAAAGAAGCCAGTGGAAATTGACACGTTAACTTGAATGGTTACAATCAGATACGATCGGCGGACACAGCCTTTTCATAGCCATTCTGGATGCGGTGAAAATTGGGGGTTAGTCTATTTACAGCCATGAAGGAAGGAAGCCAGTGAGCGCCTCCTGGTGGTTTCTCTCTGAACAGGGGTCGGCAACCTTAAACACTCAAAGAGCCACTTGGACCAGTTTCCCACAGAAAAGAAAACACAGGGAGCCACAAAACCTCTTTGACATCTAAAATAAAGATAACATTGCATATATCTTTTTTTTTTTTTTACCTTTATACAAAGTATATAAAAAACTGTAGCGAGTTGCATTTATGAAATAAATGAACTATTTCGGCGAGTGTCTGTCTTCTTCTGTAGTTAAGCCGCAAGATATCAAAATCTACCCGGATACAGCAATGCTGCTTTTTGATTGGCTGTTCAGTAGATATACTTTATTTGATTGGCTTGTGCGTGGCACGCAGCTTCTGAACTCTCGGAGAAACTCAGCTGATTTCCCCCAGTTCCATAGTTGAAGAAGTGCAACTTGGTGGACATCACCGTGTTCATTTAAATGCGTGAGAAGTACAATGTGTGGTGTGTGAGCGTGTGAACGAGTGGGAATGCGTGTGTCATACGCTGAATGCGTGAGACTTGAGAGCCCTGTGCTCACGCATCATCGATGTACTCCCGAGCCATGCAAAACGGTCTTTGCAAATGTTGCACTGAACGCCTTCCTTTTCAGTCTTGGTGAAGTTTTCCCACACCACTGATGTTTTAGGTCGGGATTTGGGTTGGGTTGTGTCCATGTTTTTCTCAGCCGCTGCCTCGGCCATGGCTGTTTCTTTTCTGTGCGTCCTGCTGATGTTTACATGCCGGTGTCCATGGACATATATAAAGACCCGACAAATCGATTACAGAATTTGATGGCAACGGATTTTTTCGTCACGACGAATCTACTTAATCGATTCGTTGTTGCAGCCTTAATAGTTTATTTAATGTTACAAGAGCATTATAATCTTTGAATTTAGAATTACAAAAAAAATAATAATAATAAAATAAAATAAAATGCAATTAAGTATTTATTATTTATTTTCCAAATCCATTGGGAACCGCAGCTTAGGGAAGAAAGAGCCGCATGCGGCTCCAGAGCCGCGGGTTGCCGACCCCTGTCTCTGAAGGTTGTGAAAACTCCAGCTGAGCTGATTTGTTTGGTTCATTAAACCCGTCTTGTGTGTTTTCTGTCAGCGTGGGGCGCCGTCTCTCCATCCAGCTGCCCATCCTCCATCACTCCTACCTGCCCGTCATCGGGGGCGTCAGCGCCAGCAGCTCCAGCCTGTTTGGCAGCCGGGAGGCCTTCGTCCACCACGACCTGCTGACCACAACCACATCCTGATCAGACTTTGTATTAACTTTATTGAACATGTTTTAAAACACAAACTCTAAACCTCAATTTTTACAGTAATACATCAGAGATAAATGAAGAGGTAACGAGCCGCAATGGTAAACTTTAGTACGTAGATACCTGAGGCTCATTAAAAACTTTTTATTTTTAAACTTTTTTATACTGTTTTAAAATCTGAAACTTCAAACACAGAGGAGGTGGAGGTTCACCATCCGTGTGACTGCTTTAGTTAGTTTACCATGTTTGAAACGCAGAATAACATTTGTATTTTGTTGTACCTGCTCAGAGCTGAAGCCGTTCCTGCAAAGACCTGGGACCGTATAAACAGGAAGAACTGAGCCGACTGTGTTTTTTTAAAACTGTGTCTTACTTTGATTTTTCAATTAAAGTCTTTTATAACCAGAGTTTTCCTGAAATGAAATCATTAACGGGTCGTGTGTTTCCTCTTTTTGTCTGTTTGCTCTTTGGAATCATCTAAATATAGTTGTCAGAGGGTTTTCTCCAGAGTTAGAAATCCTTGTAAACATGACCTTTCACCCTCAGAGGAAGGCAGCAGCAAACAGAGAAACTTGGTCCAAGGTGATTCTAAACAAACTGCTTTAATCGCTGCTCCGTGTTTTTATTCGTTCAGGTCATGATGAAGTTTGAGTCGACTTTCAATTGTCGACTTGAGTTTCAGAATCAGACCGAGAGCTCTGCAGATACAGTCTGTCTGGGGATTCCCTGAAACCCCCTGAGGACACTAAAACTTCCCCCAGTGGAATAACAAGTAGTAGAGATCTGATAGGCCATCCCGGGGGCCGCCCTGAAACCCCAGACCATTGGCTGTGTGCCCTGTCAGAGAGCCAATTGAGATGAAGTATTTAGGTGGAGTTTGACGGGCTGCCTGTGGTTTTCCTTTGTTTCAAACTGAAGGAAAGTACACAGAGAAAATGAAAACACTTTCACTTCTCTTCTGAGAGGCAGACCTGCACGCAAGTCCAGAGTTCACTTCAGGCCAGAGTGAGGTCCCTGAATTTAACCAGGAAGACTCTGAAATGATCACCTCTGCCTGCAGAGCAGCTTTGTTTTCAGGCTTCATTAATGTAAAATTATAGTTTTAAATGTTTCTGTGTGATTATTATTTCAGCTGAGGGTCTAATTACTGACAAATCGGATTTGATGATATTCCAGGTGAACAGAGTCAAAACATCACAATCACTACTACAAATAGAGACATGATCTATTACTTTGGTGGGCTGGTAGAAAGAATCAGAGTCTCTGTGCAGTCTAATATTCACAAAAGAACAACACAAGAATATCAGTGTCAATCGTAGAAAATATGAACTTTTAAAAATGGAGCTGTGCGGAAAAAGAGGACTTGAGCACAAACCAGTCTGACAGTGACTACATGTCAACATCACAACCAGGAGGAGAAATATAATATGACTTGTATTTAACTTTTAAAGTTTGTTGTTGTCGTCGTCGTTTTCTTCCGCTTCATCCGGGTCCGGGTTGCGGGGGCAGCAGCTTCAGGAGGGAAGCCCAGACGGCCCTCACTTCAGCCACTTCCACCAGCTCCTCTGGGGGATTCCCAGGCGCTCCCAGGCCAGGCGAGAGATATAATCCCTACACCTGGTCCTGGGCCGGCCACAAGGTCTACTCCCGGTGGGACACGTCTGGAACACCTTTAACGGGAGGCGTCCAGAAGGCGTCCTAACCAAATGCCCGAGCCACCTCAGCTGACTCCTCTCGATGTGGAGGAGCAGCGGTTCTACTCTGAGCGCCTCCCAAGTGTCCAAGCTCCTTACTCTATCTCTAAGGCTGAGCCTGGCCACCCTGCGAAGGAAACCCATTTCTGCCGCTTGTATCCGCGATCTTGTTCTTTTGGTCATTACCCAATGTTCATGGCCATAGGTGAGAGTCGGCATGTAGATCGGCCGGTAAATCGAGAGTCTCACCTTACGGCTCAGCTCTTTCTTCACCACGACTGATCAGTTAAGCATCCGCATCACTGCTGACGCCGCTCCAATCCGTTAAAGTTTGTCCACAGCTCCATTCATTTTGCTGAGGGGGCGGGGTTTATGACCTATACTGCAACCAGTCACCAGCGGGTGCTGTTCTTGCAGAGGCTTCACCCAACAAGGAGGCAGACAGCGTCCATTTATGTACAGTCGATGGTATCAGCATGTGAGGCAGGCCATAGTCAAAGTGATCAAACAAGAGACTGAACAGAAAAAAATCTTCAGTGTCCAGAACCCACAGCATGATGGACTTAGGGTCTCATAGAACAAGACTGTGGTTACTAGTGAGTTTTAATGGGACATCAGTCAAATGTTCTTGCTGCCTCTCCTTTAAAGAGAGATTTTCAGTGAGACTGACCTGGTTAAATGAAAGTTACATTAATTTCAGTTTGATCGGTTCCTGTTGTATCATGCCTTTAAGTCTGACTTCTGTTCACAAATAAACAAACATCTGCAGTCCTACATGAACATAATAAACACCCAACAGGCTGATACAGGACAAGAGAGAAAGTAAAAGCTGCTTCATGAGTGCAAACCACAAAGCTGTAGGGGAAATTTTAAAATGTCATTACAGTTTACATCATCATAGTTTCACTTTCATTCGTCGGTCCTGGAAAAACAGATGTGGTGTGGCACGTGGTGAACCCTGATGGAAATAATAGAGGGTACATGAAAAGACTCTTTCAAACAGGGCGGGGATCAGACCTCCAGAAGGGTATAAACTGAAGATCTCATCCTGCTGAAGGAGCACAAACCAGACCACAGACCATCATGTTCTCCCTCCAGGTGCTGCTCTTGGTTCTGGTTCTGTCCCTGCCAGTGGACTCCAGCTTCAGCTTCAGCTTCGGCAGCAGTGAGAGTTTCAGGTTTTCAGGGTATTTTGTTGTGAAACCTGCTTTAAACCTCTATAACATGCTGCACATTTGATTTGGACTCATCCTGTACATACTTTGGCCTGCTCTTACAGACATTCATGGGAATACTTGGTGTGATATATCTGGATAATAATTTTAGAGTTCAATTTTAGAGAGTTGATATTTGAGTCTTTCTGACAGTGGTGTTGGTCACTTTGTTCGGGTGTTTCTGGGTAAAGGTTGAAAATGAATCGAGATTCAGATTCATGTCTTTTAAACATCTTAAATATTCTTTTCTATCGTTTCTCCTACAGGAGGCTCCAGAAACAGGAACTATGACTTTTCAGGACCTGACCTGACCAAGCTGTACAACTCTGGAGTCTACAAGGCAGAGAAGGTGGTCCGACCCCTGGGGAACCTCAAAGACACATATGGTCCGATCAGCCACTCAGGAGTCAGGTGAGCACACACGCACACACACACACACACACACACACACACAAACACACACACACACAGAGTACCTGAATATTGAATATTCTGTATTCACTAGAGTCAGAAAAACATATATATTAAGATTTTAAAATAAAGACATCATGTCGTAAAATTAAAGTCATTTTATTGAAAGATAAATCAAATTTAGAAAGTTGATTAAATTCTAATTTCAACCATGACGTTTTCTTTATTTGACTCAAAACTAAGTTTTACAAACTCATTTGTTTAATATAAAAACTTTATTCTCTTTATATAACAACACCTACTTTGTTAAACCAATGATTTTAGTCTTGAATTATAAATTGAATGTAAACTAAAGTCATTAAAAAATACACAACCAATTCAGATAACAGAGTTACAGTAATTTAAAGTATTAAGCAAAGTCGTTTGTATAGAAAAACAAAAATTATTTCATTAATAATGTTAATTCTATCATTAGGAGAATAAAGTTATTAGGATAAAAAAATGACAGATGTTATACAAAAGGTTAAAATTATAATACTTAAGTCATTAAGTCAAACAGAGTCTACAAGATTTGATCATGATCATGATGATCGGTATTTGTTGGTTTAGTGTTAGACTTGTTTTATATTTTATTTTATTTCATCTCAATATTTTCTCATGTTTCTTTTTGTGGTTCCTGTTTCCGTGTTCATTATTCTTAATTATAACTTAAAGGATAAAGTCACTATATTACTAGATAAAGTTGAAAAATTAAAAGACACTTACAGTTGAGGCAAAAATTATCAGCCCCCCTATGAAATTTTAACCTTTTTTCCAAAATTTCCTAAGTGTTGTTCAACAGATTACTGATTTTTTTACACAGCTTTTCCAAATATCCTAGTTTTATTTTGACATGCTCTTCGCTTTTACGCAAGCGAACATGACAGGTCAACCAAAGGGATCCCCCTCGTGGTTGGCTATAGTAGCTACATGTCATAAGTCCCGTACCCCTAAGTGACACTAAAAGCTCAAAGTACCCTTCAAATAAAGTTTCTCCAAACGTGTTTATTATTTTAGGTAGTTATTATCATGATAATCCATGTCCAAGAGTCCATTTCCCCGGATGAGATGGGTTTTATTCATCATTTGACGCTATAAACACACATTGACATCCTCGAGCTTTTATTCTGGTATTTCCGGTTACCGGCATTTGAATTTGCATATTAGCTAAATATTTAGTTTCACCCGAACCATTTAGATTTAGATTAAGCATTTAGATTTAGATTTAAAATTTAGATTTAACATATATTTAGGCGTAACATTTTATATTTAGATGTAACTACTTAAAATATCTCTAAGTTGACAAATATTGTTGTAAATTTGCAAAAAAAAAGTGACCGTCAAAAGTTCATACCAGTTTTTTAAACGTTGTTTGAAGCTAAATGTGGCAAAATGTTGCCGTTATTTTCAGCATGAGCCGCTTTACAAATGGCGCCCCATAACTACCAGGGTCAAAATTATTAGCCCCCCTCAGGCTAATAGTCAATAATAGTTGTGTGTCCTTTTTGCTGGATAACAGCATGCAGTCGTTTGCTGTAGTTTGTAACAAGGCTCTGGCACATCTCCTGGGGAATCCCGGCCTATTCCTCTTTGGCAAATCTTTCAAGCTCCTCCAGATTTGGTGGTCTTCTAGTATGGACCCTGGTCTTCAGTGCAGCCCACAGATTTTCAATAGGATTTAAGTCAGGGCTTTGTGCAGGCCAGTCAATAGCGTTGACTTTGGTTTCCTGGAGGCAGCTCCTCACCAGGAGCCTATTCTACGAAGCAAGTTCAACCCAGCAAGGTAGCCTTGGAGCTACCTCGCTACCTAACCTGCCCCGGAGCAGGTTAGCCGTTCAGCGTACGTTGCCATGGAGACTCGCCTCGCTAAGAAGGGAACCCGCGTTGTAGAACAGGAAACCCCGAACTTACCCTAGAAGTTACCTCGCTAAGCAGTAATCCTGCTTTGTAGAGTAGGCCCCAAGAGCGCTGTATGTTTTGGGTCGTTGTCATGTTGGAAGACAAAGTGACGACCCAGACCCAGTTTTGCTGCTGACTGCATGAGGTTTTCTTTCAGAATCTTCACATATCCTTCTTTCTTCATTATTCCTTCAACCTTGACAAGATTCCCAGTTCCAGATGCACTGAAACATCCCCACAGCATGATACTCCCACCACCGTGTTTAACTGTGGGGGGTTTAACTGTTCTTAGGGTTATATGCCTCTCCTTTCTTTCTCCAAACATAATCAATGTCTCTGTGGCCAAAGAGCTCTAATTTAGTCTCATCTGACCAAAGAACACGTCTGCAGTATGCACAATCTTTCTCCAGATTGTCTTTAGCATACCTCAGTCTGGCTTTGAAGGTCTCTCTTTTGTAGAAGTGGAGTTTTTCTTGGCCTGCATCCTCACAGTCCATTTCTGTTCAGGACTCTAGAGACTGTCTTGTTTGACACCACAATTCCTGACTCGGCTAAGTCAGCAACTACTGTTTTGGTGGTTGTTCTAGGGTGTTTAGACACATCTCCCACCAGTTTTCTTTCCAGTCTCTTTGAAATTTTTGAAATTTGAAATTCCTTGAATTCTCATTCATTCTGCCCAGCTTTAAGTTCATTTTCCCGGCAGTGAACCTTTAATCAGACTTTATTTCTGATTTTGCTTCCTACCTCTCCCAGACTTGTTCTGTACTGTGTGGCTCTCCTTGAATTTCTTGATGATACTTCTCACTCCACTTCTTGACACTTGGAAACACCGTGATAAATCTTTATATCCTTCTCCTGCTTTGTGAGCATCAACAATTCTTTTTTAAGTCTGAACTGAATTCTTTTGTATTTGCCATGATGCCTTCTCAAGTGACAGCTCAAATGTGTAATGGGGCTTTTATACTGTGTGTAAAGTGTAGGACAACCATTTGTTTTAACTTAATTGATTGATTGATGACAAGCTGTGAGCACTCAAAAGTGAAAGCACATGATTGCACAACAGTGGTTTTTGTTTTGGCTCAATAAAAACTTCAATTCTCAAAGGGGACCTGCCATCAAAATTTCATACCCATTTTTATCATTTTTTCATAATCCTTGATGTCCTCTGATCATGTTTGCAACATAATTTTAGCTGAAAAGTTATTTGATGGTTTGTTTTTAGTATGCCTAAAAAACCTTACAGGAAAACCAACTGATTTTGGCTCGTTAACATTTATGGTAATGAGCTTTGCTCTGATTGGCTCAGCAGTGGAGGTTCGGATTTCGGTTTATCCATTTTGCTAATGTGTGCTAAAGTAAGGTGCCCAGATGTCTGTAATGATATCCGGGGATACTTGGTGCGGCGGGGCGGGGAGGGTGCAGGGGCTGCAGGGGCTGTGTGATCACAGACAAAATCTTGGTACTATTTAGTAGCAGCGCATGCCCCTTGTAATAACCCCCGTAAGAACTGTTGTTCAGGACTGCTTACTTGTGCTTCCTACCCATTCGGCTACTGTAATAACCGTTGTTCGAGCCCACACGCAACATTTTTCCACTTATTCATGAAACGCTTAAATCAGGGACATTTTTGGGGACAGCTTTTGCCGGGGACAGGTCATCCAATTTGGGGACTGTTCCCGGAAATCGGGGACGTCTGGTCACCTTATGCTAAAGGCTAAAAATGGCAGGTATTAAACCATATATTTTAGACCCCGAGTCCGAAGAGGAGGTGGAAGTTGAGGAAGAAGCCGGAGATCTCCAGCGGTGTTTTCTCATTCATTCTGCCCAGCTTTAAGTTCATTTTCCCGGCAGTGAACCCAAGGAAACACCGGTCGTTTGGAAGAGACCCATAGAGGATACAGTGGTAGCTGAGTCTCGCTCTGGCTGGAGAGTGATGTTGTCTGTGAATGAGTACGAGAACGAGAGAGTGGGCGCGGCTCACCGAGGACGCGCTCGTGAATAATAATGAGCAAGGTCAGCGCGACGTCAGAGGGACCTGCTTTTTCAATTGGCCTGGTTTACCCGTTCCTTTATTTTAAACCTTTATAGAATGCAAACGACATAATGGTTTGTTTTCACATTTACAACATAAAGCCACGTTCAGACCAAACGCGACCTGAAGCGACCTAGTCGCGTTGGTCGTTGTATTCCCGTCGCACCCTGGTGTGTTCACACCGGGTCCAAAGCTCACAGAGTTCACAGGACGCGGCTGGTCGCCGCTGACCTACTTCTCCCACCTTCCTTCTCCCTCCTTTTCTCCCTCATATATACATCCTGCAGCCCCTTCCAGCGGTTGCGGCACACATCCACTGCAAAGACACACGCACACACCTGAAACATGTAGCCTAGCAAGCAGGGGAAGTTTGCTATGTTTTCAGAAAATAGTCTGCTCAGTGAAATAAATAAACAAACAAACTTACCAGAAAGCCCGACATCATGGCCACCTTCGCCCATGCCTCCTCCTTGGAGATGTGGTCCCGGTAGAACGCGCACCCCACGTCGTTCAGGACCGGGTGAAAACTCATGGCAGTGATAAGCTGCTGCTCCTCCATTGTGATTCTTCTTCTCCTCCTCCTTGCTTTGCCAGTTTGTTGACGTCAGCAGAGCCCTGATTGGCTGCCGTGACTTGGCGTCCTGCGACCTCGGGCGACGCGACGTCGGCGACCATGCCTGACTTGGTCGCAGAGGTCGCTGACGTCGTGTCGCCGGTGGTCGCCAAGTCGTATCAGGTCGCGGCTGTCCATAGACTTTGCATTAGGAGTCGTTGCTCACGTCGCCGAGGTTGCGTTTGGTCTGAACGCGGCTTAAGACGAACATATTATGGACCTTATCTGACACAAAAAAACACACAAAATTACATTTTTGATGGCAGGTCCCCTTTAAGGGGGCTAATAGTTTTGACCCTGGTAGTTTTTGGTTTTTGTGAAATAATTTTGTTTCTGTGTGCAAAGTAAAATAGTGTAAGGATCCAAAATAAAACTAGGATATTTGGAAGAGCTGTGTAAAAAAATCATTAACCTGTTGAACAGCACTTAAAACTTAAAATTTCATAGGGGGGCTAATAATTTTGGCCTCAACTGTAGGTAATTTCAACAGGAACCTATGTGTTGTATCTTTTTTGTGTGAACAGTGTTTTAGAAATAAAGTCTGATTAAAGCTACAGTCATTAAAGTTAGAATAAATCTTTTGAATGGGGTTCATTATGTCTTCAGTTTCTTAGAAATAGTTTTCTTTATAGCAGACATGTCATCTTTTTCATGGAAACTTCTGCCTTCCTCAGAAGTGTGACTTGGTGGTTGGTGTGACACGTCATAAATCTGTTTTCTTCAGTCCTTATCTGAAGAGGATAAAGTCACTGAGTCAGAGTAAAGTGGTTTTATCATTAGGGTTATGGCACCAGATTGAAGTCATTTCGTTCAGAGAAATAAGTGATTTTATTGTGGAAAGTCTTCACACTGTGAGAATAAAGTGGTTTTATGAAGAAAACCAAGTCGAGCAGGCTTTTACTGCATCACAATGATTTCACTTGATTTCTGTGTTTGTTGGACAGAGTGACTCGGGAGGATGGATCTCAGTTTCTCATTCATAAAGGAGACGGCTACGGAGTTTCCTCTCAGACGGTGGTGGTCAAGGCTGATCACATGAGCTCTGCATGGAAGGTGAGCCACCAATCAACAGTGATGATGCTGTTGGTCTCTTTGCAGTTCACTCTCCAACACCAAACAGTAGAGGTGGTGGGTAAAAAATAAAGAAGAAAAAATGTAAAGGTGCATAATTTCTACTGTTACAAGATTTTATCCAAACACACCATATAAGAATCAGAATCAAGAAGACACAATCGAGCTACTGTGGAGGAGCAAACAGCTGCAGTTCCTTCAGTGTCCACTAGAAGCTGAAGAAAGAAGATGTGTTTTCATCTCTTTGCATTTTAATGATCCTCCTCTCTGTGTTTCCTCTTCACAGACTGTGAGCAGCAAAGACTTTAACGGAGGAAAGACCGTCGCTGACTTTGTGAAGGCCGCAGGAGAGACCTACGACATCTGCAGTGCTAACTGTCATCATGCTGCAGATGACATGATGAACCAGTGAGGCTGATTTTAAAGGTCCTATCAGTCAGATAATAATGAAACCTCTCTGAGTGAAACGTGTTTGTTTTAATCACAGAGATCAGAGGTTTTTTTTTTATACATTCTGTCTCATTTCTTATAATTTCCTTGAGGGAACCTTCCCAAAAAGGATAAATAAAATTGTATCTAATCTAATCTTTCTCATTTCTAAACTCAACTCTTTAGAATAGAGGGTCCTGTGAAATCAGGATCTGAGCTGATTGTAAAACCTGGAAACACAACTTCATGCTACAGCTCTGTGATCAAATCAGAACCTGTAAGAATCCTCGAAATAAACCGACTTTAAAAACACTCCTGTGTAAATCTTTGAATTCAAGCTGATAGGAAAAAACTTATATAAAAACATATAAAAATCTTTAAAATGGTTTAACTTAAATTTAAATTTAAGCAGCCTAAACTGTGTCCTGCTGCAGAAACTTCATTAAAACTTGGTCCCTTTAATAAAAATAACTTAATTCATATCATCATCAGCTGTGTCGAATGATGCACTTAAATCTAGGAGAATGGTTTGTGACTTTGGGGGGGACAGTCAGAGATTTGATTTGAGATTTGAGATTTGAGATTTGATACATAAAAGCTCAAATCTGTGTAAAACTACTTCCTCTAAAACTTTGGACAAAAGTGGGTGTTTGGAAAGCGGTCTAAAATGTCTGATTAAAACCTGGTTTCTGTAAAAGAGATTATGCTGAGCTGCAGCTGAAAGGGAACAAAGAAGAAACTGGTCTGTTTGACTCGTGTTCAGAACATGACACATCTACAGGTGTGCCCACCCAGGTGAGACACTTAATCTGACTTCTTTGTGAGCTGTACCTGATTTAATACTGAGATTACAGGAATTTAACCTGATGAGCATGTTTTTTGAGAAAATGGGAGGAGGTTGGGGTAACAGACAGATCCACACAGAAAGGTCCATCTGGGAGTTCAAACCAGGAACAGCACTAACCAAAATTCATAATCCAGATTATTTTGGTTGATAGTGAGACCATGGTTATCATGCTCTAATTCTGCTTTAGCTTTATTTTGAAGATAATATTTTAACACTGTTATAGACAGCTACACATTCTGAGCTCCAACTGATCCGTCCTTCCGTCTTTTCAGAATTTTAACTGAATGAGAGAAAAACCTGCAGATTTGATTTTACTGAGATATGGACTGGAGTCTGTCCCTGGGCTTTTCAGACACACACCAACACACCGGCAGCCTCCTGCTCCTCTCTCCTCCTTCTGCTCCTCTCTCCTCCTCCTCTCTCCTCCTGCACCTGCTGAGGCCGTAGAAGTGTTTGGACAGAGCTCCCAGGGCTTGACACTAACTTTTTTCACAATGAAAATCGATCAAATAATGTTTGTCTTATTGTCCGACCCTTAGTACTATTATTTGAAATCAATTTTAGGTCTTTTGGTCACATGACATGGAAGCTACTGTAGGAAAACAGCCTTTTCTGAGATCATCAACAGGTAATTTATTGTAGGTCCCTTATTCAACCCCCGACGTTGACAGTGAGGGTGCCAAGTAGATTTAACCATGCTGCTGTTGTTATTCCCGGTTATGGAGAGTGAGAAGACACCGGTAGATCCTCAGTGAATGTCCGTCAAATATCCAACCTAAAATTAACTTCACTGCCGTATTTACAGGAAAAAACATTTGTTGCCTCGACTGATTTTTTTAAGCACACGTGACCCTAAATGTAGTTGCGACTTCTCTCTTAACTGCCTTTTACACTGTCCTTTATTTATTTATTTATTCACTGGAACTGTGCAATAGGGCCGTTTGAATGTGATGGCGACAGGTTGTGACTGTGGTGTGTTTGTAAATGTTACTGTTCCTCTTACGACTGCAGAACCATCAGAGAGTCCATGTCAAATTTCCCCACGGGGACAATTGAGTATATGAAATGAAATGAAATAAATACATTTTACAATTTGCACACATCTTATTTAAGTCACAAATGCAAGTGAAACGTTGCACCTTTGAGCCCTGCCTCCATATCTCTCTTAGTTTTCTAACTTAGTCTGGTTAAACGTCACACTCACATATAAATAATAGAAATATTTACATTTAATGTAGAGAGGTTCAAATATACATGCTGTGCCTCGATAATAAAGATTAAACCTGATGAGTATTGCACAGAGGGGTTGTAAGTGAGAAAACTTTATTTATATAGTACCTTTCACAGACAAAAAGTCAAAAGTGCTTCACATAAACAAAGAGTAAAAAGGTACATACACATTTAAAAGGCCAAGACAACAACATTAACAATCATGGCAGCCCTGAAAAACTAAACAAAACAAAAGTTGAAAACGCTTTTCCGGTCCGAGTTTGATCAGTTGGTCTTCCTGTCGACGTGAAGAGCAGTAGCCTACAGTATATCTACAGTATATATATATATATATATATATATATATATATACACTACAGGTCAAAAGTTTGGAAGCAAGGCCATTACAGGCCGAACAGTTAGGAGTAACTTAAAGTTTTTGTTCACAATGCTTTTTTTAAAATCCAGCATGAGTTTTATTTTATTTTGGGATGTATTTACTCCATGATCAGATGTTGCTTTCATGAAAATGCACCATTTTACTCCATTTACCTTTAGATATACATTGATGTTAACAGACAATTGCCAAATATATGTCAGCAAAAGATAATAAGGGCTTAGTTTTAGGGTTGAAAACATTTGCTAGAGTCACAACTTCAGTGCAAAAGCAAAAAAACAAATCAGTTGGATTATTCACTTTAACTTTTTGGCTTTTGAGAGTCTGCATACAAAAATCCTAATAAATCTCAACTGCGTTCAAACTACCACAAAAATGGCTAGAAAGAAGCAACTGAGTAAAGAAACAAAAGTACAGATTTGTACATTGAGGAAAGAAGGATACACAGAAAGAGAAATTGCAAAACGCCTAAAGATGTTTAACAAAGGAGTCCACTTCACTCTGAAGAGACTAGAGGAACCTGGAAGTTATGATGATAGGAAAAGACCTGGATGAAAGAGAGTTACTACAAAAGCAGAGGATAAACATATTATTGTCACCAGTAAGAGAGATCGGCGAAAGACAGCACCAAAAATAAGGGAGGAAATCAACATGACAAGGTCGAAACCCATATCTCTGACAACTGTGAAATGACGTTTGAGAAAGGCTGGTCTGAAGGGTTGTGTATCTGCAAAAAAACACTACTTCGTCCACAGAACAAGAAAAAGAGATATGAGTGGGCAAAAGCTCACAAAAATTGGACTTATGATTACTAGAAACAAGTTTCCACTGTTTGGTTCAAAATGCAGAGTCTATGTCCGCAGACAAACTGATGAACATCTGAAAGCACCATGTGTTACACCCATAATTCAGCATGGAGGTGGTAGTTCCATGGTATGGAGATGTTTTGCAGGTGATAGAGTAGAAGATTTGTTTGACGTAAAGGGTATCATGAAGAAGGAACAGTACCACTCCATCCTCCAGCACCATGCTGCTCCATCTGGACTAAGACTTGTGGTTCATAAGTTTGTTTTGCAGCAAGACAATGACCCTAAGCACTCTGCCAAGCTCTGTCAGGGTTACCTAGACAAAAAAGAAGAGGAAGGTGTTCTTCAAAAGATGGTTTGGCCCCCTCAGTCTCCAGACCTTTCTCTAATTGAGCTTGTGATGATGAATTGGCTCGATCGGTCAGAAAAATGCGTCCCACGAATCAGCAGTCTCCTTTTAATGAACTTAAGAAAGCTTGGAATGCAATGCCTGGAACATACCTTAAAAAACTTGTGGAACGAATGCCTGGTATATGCCAAGCTGTTGTTAAAGCCAGAGGAGGTTACTTTAAAGAAAACAAAGTCTAAGCAACAATGACTCAAATACCTAATAAGTATAGTCAAAATGTCTTCTGATAAGTTACTCTTTACACAATAGTCATGTTTATTGTGTTGCAAATTATATATACATATATATAAGAAGGATTTATTATATAAATTATATATATATATATATATATATATATATATATATATATATATATATATAGCGACCAGCAGCAGATGAGATCGGAGCGTTCGTTGTCGGTATTTTGTCTTGTTTTTTCAATATTTTCTCTTGTTTTTCCAATGTCCTGTTTGTTCTTGTTTGTAATGTGTACATCGTAAAGGCAACTCGGGCGGGTTTTACCTTAACTGCCCTGTTCTTGCCATTGCAAGCCTGGATACAAACAAACTGTGCCAGCCAGACATTTATGCACTCGTCGAAAGGGGCACCACCCACCCTTAATGGTGGGAAAATGAAGAAAAACTAAAGTTTAATTCAGAGATCAAACATCAAGTCAATCTTAAATTAATCAATGTCATATCTTAAGCTGAAATTCTCATTTCAGGGACTCCACTTCTGGAAGAACACTAACAGACCAGAACTTAAAAAAATAATTATCTGTTTATTACAGGATAAATGAGGGTACAACATCCATGCAATAAATGGTGATAAGATAATGAGGATAAATAATAATAGGTGAATAAATAAAGATTCTGAGTCAGGCTAGGAGCACTAAAGTTAATGATAGTGAGTGAATATGCGCTAACATATTAACCTACACTAACTTTGGTGTCAAGATAAATTTGGATGTGGATTTGGAGGAATCTAAGATCAACAGAATAAGTGGATATCTGAGTTACGACCGCATGAGACAGCATCAGCCCTGTTTGGAGCTCTGGAGGTTTGCATACTTAAGTGAGACTGGTCCTTGGAGAAGATGGAGCAGGTTCCGAAGGTCCAGAGCTACCGGCGGTTCGAGCGGTTCAGCTCAGAAGACTACTGAAGTCAGCCGAAGGATGGGCCAGGAGTTGCAGCACTCGGGCCCGAAGCAAAGCCGGCGCCTGTGGATCCTGTGGATGCTCGTTTGGACGCTTCTTTGGTCTCACTCAAAAACTCTGGCACAGAGGATGGCCTGGGCCTGCTGGGTTGCGTTCAGAGGTGACTTTGAAATCACGCAGATAACTCAGAAAAAAAAAGGCTCAATGACCAGTGGAAACTTTCAAAAATGGCTTCGCGAAATTACAGAAAAATCAATCAAAGGCTTAATCTTGAATTGCTATGCGCACAAAAAATTGAAGTTTCAAAACTTGAACTGAGACGATGTTAAAGAAAAATCAACGAGAAAACAAAGAAGAGGACCACAGAAGGGTGTGGACAGTGAGTGAAGAAGCGGGTGTAAGAGAATAAGGGCACAAGAGTATAAGGGAATGTGAGCAACCCCACTTTCTGTTTTTTTCTTCTCACACTGGGAATGTCTCTGGTGTGTGTGTGTGTGTGTGTGTGTGTGTGTGTGTGTGTGTGTGTGTGTGTGTGTGTGTGTGTGTGTGTGTGTGCAGTGTGAGGAGAAAGAGGAGGGGTCGTGGGGGGCAAGACGGATTATCAAACACTCACCATCCCAACCACAGACTGTTTGAGTGGCTGCCCTCAGGTAAGAGGCTTCGCTCCATCAGAGCCAGGACTGAGAGGCTGAAAAGGAGCTTCTTCCCCCAGGCCACTCTAATCCTGAACTCCTCATAACACACACCCCATAACTGACTTAACAACACCCTCTGAACAGACTTTACTGCAGAAGATAACTTACTGGTCACTCTACCTGTTTACCTCTGTTACCTTGTTTACTTGGTACATAGGAGTCAATATTTTGAATTATTTTAATTTTATTTTTATTTTACGGTTATTGTACATAGGATGTATGAGTGGATATTTATCTTACTTCTATTTTTATTTTATCTCTTTCTATAGATTATTTGATTTTCTTCTTATTATTATTATTATGTTTTTTTGGCACAATCGCAGACGTCACTTTCATTTCACTGCCACTGTACCTGTACATTTAGGCATGTGACAAATAAAACTTGAAACTTGTGCTGCATTGAGCACGACTGTCACTGTATGGCTTTTTATTCGCGCGCTTTCCATTGACCAATTGTTCTCACCTTGCTCCAATTGTCTCCAAAAAGTGCGAAAGCAAGGTGTGGAGTTTGCTTAAGGTTGCGCACATTCCTACACTAGTTTTTTTTTTATAAATCCCAACTCTTGCGTAAGAAGTGGCGTAAGCACTTTCAAGCCAGGTTTTGTGCGTAAGCAAGCTTTATAAATGAGGCCCCTGATTATTTGATCTAACTTATACTTTTGGCTGGTAAAAGAGTCAGATCTGATACTAACTCACTATGATTTATATCATTGAATGCTTGGTTTCATGATAAATAATTTGATACTAAACACATATAAGGATCACATCAAACATTCTCATTATGTTTTAAGTATCACACTGAACATGCAAAATTACTCTGAAATTAAACAGGTAGTAACACATAGAAACTGTGAACAACAAAAGAGTAAACACATGTGAATGAACGTCATCATGATTAATAATGGATTCTAAATACTCACATTCAGATTATTCAATGACATTATAACCACCTAATGGTTAAAATACTAAATAAACGATTAAAATATAAACCAAACATTTCTAAACCATTTCTGTTACTTAGAGTAAAGTTATGATTCATAGTCAATTAATTTAACTCTTAAAAGTTCATGAAACATTCTGAAAAGCTGTTGGTCTAAAGAAACTAAAGAATAAAGGATTTATTCTGTCAGAGTGATAACTTTGCTTCTGGAGCACAAAGAAAACCGGGAAACATCTCATTTTAACACAAATTTCATGATTAGACAGATTAGTACATAAGATGTACATACATAAGATGTCATGATCAGTCATTTGTATTCTTTCACCAAAGGAAGGCAGTTTTTTATCAGAACATGGTTGAGCAGGGTTTTACAACCGAGGTCTGGAGGTCAGTGTCCTGCTCCTCAGACCTTATCTTGGGGTCTGTATGTTTAAGATGGTTAATCTCAAATGGGAGACCTGGATTGAGGCATTATTTAGATGGTCAGCGATGGCATCAGTTTGAAAGGTAATAAAAACTCTGTCTCTGTTCTCCAAATTGACCAGTCGTGAAGAGTCAGAGGTTTGGTCAACCTCTGGTCGTGTCAGTTAGGTAACCTGAAAGTGTAAACAAGTCTGGAAAGATTTATATCCTGTGTCCTGGGACCAGATAAGAAAACTTTCCTGCGAGGAATGTGTGAGTTTCACATACAGGGTTGTCTTGATTTCTACACGCCGGTGTCAGTAATTTGTGACACTGCATTCCGACTGGGTCCCGACGGTGTTGGGTGCTGCGCCCACCGGCTCAAGCCCGGACATCCGACGAGAGGAGGGACATGCTGCGTTAGCTGCCACGCTAACAGGGAAGGCTACAAACAAATCTGCCGACCGTCGCACTGTCGCGTCTTGCCTCTGTGGGTCAGGATAAGGAGCTGGGATCATGAACTTCCACGCTATGGTTCTGCTGTGGCTGGTGATCTACATAGCCCAGTCCTTTAGCCATTTCCCGCCGGCGCTGGAGTACCCCCTGCCTCGACTACAATATGGTAGGGAGCTGCTCCTGGCATGGGACACTCTTAGCCCCCCAGCAGACCTTGGAACGATCAGCTTTGATGGATTTCTAGCGCCCGCTCTCCGGAGAACCCCCAGGTCAGGCGGATGGTCCCGCCGGCTGAGGAAACGAGGAAGACGGGGGGGCGCGCGGCTGAAACTGAAAAACCAGCCATTATGTTGTATACCGTTACCATCTATAATGCGCTCTAACGCCCAGTCTCTGTGAAATAAGACTGATGAACTACAAGCTCTTACTCGCCACAGTCACGACTCTAAGGACACCTGCATCCTCGCCTTCTCGGAGACCTGGCTGTCGGACAGGGACACTGATGCGGACATGGAGGGGTTTGGACCACCCATAAGGTTAGACCAAGACGCCACTGCCACAGGCAAGTCTTCTGGTGGGGGTGTGTGCATGCACATAAATCAGCGATGGTGTAAATCTGTTCCTATCCGGGAGAAATTGTGTACTGAAGACATTGAACTACTCTCTGTTTCATTACGCCCCCCATATCTGCCACGGGAGTTCCCCCAGACATTTGTGACTGTCGTGTACATCCATCCGAGGGCTAATGAAAGAAACGCCTATGATATTATCTATCAAGTCACACAGAGTCTTCAGGCTGTTTCCCCGGAAGCAACTCATATTAGTATGGGCGATATGAATCATGTGACACTTAAAACCACGCTGAGAGACTTCCACCAGTACATCACATGCCCCACTAGACACAACAAGACCATCAACCTCTGTTATGGCAATGTTAAAGGGGCCTACAAATCCATCCCTTGGCTCCTCCGACCACAACTGCATCCACCTCATCCCGGTGTACCGGACTGCTCTGAAGCAAGGCATAGTGCAAAGCGTCCAAGTGAAATCCTGGAACAATGATGCCTGTTTCACTTTACAGGGTTGCCTGGACTCTACTGACTGGGAAATGTTCAAGGAGTCTTCTGATGGTATAGATGAACTAACTGATGTGGTGAGCAGCTGGGTTTCTTACTGTGAAGATCATGTCGTACCCATCAAAACTGTAAAAATATAAATCAATACTAAACCTTGGGTTTCCAAGTCTCCTAAAGACCTTCTGTATAAAAAGAAAAAAGCCTTCAGATAAGGGAAGAGAGTAGCCCTGCACAACCTGCAGAAGGAGATCAAACGTGAGGTCAGAGCTTGCAAAAAACAATACAAAGACAACATTGAGTCAGCTCAAAACCAACACCCTCAGTTCAGTATGGGATAGCATGAAAACTATCACCGGGGTCAAAGAATGTACACATAAGAAAATTGAGCTCTCGGGCTACAACACAGACCTAGATCTGGCTCAGAGCCTTAGTGATTTTTATTTACGATTTGATACGCAAGATAATAGTGAAAAACATGATGAATTAAAGAAACGCTTTCTGTCTGCCCCCCCTCCTAGCCCTTTCTTCGACGCAGACGATGTAGCTAGATGTTTTAGAAAGTGCAACCTGCAAAAAAGGCCAGACCCGGACTGCATTAGTGGTCGTGTGCTGAAACTTTGTGCCAAGCAACTCAGCCCTATTTATAGTTTTATTTTTAATATGTCTCTCTCACTTCAGAAGGTGCCATCTACGTGGAAACAGGCAACCGTGGTGCCCGTTGCCGAAATAAACAAACCCACCACATTAAATGATTTTTGGCATGTGGCCTTGACCTCCACTGTAATGAAGCAGTTTGAAAAGCTAGTCAAAACAGAAATACTAGCAAAAACCAAGCATCTATTAGACCCTCTCCAATTCGCATATAGAGAAAATAGAGGAGTACAAGATGCCACAGCTACCTTACTTAATCTTGTGTGTAAGCACCTGGAGGAGAGTAAGACACATGCTAGACTATTGTTCGTCGACTTCTCTTCCGCTTTCAACACGATCCAGCCTCATGTATTAGCCGCCAAACTTGAACATCACCTTAAACTTGACGTATGTCTTGTGGGTTAGATTTTAGACTTCCTTATTAATAGGTCACAACAAGTAAGGGTAAATGAAACACTGTCCTGTTCTCTACGTTCCTCTACTGGATCTCCCCAGGGTTGTGTACTGTCTGCACTTCTTTTTATTTTGTATACAAATGACTGTCGTAACCATCACACTGACAGATTCATCATAAAGTACGCAGACGACACCATCATCGTCAGCCTGCTCCGTGATGACGAAGCCAGCCCTGTTCTTGATGATTTTTTATCTGTCTGTGACGAGTCTTTCCTCCTTATCAATGCTAAAAAAACTAAGGAGCTCAACATTGATTGTTGAAGTAGTGGACAGCTACAAATACCTTGGCACTAGAATTGATAACAAAAACTGTGAAATGCTTTGTAAAAAAGGTCAGCAACGTCTCTTCTGTCTCAGAAAGCTTGCTAGATTCCAAGTCGACAAAAGTCTGATGGAAATGTTTTGCAGCACCTTTATTGAGTCTGTCATTTCCTTTGGTATCATCTGTTGGTATGGCAATCTCTCTGTCAAGAACAAAAACTCACTCACGAGTATAGTGAAAACTGCCGCCAAAGTTGCAGGGGTTACGTTCAACAGCCCGGATGATGTTTTTAATTCTAGGATGCTTAAGCAAACAAAGTCCATCCGAAATGATGCTACACATCCCCTCAATTATGAGTATAAATTGCTTCCTTCTAGTCTCCGCCTAGTTGCTCCTCCAGCTACCAAAAACAGATATAAGAATTCCTTTGTGCCTCTCTTAATCAAAGCAATAAATGATGTGTCAAAGAGTAGGTAGCATGTACTAAGGTAGCTGACCTACTCTTGTGTATTATAGACTGCTGCACTTTTGGACCAGATTCTAATTTTCTTCTGTTCTTAACCTTGCATACATAGGTTGCTGTATATATGCTCTCAGAGCCTATGACTCTTTTCTACTTGCACAGGTCACTATATATATGCTGATCAGTTTCTTTTACTTATTTATTATATTTATTATTATCTACCTCCTATACAAGTGGTATCCTCACTCCTTGCACCTTGATCTGTGCACTCGGTGCACCGAATGAGTTTTTACCTGTCCGGCTGATGTAATGTGTACTGTAATATGTCCTGTATGTTTGTCTTTATGTACGCCATGATTTTATCTGTTGCACAACAAATCGCCCTTCATGGGACAAATCAATAAAGTTGAAGTTGAATATATATATGGATTTTTGACGGCTGATGCCGATACCAATTATTAGGGGGGATATCCCCCTGTATAGGAGGTACCAATTATTAGTACCAATTCTTGGGTGTTCAGATCGAGGAGGGCCTGACCTGGACTGTAAACACTACGAAGGTGATTAAAAAGGCCCAACAGCATCTCCACTTCCTGAGGGTCCTCAGGAAAAATAACATCACACAGAGACTGCTGGTGTCCTTTTATAGGTGCTCCATAGAAGCCACTCTTACGTATTGTATATGTGTATGGTTAAGCAGCTGCACTGTGGCTCAGAAAAAGGCTCTCCAACAGGTCGTCAACACAGCCCAGAGGATAGTCGGTTGGCCCCTTCCTCACTGAACGACCTTCACAGTGCTCGCTGTGCTAAAAAAGCTCAGAGCATCGTTAAAGACACTTTCCATCCTGGTCACTCCTTGTTTGAACTTTTGCCGTTAGGCAGACATTATAGGACAATCAAATCAAGAAAAAACAGACTTAAAAACGGTTTTTATCTGACAGCAATAACTTCCCTCAATGCCTTAAGGAAGGTTATGTGTGACTGAGTATTCATTCATTTAGTACTGCTATTTATTACTGTAGTTGTTTTTAATGATGCACTGACTGTTTGGCACTTTTTTAATTTTGTTGTACTGGTTACAATGACAAATAAAGGACTATTCTATTCTATTCTATTCTGGATGGCCTTCTATTCAGCCATCCCCTAAGCAATGCTCACAAGCAGAAACGGTTGCAGTGGGTCCAGAAATACATGGACTAATTTTCAAACAGTGTGTTCACTGCTGAGTGCTGTGCAACCCTTGATGGTCCAGATGGATGGAGTAGTGGATGGCCACCATGTCCCAACAAGGCTGCAACATCAGCAAGGAGGTGGTGGAGTCATGTTTTGGGCCGGAATCACAGGGAGAGAGCTGGTCGGCCCTTTTAGGGTCCTTGAAGGTGTGAAAATGACCTCGGCAAAGTATATAGAGTTTCTGACTGAACACTTTCTTCCATAGCACAAATAGAAGAACCGTCCTCTCCGTAACAAAATCATCTTTAATCATCTTCATGCATGACAATGAACCATGTCTTGCATAATAATTTGGAACGCAGTATATTGCACTTGTGTGTGGATGTATTTCTTCATTATTAAGGTGTGACCCTCGTCCTCATAGATTAAACTGTAAGACTGTGAGGAAACATGTCAAACCTGTTCAGAGTTAAGAGTTCCCAGCAGTGTGTCACGTCCAACCCTAGTCAACATCCTAGTTAGTCAACATCATCATAACAATCCCTGCCCTCCAGGTACACCTGCAGGTATATTAGCAGACGTCTCAGCTGATTCCTGTCAGAGAACTTCCTTCAAGGAAACCTCATCTGTGTGCAGAGATGGCAGACAGTAAGTGGACCTAATGTTACTGAGTAATATATGGTTTTAGGTTAGGGCTTGGTGTCTCTGTCTAATATTTCTGTGTTTTTGTTTGTGGGCAGTGGTCCAAAGTGAACAAATGTTAAGAGGATATCTTTTATCCGTGTTGGGGATTGGCTAACCCAAAATAAGATTAGGCTCCTGAATCCAAACTGAGAAAATCCTCCTATGAGGACCAGAGGAGTTTAAACTTAGACCCTTCTACAGATCATCTGAGGTCTTAAAGACTGTAAGAACAACTTTTAGTGATTGTTTGAGTAAACAAGCTGCTCTAATCTGCACCAGCTTTCTAATCACAGGAGTTAACTTCTTTTCTTCTCACTCTTCATAAGTACTTATGTCGACCAATAAGACAAACATTATTTGATCAATTTTCATTGTTCCCCTGAAGTTCTTTGTGTGCTCCTTACTTTTTCAACTTAGGAGAACATGTGAAAAAAATAAGTGTCAAGCCCTGTTTGTGCAGGTTATTTCTTTGGGAACATAACCTAAGAATAAGAATAAGATCACTGATGATATATGTTGCAGAACAAATGAAGAGCGTCACTGAATGTAAAAGTTGCTGCAGAAATGTTACCACCAAGTCTTTAGTAATCCTCTCACTCAGTAAAACCTGTGCACTCTCTGCTGCCTCTGTGAAGGCAGGTCCCTCTGTTTGGGGTTTTCAGGGTAAAATAATAACGAGTGATCTTCTTCAACAGGTGGAACCCCAAACCACAACTACGACTTGTCTGGGTCAGCCCTGACCAGACTCTACAACTCTCCGGTGTACAAAGCTGAGAGGATGAAGAGGCCGCTGGACGGCACTTCTTTTGTGCTTGGACCAATCAGCCACTCTGGAGTCAGGTATAACATGTCCCACTTCACTACAGAAACACAGGTTTACAGCCTGGTACAAAAACAGTGTGGGTCTCTCTGGCTCCTCTCTCTGTCTAGGCTTTACAGAGCGCTCACCTGTTTACATCATATATGAGGGACTAAAGATACTGTGGTAGTCTGAGAGTAGACGGGTGCTGCTGCACACTTTGACTTATTGACACATTTGGAGTTTTTCTAAGGACCACTTTGAAAATCTTCTCTCTGTGTTTTTGTCAGAGTGACTCTGGCTGATGGTGCTCAGTGGCTCATCCATAAAGGAGACGACTACGGCGTCTCCTCTCAGACTGTGGTGACAGACGCTCGACACATGAGCTCAGACTGGAGGGTAAATCTGTCTGTTTCACTTCTATACTGTTGTTTTTTTATCGTTTCTGAACTGGCTCTGAGGTCAAACTCTCCTCCTCTGGGGTTTTCTCTTGTTGCAGGTTGTTCAGACAGCAGAGTTCAACGGCAGGAAGACGGTTGCTGACTTTGTGGCGACGGGCGGCTCTGAGTACAGCCTGCTGTTTGATAACTGTCACATGGGATCAAACCGGATGATGGATCAATAAAGTTACATTTACAGCCTTCTGCAAAGCTGCACTTTGATTATCTGTGCTCAAAATAAAACTAGTCTTAAAGAGAGGGTGTCATGTGCCTTTTTATTCCACCCGAGGGTGCTGCAGACCCTGATTTGAACTTTAGAGGAGGCTGTTGAAGCAAAAGTCCTTTTAAATCACATGTTACACGTTCAACCACATAAAACTGTTTTTCTTTACTTTGGATTTTCTCAGGCAGGGCTGTGATCATGAGGTCAAAGTCATCAGGACAGACTAGGAGAAAACTAAATCCGCTGTTTAGTCGATTATTTACTGTTAAAATCTGAGACAAAACTTTAACTTTCATTTTCAAGTTTAGCATCACAACAGTTCGTATTAAAGTCCTGGTTGTCGATCTGAGAAGCAGTTAAAAAAAGGAAGATTGGAAAAAATCGTCCCAGCCCCCAACACACAAACCTCTCCCCTCTGTGCTCTACGATACCCCCCCCCCCCGAACCTGTATCGCACTCCCCACGACACACACCCCTCTGGCAGAAGATCCTACGCTAGCTTCAAATAGGATTCACCATGTCGGAAAAGGCAGACTCTTTAGTTTTATTCCATTTATTGTGTTTTTCAGAGAACTCAGTTTTGAAGTTTTAAAAAGGTTTCAGTCGCCTGACTGCTAATGAGGATTTTAAATCATTGGTCATTATTTTTGATTATCTTGATAAGGATTTTTGCTGTAATCGAGCGGCCCCAATGTAAGCATATTTAGCAAAGTCTCACCTGATATTTTAAAACAGATTAAAAAAAGAGAAACAAACTTGGTTCAACAGATTTTAGCTTATTGCGTACGACCATAGAGGTAGGTCCTTCAGCCTGAACAAACACCCCGTGATCTGCTGGATCAATCATTTTTAAACCAGATCAGATCAGATTGTTGCGACAGGTCAACACTGCGTAGTCTCGGTTTCATAACTACATGGTCCACAGTGTTTTAAAGAGTTTTCAAAATATGTCCATAAGAAGTTTTTATTGTCATTATAAACTGAGAAGATACTTGTGCCAAAGTGAAACCACTGCAGCTTCACTCACCTGTCTGCACGTGTTTGCAGGTGCAGCTCTGTTTTGTAAAAGTGGAGTTTTTCTAGTTTGTTTTGACTCTTTTGGAAAGTCCTGCTCCCATCTCTAGTGTGATGAAATCTGGGTTTTTCCTGTCAGTGGTCGACAAACTGATGTTATTAATTAACTGGAGTGAGGAGAACATAAATACAAACTGAGTCCAAACAGGGAGGAGAGTCTGAACTCTATAAAAGTCACCGGGACATCTCACTGATCTATGACGGTGAGCCTGAAGCTTCTCCTGAGCAGAACCAGATTCAAACCCGACATGTGGTCCTTCAAAGTGCTGCTGTGTGCTCTGGCTCTGACTCTGCTGGGAGTCACTGTGGAGTCATCCTCAGGTGGAGGTGAGACTTTTCTGTTCATGCTGCCTGAGAGTTTAGAAAACTGTTCTCAGCTGCCTATTCAGTCCACTAGATGGTGCCAGATGGTTCAGATCTTTAGAACAGGTCTTCTTTTTTTAGTTTATGGCAGAAATCAGAACCAGAATTATTTGATTGATATTGCAATTGTATATCCCAAATTGTAATCATATAAAAAGGATATTTGTGCAGGTTATTTCTTTGGGAACATAACCTACAGTTCATAATAAGATCACTGATGATATATGTTGCAGAACAAATGAAGAGCGTCACTGAATGTAAAAGTTGCTGCAGAAATGTTACCACCAAGTCTTTAGTAATCCTCTCACTCAGTAAAACCTGTGCACTCTCTGCTGCCTCTGTGAAGGCAGGTCCCTCTGTTTGGGGTTTTCAGGGTAAAATAATAACGAGTGATCTTCTTTAACAGGTGGAACCCCAAACCACAACTACGACTTGTCTGGGTCAGCCCTGACCAGACTCTACAACTCTCCGGTGTACAAAGCTGAGAGGATGAAGAGGCCGCTGGACGGCACTTCTTTTGTGCTTGGACCAATCAGCCACTCTGGAGTCAGGTATAACATGTCCCACTTCACTACAGAAACACAGGTTTACAGCCTGGTACAAAAACAGTGTGGGTCTCTCTGGCTCCTCTCTCTGTCCAGGCTTTACAGAGCGCTCACCTGTTTACATCATATATGAGGGACTAAAGATACTGTGGTAGTCTGAGAGTAGACGGGTGTTGCTGCACACTTTGACTTATTGACACATTTGGAGTTTTTCTAAGGACCACTTTGAAAATCTTCTCTCTGTGTTTTTGTCAGAGTGACTCTGGCTGATGGTGCTAAGTGGCTCATTCATAAAGGAGGAAATTATGGCGTCTCCTCTCAGACCGTGGTGACAGACGCTCGACACATGAGCTCAGACTGGAGGGTAAATCTGTCTGTTTCACTTCTATACTGTTGTTTTTTTATCGTTTCTGAACTGGCTCTGAGGTCAAACTCTCCTCCTCTGGGGTTTTCTCTTGTTGCAGGTTGTTCAGACAGCAGAGTTCAATGGCAGGAAGACGGTTGCTGACTTTGTGGCGACGGGCGGCTCTGAGTACAGCCTGCTGTTTGATAACTGTCACATGGGATCAAACCGGATGATGGATCAATAAAGTTAAATTTACAGCCTTCTGCAAAGCTGCACTTTGATTATCTGTGCTCAAAATAAAACTAAAGTCTTAAAGAGAGGGTGTCATGTGCCTTTTTATTCCACCTGAGGGTGCTGCAGACCCTGATTTGAACTTTAGAGGAGGCTGTTGAAGCAAAAGTCCTTTTAAATCACATGTTACATGTTCAACCACATAAAACTGTTTTTCTTTACTTTGGATTTTCTCAGGCAGGGCTCAAACTCATCAGGACAGACAAGGGGAAAAACTAAATCTGCTCTTTAGTCGATTATTTACTGTTAAAATCTGAGACAAACATCAAAACTGTAACTTTCATTTTCAAGTTTAGCAACACAACAGTTGATATTAATATCATACTTCCATTTGGACAAGCTGAGCAATGACTGACATGATAGCTCAGAGGATTGATTGCTGCAATTTTTACTCCAACAAAGTCACCAAAGATCATTTTATCTACATTATTTACATTACAAATAACCAGAGGGCACTTTGTTTACACCGTCTAAGAACTACGAGGGGACTACATTTACATCTAATCCACTAAAGGAGGGACCTGAGGGTACTGGACTTATACTGAGTCCACCACCTGTCTGATATTAGGGAAATTGCTGAAATACCAGCTATGATGGGAGTGACATACAGAGAGGGCCTCTCACCATGTTTCCTCGCTCTGTCGGGGTCTTTTGTCATGTTTAACCCTCAAGGGTCACATTTTTAAGGATTTTTCTGTGACATTTCGTCCAAACATGAGGACACCGGGCTCCTGTGAGCGTCTCTGAGAGAGGATGTCTGCACATGATCAGAGGACAAAGACTCTCCTCTCACCCTGCAGCTGATCATTGTTCTTCTTCTTCTTCTTCTTCTTCCTGTTTGTGTGTAGATTTTTCTCTGCCGTGACGTCGAGCTTCATTCCCCTCTGATTGAGAGCATTGTGCACAAGAACAGTCAGGGTTTGTAGGTGTGTAATCAGTTGTGATGACACGCTGGCAGAGATTATGTCACCACACAGACTCGATTCAACTGCAGACCGTGACGCATGTTATGTAAAGGTTACACAACTTACTCACGATTTTAGTGACTGAGCGGGTCGTAGTTTCTCCACGTGAGGTTGACCCAGAGCAGAGTGTGAGAATTTCACCCAGAACTGACCAAATGATGAAATCAATGACCATCTGACATCTTTCTGTGAGGGTAAGCACCTTCATTTCCCTTCTCAGAGTCTAAACTGTTGAGGAAAAATCATGTCTGTCCTGCTCGTTCTTCCATATTCTCAAAGATTTACATGAAACTCACTGCATCACCGCTCCCTGCAGTTTTTCTTAAAGCTTTAAAATCCATTAGCTGAGTCTTAACTCAAAATCCAGCCTAACAGACCCGATTCCTTCAGATCACTGACCCAGTTCTATTGATACCCATGATATCAATTACACAGATTCATCCAAAATAAACCCAAAGTGAGCAAAAAAAACATCCTTTAACGTTTCAAACAGAGTCAGACTCGCTGGTTCCCAGATATCTGCTGAAAGTAGAGACTGTTACCTGCACACCTGCACCTCAATTTAAATTCATTACAGAGATAAGACTTCAACACCTCTCAGATCAGCAACAAACAATAAGGACCTCCAAAACCAGGGGGCTTAAACTCTGTAAAAGATCTTCATTTTAAGACATGAGGATGAAGGGGGGAAAGACCAGCGCTCAGTAGGCTAGGTCCCCTGGAAGTCTGAGCCTACAGTAGCATATCTAAGAGCTGGCCCAAGCCTGAGTCAGACCAAACTATAGCAGCAGAACTAGAAGCTGGTCCAGGCCTAAACAGCCTCAAATGTAAGCAGAACCGTGCAAAAGTTAGTCTGGGACTAAGCCAGGTCTAACCATTAGGAGAGTTTCACCCCCTTCATAAGTGTGTGTCTGCCTCCCGCACTGTGGAGATAAACTTTAGTTCTGACTGAAAATCAGAAGAAAAAAAGGTCCACAAATTAAAACTAAACATGATTTTATCTAATCAATATGCAATATATGTTCCTGAATAACATCGTCTATGACAGACAAAAAATCTAGAAATTAAACTAACCAAAAAAGAAAACAACAGCCTGATTAAAGTCCACCATAAAGACACTAAACTGATGCATTCAGCCTCTGTCATTGAGCGCTGCACGCTTTCTACTGTCCACTGTTCCTCTGAGGTGTATGTTGAAAATGTCAGAGACGTTGAATCAGAGAAAACAGAAACCGCTGACATTTTGATTCACTGACTTCAGTTTGGATTCATCAGTAGTAGCGGCTTCCTGCTGTGACGTTGTGAACTTCAGTATTTCAGTGAAGCTGAGGTCTGATTGGAGTGGAAAGTCATTGTTCTTCTTCGGCCTCTGACTAAACGCCCACAGACGAGAGGGAGAGCGGAGGGGGAGGGACGGGAAGAGGGGGGAACACCACATCCCATAATGAACGGGGTCGGGCTCCTGTGTCAGGCGGCGTCTCTGAATGAAGCGGGGGCATGTGATCATGTGAGGTGATGGCGTTTCTGCACGGTTTGTCTGCAGCAATGCGGAACGATCCTGAGGTCACAGGTTCATTCTGGTCCACAAGTGAAGATATTAAATAAACGTTTGATAACTACAAAACAAACTGATCAGGATTCAGAATTAAAGAAAGACCACCCTGACTCTGAAGAGTCTGTGTAAAAGCTTCAAATCTGAAGGTCCAGGTCTGGATTTCTGACCTTCAACATTTTCTTCTCGTCTTGAGCAGAGACCTTCAATCTGCATGTTAATGCTGTTACTTCAGTAAACTTAAAACCTGCTAATGAAGAGACGATCTGACTCCTTTTTAAGTTCACACTGCTGCAGTAATCAAGAGGAAGCTTCAGTGTAACTTATTATTAACAGTGAATCTGAGACTCCCCATCAGTGGTGTTTGGTAAGGTTTTCTGCAGGGAGCTTTATAACTAAATCCAACACAGACATATTCTATACAAGGTGAAACAACAGATATTACATTGGATATTATATGTGCTCAATGATGTGAACCAAGGGCTCCTCTATGCATTTGCTAATTATAACAAACATTTCCTCATGACCTTTGTTTATGTTTTAAGTTTCTTCTCTGAAGTTTTTCAAAAGTCTCATCTTTCCCTCAGATTTAGACCTCCTCTCAAACTGCTTTATTTTCAGACTTCACCAGCCTCCTTTCAAAGGTGACTAAATTACTGATTACTGCATGAGAGAAGTCATTCAGTCACTTAAAAATGTCACTTGGGCTTCACTTTTTCCTTCAGTAGCCTACACACTTCTTAGATAATGTTCCTGCTCCTGGTCCGAAGTTTAGTTAAAGGGATATTTCAGCATGAAATTAATTTAGTGTCAAACACACCGTAACACTGAGTTAGACACTCCCTCCAGAGATGAATGTTGCTGACCGCTTGCTTCTCTAGTTATACCAACTTTAGTAACGACTGCAGGATAGCAAAACACAGCGGTCTGAGGAGCCATAAACAAACCTCAACCAAAATGCCACTCTATAGCCACAAATAATGCTAAGAACAGCACCTAACTTCATCAACAGTACAAATAGGGTCCAGGCCATAGTACTAGCCACCAAACATCTTTTTAACTTTGACTAATTTCTTTAGCAAAGAGACTAAACACAGCCTACCTACTCTCTTCCAGCAGCCGCTTGTTTGTAGGAAGACCTCAGGCCAGTCCATTACAGACTACAGCGGGGTGGCACAGCTCAAGGAAGAATATTTACGATCATTTCTTTATCACTTCCTTGAAGAAATAATCACCATATTAAACATTTTCACTGCAGACGCGGTAGTTCTTCTGCCTTAGCGTCTCAGTCTGATTGTATTTCCATGAAGAAATGAAATATATATATATGTATATATATATATATATATATATATATATATATATATATATATATATATATATGTCAGATTGAGGTTTAGTAAAAAAAAAAATGCAGTCAGTATTTTTAAAATCTGGGTAAAATGAATGAGCCACTGTAAAATTGAGGATTAAGGCTTTTCTACCTTTCTAAATTTACTGATCCATCAGTTATTTTATTTATTCATTTATTTTTTCTCCAAACCTTTATTTCAGTTCTCCAACAATGACAAATACATATTATTGAACATGGGGTGGCTGCATTTATTTCAGAGGAATCAAGACTTTACATAAGACAGAAAAGACAAACAAAAATTCATGGTCTGGCATACAAAAATACATAAACTACAATAAATTATGACATGGAGCTTCAGAGAAAGTCATAGTTCGAATCTTTTTCTTATTCGTTGGTCCAGTTATTGTGTTAAAATCATAGACTGTATATAGAATGGACAGAGTCTGCCTCCTCGCTGGGTGAAGCCACTTCAAGAACAGCACCCTCTGTTGATGGGCTGCAGTACAGGTCATAAATCCCACCTCCACCAGCAAAGCTTATTGGGCTGTGGACAAACTTTAGAAATTTATTACACAGAACCTAAATTTTTCTCCCCCCTGCTTGTGATGTTGACTGACTGGTTTGTGCTCAAGTCCTCTTTTTTCTGTGAAGCTCAGTTTTTAAAAGTTATTAGGGGGTTCATGTTTGCTATGATTGACACCTGATACAGCCTATGGGCGTTCAGGGATTGCGTAGCTCTCCTGGGGGATACGCTGTTTGAGCCGAGCATTGCTACTGCGCAGCGCTGGTTTCAGGAAATGAAGAAAAATCCCAGAAATACCAAGAGCTATTTGGCTTCAAATCCGTATACAGGCAGTAGGCGGAACCAAGTTGTCCATAGTATATACAGTCTATGGTTAAAATGTATCTTCATTTCATTTTTGAACTGGTGGATATTTGGTTTCTTTTTAGACCATTTACATTTATGTTTTATAAAATCTTTAATACAAATTAAAAAGGTTTAACAAAAAAATATGACGGTCATCTATCAGTTATTCCAAGCCTAAAGCTGCATTTGGGTTACCTCGGAAGTCAGAAGTTGGAACCGAAAATGACGTCACACCTGAGTTACCATTGTTTCAGTTACCAAGTCAGAAAAAAGCAAAATTGAAAGCCTGACACAAGTTGGCTACATCTACGAAAGTTATTTTATCGCTTGTCTTGTCTGAATATAAGGCAAGTGCTAAAATAACTCTCATAGATGTAGCCATCTTGTTTTTGCCTCCGATTTAGCTTTTTTCCGATATCTGCCGAACTCAGGTGTGACGCCATTTTCGGCTCCGACATCTGACTTCCCAGGAAACCCAAACGCAGCATTAGGCCTCCGCTGACTGCCGTCGTAAAGTTGCACATGCGCAGTCCCTCCTGTAAATACAAGCAGGAGGCGGCGACCGTTATGGCGCGTACCGGAAGAAAGTGGATGATTAGCTAATCTGCGGAGAGATGTTCCATACTGTTTGTAGTAATAGCTACTCTAACTAATTACTTTAAAACATCTTATGAACAACAAAAGAAATATATTTATATATATAAACCAATAATAGTCTGCCAGTCTCCTTGTGGAGGGTTGGCGCCCTAGCACCCCCGTCAACCACAAACAGATGAGTGCTCATACAGTGTAATAAACCACAGAGATACCTGCAGGAGTGACTCTCACCTTTCTTTTGATGTGAGTCTTCTAAGTTTCTACTCTGACTGTAAACAATGCCTCCAAATAAGTAAGTTATTTCCAGAGGTGTAAATCCTCAACAGACCAGTGGCTGTTGGCAGAACTAAAAACAGTGGACTGTGTTAATTGGACTGCTATACATGTGAGTAGAAATGATCATATTTGGAGGGAGGTTAGCATCCACATCTATAAAACTATACTTCTGCCCATACTCTGACTTCTTTTCATCCATATTCTATTTTATTGCAGAAGACCAGAAGTCATGGGGGCAGTGTTGAGCAGTGTAATCATCAGTCCCATGTGAGGAGACCAACACAACACGGGGCACTTTAAGACAACATGTGGTTTATTTTTGTTTAGGGTGTCAGATAAATGCCCCACAAAGTTTGGGTTTTTAAGACTGTAGCCTTCAGACTCTGGAACCATCTGCCCCTCTCTTTGACCGTTTGATCGACTCAGTGGATCCTTTTAAAAAGCAGTTGAAGACTCTTTTATTTAGACAAGCTTTTAATGAACAGGGTTTTGTTTATCTCTTTTACTTATCTTCCATATCTGCACTTATTTCCGTACTTACCTTTACTGTATTCGTATTTGTGTATGTATATATCTTTTGTGCCGTTTATGTTTATCTAATTGCACTTATTTTATGTACAGCCCTTTGTGATTTTTGTCTGTGAAAAGCACTCTATAAATTATCTTTACTTACTTACTATTGTGTTATGTTTTGTTTTTTTCACACATCTCCTCTGTTCAGAATTTTGATTTTAAATTTGATCTGAACCAAACAACATGCAGAAGTGCTCGGACCACACAGACACCTATCAGACCTAAAAAACAGCAATCAGAACCACTGTGATGTGATGATGGTTCTAACATGGAACATTTTGTATGGTTCAGACTCGCTGACTAATTACGGGAAATTCTAGACTGTCCTTGTGGTAATACCAGCAGATGAACTGGAGATCAATCGGACCAGAATCAGGTGGGAGAATAGTCACAAAGATTCAGACAGTTTATGAGTGAACAACTGTGGGTGTTGTCTGAATGTTAGAAATTATTTAGGAGCCAAATGTAAAGGCATGACTTTGAAACCAAAACCAAATAAAAATGTATATGATACCAAAGAGGTATCCCTCCTACAGGGCCATGCTGTTGTCATCCCTGTTGTCAGAACGTGGTTTGTCATGGTCTCTGTGAAACATGATTAAGTCTTTGTCTGGATAGCAGCAGGTGTTCAGTGACAGTGTTAAGAATCAGTGACAGGCTGGGGGAGTTTAGGCAAACGTCTTTAATGTCATAGCTGATTAAATTATTTCAGATTGATAGACAGAAGTCCTCCGTCCTGATTGGACTTGGTCACATTTCTATAATAGACACTGACGTGTGGGGGGTCATGTGATATAGATGCTGTTAAAATTAACCACCTGAGGGGTTTGGTGGTTTGTGCAGCAGCGCCTCTTTCAAATCCTTTTCTTGGTCGCTCTTCCTCTCAGTGTAAACTCCCCCTCCGTCTTCTTCTTCCCTTTTTCTCGCCTCAGCGGTTTGAGATCAGAGGAAGAGTGTCTGTGCTCTGAAGACACCCCGCTGAGGTGTTTTCCCTTCAGTCACAGTGAAAGTTCAGATGTTTCTCAGTCTTTGTGAAGAAAACATCTGTTCAGTTTCACTTTCAGTTTCTCACTCCTGTTGAACCTTCAGCCGATGGTGCGCAGGGTTTGGTAGCCCCTCTTCTTCTGTGACCTCAGCAGTGGCGTCTGGGTGTCCACGTCCCGAGATAAAACTCTCCGCCGGCGGCGGGTTTGGCAGAGACGAGCCCGAGTCCACCCGTAGACCAGACTGTTGAGGAAACCCTGAGAGGCTGAGGTGAATGCCTGAGGGGGAGACAAAGGACAAACCTGAGCCTGAGTCTGAGTGTGGAGCAGTTAAAGCAAAGTTTGTCAAGTTTTCACCTGCAGACTGACCTGTAAAATGTAGAGGACGACCCCAGCCTCGCCCTGACCCCCTGATGACCTCCCCACCCGCAGAAAGGCCAGAGTGACGGCTGTGAAAAAAACCCAGAAACACCGTCAGCCCCTCCAGAACCTGACCTCTCTGTTCCTCAGGTATCAGGATCAAGAGACTCACCTGGACCCCAACAAAAGAGGAAGATCAGCGGGTACAGGAGCATCCGCACGTCCATCTCACGAAATGATGCTCTCTGCTGGTTGCCTAAGTAACCGTTTGACGTCACAACCCGCCTGTGAATGTGGCGGGTTTTCACCACGAGCACCTGACGTGAGAAAGAAGAACACTCTTTAACAAAACCCTTAAAACTACAGGAACCTCAATGAGGGTTTTGATAATTGCTGGCCGTGTCCTTTCACGCCACATTACTCACTATGATGCCCAGAAGTGTGATGAAGAAGATGGCGAGGAAGATGGCGATGCGTGAGATGTGCAGCAGTCTGCAGATGCCGATTGGCTGGTGCTCCTCTGAGTTAAAATACAGCGCTCCGGTGTGCATCAACAGACACCTGGTTTGGTACAGTGCACACAAGGGGTCAAAAAATGTCGAAGTTTAGATTTGATTTGATTCATGACTGAGGGGAGAACTGTGGCTGATGAGTCAGCATTTGACCTTCTGTTTGGACACTAATGAGGAGAGGAACTTTAATTTTACGAATTTTAGGACTTTAATATATAGACTCTAGAGATCACCAATGTTTGACCATGTTTGACCTGCTTCTGAATCTAGGAGTTAGACCTCGGTGTCTGTGCGTGGATTTGATCAGGTATGTTTCTACTCACCTGTAGGGCTGGCTTAAGTTGGCCTGACATTGATTGATGTTGTCTAGTACAGAAACAGGCATCATCAACAGAACAGGGAACATCCTGTTAACACCAGAGGAGCAGAGGAGGAGGGCGGGTTCATGCAGCAGTCCTTCACGTAAACATACATGTCTGTTTATCAGCTGACTGTACTCACCCTGAACACAGCACAGTGATCTGATTGGCTGTGCTCACCCTGTTAGAAATCTAAAGACAAATACAGATAATAAAAATAATCAATGAAAGACGAGGTTTCAAGGTTTCTGGGTGTTTTCTTCCTCTTCTTTGACAAGAATTTAAAATTTTCTTTTAAAGGAGACGGAAATACGTCCTCTCAGATCTTTGCTGTGAAGAAGGTATGCTCCGTTATCGTCTGGTTTAAGCCACGCCCACTTCTAGTTTTCTATCCTTTTACAGACATGAATCATTTTTTGGGGTTACTGAAACTAGAAACTTAAACTGATGTCTCAGCAAACACAGAGATGGAGAGAAAACGACGCTGAGTTTAGCATCATCCATGGTGAAGATGTACAGGTTGTTGACTCTTACACGTATCTCTGAACTTTGTTTGACTCTGACCTAAAGTTCGTCCAGAACACAGAGGCAATAGTTAAAAAAGGTCAACAAAGAATTCACTTGTAGCAGAAACTGAGATCCTTTAGTGTTTCCAAGGACATCCTGTCTTATTTTTATCATTCTTTTATTGAAAGTCTTTTAATGTTCTCTTTTATCTGCTGGTTTCATGGATTATCTGTAAAAAGGACAGAAAATCAGATCGTAAAAGTCTGCTGATGTCCAGCTGATGGACCTGAGCTCTCTCTGGGAGAAACTAGTGGTCCAGAAAGCCAAAGGAACCATGGACCAGCCTGGACACAACAGACTTTTCTCTTTTGCCCCCCCTCTCTCTTTTGACTCTTTTATTGCAATAGTCATTCCTCTGTGAATGTATTGCACATGTATTTATTATCTAGTTATTTATTAATTACTGATTTGCGGTGCTGACAGGGGAATGTTTGGGCCATGTGAATGTCTAGTATTTGTCTGTTCCTGATCATTTAACAACAAGGCGGTGAAATGAACTGACCTTCAGGGACTAATAAAGTTATCTGAATCTGAAATCTACAAGTCAACCTTGAAACAGAGCTGTATGAACAACTTCTCAGGCCGAGTTTGATATCAGAGGAGAACAAATACAGTTAGACAGAGATCATTAAAGTCTGAGACCTTCAGACCTGTACCTGTGCTGAGTATCCGCTGAGACAGCTGTAGAGTTTCTCTCGGATTCCTGTGTAGAGGTTCCACACAAAGTTCAGAGTGTAGAAGAAGGAGGCCATGTACAGAACCTGACAGAGCACAGACAGAGATCCTGGTTTAGTGTGAATGTTGAGAGGTAGATGAGAGGGTCCAGCATCTTGATCTGGACTTTGTTTGTGTCCTCAGACATCCAGGATGTCAACATTCCTCCATGAAAAGACAAACAGACTCCAACTGCAGGTCCAGGCCTCTGAACAAAGGATGTAGGTCAGGAATGTTGGTGGTGTTTTTCTGGCTTCTGTCTCTTTTTCCAGTCCCTGGTCTGTCCTGCTTCTGATGCTCTATTTCATCCTAGACTGACCCAGATCAGGGTCCATTCTGGACCAGGTCAGGTGGGAACAAGCGACCCAAAATACAAAGACAAGATCTCCTCCATGAGAGGATCTGCGCAAGTTTCCACATTTGGCCTAATGAGCTCACAGACCAAAGGGGACGTGTGAGAGGAGGGAAACCCCAGTCAGGACGAGTCCAGGACCAGCTGACAAGACTGTGGGGAGGTTTATCTAGAGACAATACCAATGAAAGTCCTGCTCCTCATGGGCAGACACCATCATATCTGTAAGACTTCATCATGTGGTCTGGACTACCTCTGGGACTTAAAGGTGTTGTAGGTGTTCTTTTAATATCAGTCAATAGTTGTTAGTTATTGATGATATTTGGTAATATAACTATATCTCTGTGTTCTCTTATGTCTGTGTAGTCAATATTTAAAATTTTTGAGCGGTCTGCTCTTTCTGACTGTAAACAAAGCCGTTCTCCACCTCCCTGACTTGATTGGTTGTGAGGCAGACGCTGCTCCCCTGTGTCGTTTACGAGTCCAAACAAAGTTAGCGTGCTACAAAAAAGCCGGGTCAACATAAATGATGGGGGACGCTTCGGGATCTTGGTGACCCTGTAACCTTTCTGCTGGACAGGTAAACCACATTAACAAAGTAAGCCAAGTGTCTGTAACAGAAGTGTTTCTTGTCAAACGGGACCTGCTGTAGCGTATTGTAGCGCCATCGCTAAACTGTTGACCTTGGGTCCTGGACTTTGTCACTTTATCCTAGTTGTAGAAGTCCTACAAACATTGTGTTTGCTGCTAGTCTGTTGGCATCTACAGTAGCACCAATGCTTTTTATTTTCACCTTGACTGGGCCCCATTTGTAATCATCTGAAGGATTTATCTGCATTATATCTGAATTTAATTGGAACGATACGAGCGAGCAGGAGCGTCTGTTTGTGGGCGGGGCTTGCTGGAGCAGAGAGGGAGAGGAGGAGCTGAGGGGAAAACTGGTTGGGAGGGGTAGAGTTCACGTTCAAGATTTCTCCTAAAAACTGGAACTTCCTCAGATCCTGACTACCCCACCTTTAAAGTCTCAAATAACAGTACGAGAGGTCGACCCTCCAGACTCAGACCTGCAGACTCTTATCTCTTAATTTTCTGTTTGTGTGACTTTATTTCACCATGTCTCTTCAAAGTCATGGTCCACAGGTCTGTCTGAGAGTCCCCGGGACCCCTAGTCTGGGTCTTTGCTGCTCTGTGTTTGTTTCTTTGTGAGGAGAAAATAACTGTAAAGGGTTTCCTGTAAATGATTATGGAGCTGTTTGAACCTTCTGCTGTTTAAACCTCCCGATGACTGAGAGAGGTTTGACTTTCATCTTTTATCAGAATCGGATCAAACCAACGCTCTATTTTTGGTAAATGCAGGTTTGTGAAGAGGAAGTTTTATGAATATTGTTGTTGTTAAGACTCCGCAGCTTTCTGTTTCAGCCTGTTTGCCTCATTGTCTTAATACCATTTTCAAAAGCACCAATTTAAAAAGAAAAAGTTCGTTGTTTTTGAACTCAGTCACATTCTGGTAAAATAAACCTTAGAGGAACATTTCTGTGACTTTAAAGGACCAGTCTGCATAATTTTCTTGACACACAGAGTGGGAGAAAGTTGGGACTATTTTCTGCAGCATATCAACACGTTGGCACTCTGCATTATTTTTGCACAGATGAATATGTTATATAGGGCTTTAAAGGTGTATGGTGTGTGGGGTGTGAGAATGTGTCAGTGTAGCTCTGTGTTGTTGCATTACCTGCTCCACAGTGTGCAGATGGTAACAGTGTCTATTCAGTCTGCTGCAGCGCTGGGAGAAGAGGGCGCCGCCGATCAGCCAGCAGACAGCGAGCAAAAGGTCGGACACACTGAGCAGAAACAGGGGCTGCAGCTGTACACACACACGCGCACACACACACGTACAAACACACACACAGATGGTTTCAGTGACACGATTTTTAAAAAGAAATACAAGAAGTAAAGGAAACTAAGATTCGAGTCAGTGACTGACCTCAGGTTTGCGTCGGAGTCTCTGTAACATCAGCGAGGCAATGATGGAGCCCGAACCCAGAACACTGAAACAGAACCAGAATCGGTGTTAAATAAAACCTCACAGACAAACATGATGAGCAGAAGTCCTCGAAAAAAAAAGTTTCAAAAGTAGAACTGGAAGAAACTGAATTTTCATCACATCGTCACAGCTGTGTCTGACAACTGTGACCTTTCAGCTCCTTCATATTTGACCTTTACAGTGGAAGTGACCCAAAGTGAAAGTCTAAAACATAACACTGACATTCACTGAAAGGAGAGGGAAAGAGAGAGGACACTTGAAGATCTTGGTGAGAGTTTGTAGAAACACAAACAGCAGAAGTCAGGACTCTTCTCCTACAGAGCCATGATGTTGTCAGAATGTGGTTTGTCACTGTCTTACTGAAATATTAAAGTCTAAATCTGTAGATATTGTTCAGCATTATGCTTAAAACTGAGGATGCAGCATCTATGATTTCCAGTTCTTCGTTAAAAGGACAACTGGACTTGAGACGTTTCGCCTTCGGCTGTTAGATTTTGATTCATCAGACCTCAGGACAGTTCAGGGACAAGTGAGATTACTTTTATGGAGCCTTCACAGACCAAGAAGATACCCATTAAATGGACTCTGGTGGTACCCAGACCATCAGGGATGCTGGATTCGGACTGGGAACTGAAAACAAACCGAGTGAGTGTGTGTTGGAGGTGAACTCACTGACCTGAGCAGAGCCATGACCAGCTGGATCCACCTGATGGCCTCGTACACCTGCAGACACACAGCAGACCCAGGGTCAGGGTCCGCCCACACAGAAAATAAAGCCTCAAACTTAAACAGGAAGTGAAAAAAGGGAAAGTTTAAAGAGAGAGCAAAGAAAACATTTATTCACACAAATCTGATTTAAATAGAAATATGAGCAAGTCAGGAACAGTGAGGTGTCAAACACAGAGGAGGAGGAGGAAGTGTATGTAGGAAGCTGAAATTGATTTGGATAAGTATACAAAATAAAAAATAGATTTTCACGTCTGTGGATCCTCAGAGCTCTAACATACCGAGTTTAAACCATCTTTCTGCAGAAGGTCCATTTGTTCACAGGACCATCTAAAGAACCAGGTCAGAACTGAGTCTGTAAGTTCTGTAAGAAATTTTTAATTATTTTGGTATTTCTTGTTTTTACTCTTCAAACTGTCGTCTTCAGAGCAGAAATTCAAAGTAATGGTCATTTTCCTAAAAAACAGCAGTTCCTCCAGTGTCCACTAGAGGCTGTGTCCTGCAGTGAGTCACTCTCCATAGAGCTCCATGTTAAAATTAAATAAACCTGTTCACTGAGCGGTGTAGAAACAGTTTGGGTTAGCATGACAACATGAAACTACGTTAATCATTTGTTAACACTATACTGACGGTAATAACGGGTGTCACTGTGACTTCATTAGGGACTATTTCCAGTGGTGTATGAATACGGTGCTGGTACAGGAGTGAGTTGATGATAAATCTAAATATAAAGGAGAGCAGCTCTCTTTGGTCTGAGCAGCAGCTGTTGGAGGGAAAGTTGAAAAACTGAAAAAATCCACTGAGTCAGGTCTGAAACAAGAAAGAGAGAGATGAGAGTGAAACCTGCTGCAGGTTCAACTGCCTCATTTCATCCACCTGAAGAAGAACAGCAGCAGCAGAGGTAATTAAAGGGACAGTTCACACATTTTAGAGTGAGATTGTTGTTTCCCTCTGAGTATTGTAGCCGCTGTAGACAATGGTCAGAAAACTGGGGGTCCAGAGGGAAGGGTGGTCCGAGCTGGACTGAGCGAGTACCCTGGTCTGTTAAAGATCTGTACAGACTGTTTGTGTTTAAACTCTCAGGTTCCCATAAAACAACATTAAACAGGAAAGACTCAATAAAGATGATTAAGGCTCAATAAATATGAAAAGAACCGGTTTATTCCTCAAAGGAGGAGTGTTATTTTGGTAGTTAACAGCATTCAATCATCAGAACTCCTCCTCAGGTTTGGTCAACCACTCTCAGATTCATTCAGTTGTATTTTAGCAGCAGTTTTTTTAATCAGCCTTTTCTGTGTGTTATTTAGCTCCAGGTGTGTGTTTAGATTGTGTGTGTGTGTGTGCGTGTGTGTGAGGTGTTACCTGAGTCCAGTCCTCCGGTGAGGTGGTGTTCCTCTCCGTGTCGTTAGTCAGCTCCTGCAGACCCTGAGCAGAAAACTTCATTTTGAAAAGTTCCTGAATGAAGATCTGGCTCAGGGTTCAGGGTCTGGATCTGAGACTGTCTGATGAACCTCCAACAGCCTCAGAAGAGGATTTTATCCTGCTGCACACACACACACACACACACACACACACACAGGAGGCTGGACTCAGACCATCTGACTCCACCCACTTTCAAATATAACCACACCCCTTTAATGACCAAGGGCCAAGGAGGCGGAGACCAGAACAGAAAGAGACCAGACCAGGACCTTTAATGAACTTATTCAGCGCCACCTTCAGGACTAAGTTCTTCCCTCTAAAAAAACGAACTAGTTTGTAAAATAATAATAAATAATATGTAATAATAAAAATAATAATGATCATAATTATAATAATAATTATAATTATAATAATAACAGTAAAAATGATAATAATATTTACAAAATTAATAATAATAAAAAATGATAATAATAATAAAATGATAAAAACGTTAATAACAATAATAAAATAAATGGTAATATAATACTAATAAAATAATAATATAATTATAGAAATGATAATAATAGTAATATTAATAATAATAATAAAAACAATAATAATTATATTAATACAAATAATAATAATGATCGCAATGAAAATAACATTAATAAAAAAATAAGAATAACAATTATAATAATAATTACAATGATTATAATAATGAAATGATAATAATAATAATAATAATAATAATAATAATAATCATAATGATAATTATGATAAAAATGATGATGATGATAATGATAATAACAATAATAATAATAATAATGATAATAATGATAAAAATGATGATAATAATAATAATAATAATAATAATAATAATAATAACAGTAGATTGCAGCCACACAACAGGTAAGTACTGTTGTTTTATAATATGAATTTTTTTTTTCCCCTCTCACCAGTAAACTGAACCTTCTGTTCTTGTGTCACAGCACCACCTGCTGGTGTAAAGGAGGAAGTAGCACACTTTTGAACTTCAACACATCAAATAGAAAGAAAACCTCCCAGTGTTATTGATTAAACACCTGTGAATTAATCAATTAAAAGACTGAATGATGTTTTTTAATCAACATAATCCTCCTAATTCAGATTTTTATCTTTTCACTTTTTTCTTTTCTCAGTTTCATAAAAAACAAACTTCAGTGAGAAATCTTCAGATAGTTTTTTTTTTTTTTTTCCAAATTAATGAAAACTTAATTTCTATAGAACTTCTATAGAACTCCAGAAAATACAACATCAGATCATGAAACTGATTTTTTAAATCCAGATAAATCTCTGTACTAAAGGGGGACAAGGACCAAAACCAGGACTGGATGGTCCTGATCTTCAGGGCATCAAAAACAGACAGGACTCTGGAGTGGAAATCACCGCATGTAAAGGACAACTGGGCTTACTTGAAACGTTTCGCCTTAGGTGAACTGGAAATCATAGATGCTGCATTACTTCAAAAACCACTGACTGTGAACACTAATGAGGTTTAAACTGAGACCAGATAGAACCAGGATCCAGAACCACCAGAGACTTGTCTAGACCTGGGTCCAGATATTTTATTGACACTGTGTTTTCTCCTCTAAATAAATACCTGAACAGGTGAGTCTCAGTTTCACTTGTTCTCTCTCTCTCTCATTCAACACAAAACCTCTTTGAGTTCTTAATCAGTGTCCTCCAGCAAGGCACTCAGGCTGACCTTTGACCTTCATCAGCAAAGTCACATGTATCTGATTTTTGCGTGAAGTAAAGCGCTAAAACCTCCACGCCTGATTGGCTATAGAGATACTCAAGATTCCCACAGACACCTGGGGCTGGGTCAGTCTGAGCCGGTCTCTTCAGGTCTGTTTTCTCCTGGTGTGTTCAGGGACTCGTGTTCAGGTCTGTTGTCTCATGATTAGTTCAGGGACTCGTGTTCAGGTCAGGTCTCGTGTTCGGGGAGTTTTCTCGTGGCTTGTTCAGGGACTCGTGTTCAGGTCTGTTTTCTCGTCGTGTGTTCAGGGACTCGTGTTCAGTCAGATTTTTAAAGATTGAGGCATCAAATTTGGTGAGAGTTCTTGTTTTTCTTCATATTAGAAAGAAAAAAAAAAACTCTGTGTCACCTGTAGTTCTCCGCCACATTTTAGCTCCACCCACCCTCCTTTGTCTTCAAATTGGCCAATTGGCCAATTCCATTAAAAACAGGTTTTTTGACCATGTGTTTGTGGCACCATAACAACATATTACAATCTTTTTTTGCAGTCAGTCGATCAGCAGGGCTCTAAATTTGACTTTCCGCCAGTGATACAACAGATTGAGCCAGCACATCATTTTAACCCCTTCTGTGCCGCACACGCAAGTCTTCATTCATGGACTGAGAGTGTTTGAAGCGCTGATTCATCCACTAAACATCATCAGAAATGAATGAAACTTTACACACCACTAGATATGGATGTCTAAGAGTGGGATATGTGTGTAAGGAAAAGTTTGTGTGCTCCTGCGTGTGTGCACAGGCGAGAATCTGCGTCCATGTTTATAACCGGACATGCCGTGAGCGGAGTTTTTACAGTCGAAAATCCGACGTCCAAGTTCTGCAGTGTGGGACAAAGAGAGGGGGACAATTGAACAATTTCAACTTTGCCCTCACTTCAGAGCAAGTGGATGGACATGCATGAGGATGAACAGGTCCTTTAGATCATTAGGTGAGAAGATATCACATCTCAAATATGCATTTATTTTTTATATGTGCGCAATCAGCGTAATCACCGTCATATTTTGGTTAGAGGTGGATTACCACTAATAAATAATTCCTCTTATATACATCTTCTGATTTTATATGACTATATATAAAATTTATTTATTATGAACAAATAAATTCAATCACATTTGATTTGGTAGAGGACGAGGCTCGAGAAAAGGAGGTGAAAATGGCGTGTTTTTCCGCTCCAATAGACTCAGCTGTTTAGAACGCAAGCTTCAGTAAATATGACATGTGCTGCGTCCGAATTGCCCGCTCGCATACTACATGCTACTGCTAGATCCTACTCCTACATACTAAACATGTTGGCCCAATTCGGACACACTAGACGAGCGGTGGGGAAAGACGACCCCCGCAGGCAGAGAGTAGGTACTGCGCCCGTTTTAGACTCTGAATGGTAATTGTGCAAGTGATGGATGCTGCTGTATTATATTCCTGCACTGCTTTAGAAATTCACAAAGTAGCTTTTCCATTACTTTTAGCCTTCATTCACGCACGTGGTGATCGTTTGTTCAATGAGATCTGCCTGATTAGTGCAGCTGTGCAGTTTAATGATGGAATAAGTGAGCTTTACCTCCATGATGTCGCCACATGTTTGCTCATAAAATGATTACTTGGACAAATATGACACCATGACATGACAAAGAGATACAACCGCACATTTTTTTAGGACAGTGTGCAAAGTTACATGAAACTTACATCTGTACTGCTGCAGTCCTGCCTGCTGCTGCTCCGCGACATGGTGCGCGCTGCTGTGGCCAGCCGGCGTTCGCGACGCATCTACATAGGCAGCAGCTGGTGGCGCTAGCATCACATGCACTTCTACAACTTTTAAGAGGACGAAGAAGAAGCCCGCGGTGCATTTTGGGTCAGTAGCATGCACGTAGGATGCAACGCGACCATCCTACAATGTGGGCGTGTCTCGTATCTGAAGTAGTATCTGAAGTAGCATGCTACTCGCTCCGGTGGCCAATTCGGACTTGCTATATACTACTTCGACTACTACTTCGACTACTACTTGACAATTCGGACGCAGCACGAGTGAACAAAAACAGGCATAAAAAGGGAAATACATCAATTTTTTTATTTATTACTATTTTAATGGTTAGGGCTGAAGTTGTTTAAGAGATTTGAGTCGAAAAAAGTAAAAAAAAATGTTAAAAAATGATTATTTTAGGAACACTTATCTGCATGTCCGTTCTGGGGACAAAGTAGGCTGGCTGGAGCTTCAAATTCACAGGAGCCGAGGGTTAAAACCTGATCCTGCCTGATCGTCATGTTTTTGCATTTTGAGTTCATGTTTCAGATCCAACTAAATAACCTCAGAACAGTCAGACGGAGGCTGACCCGTGTTCGCAGCAGCAGGGATGGTGTCAGCGAGCTCCGGTCTCCAGCTTTCTTCTTCTCCTTCAGAGTTGATCAGACTGCTGACGTCGCCTTCCTTGTTCTCTCCTGTGTCCTTAAACACCTGGTCGCCATGGTCGCCAGGTAAAGCTCTGGGTTTGGTGATGAAGGACTCAGGGGTACTGAGGTCCTCAGAACTCTGAAAGGACCAGAGCAAAAATGATCTCAGCATAGGGTCAGTCTTAAGGAGCCGAGTCCATGAACAGAGTCCGTGGTGGTCTAAATGAACAGGTGGATTAAATACCTGCTTCTTCAGATGCTCCCCCTCCTCCTCCTTCTCCTCTTCCTCCTTCGCCCCCTCCTTCTCCTCAGTCTTCATGTCCAACCAGTACTCCTGAAACACATCACATGACAAAAGTCTGATGACCTTCATGTCCAAAGGTCCTCCTAAACTCCCCCGAGTTCCTCTGCAGGGTCCTCATTTAAAAACTGTTCGTAGAAAAGGTTCTAAATTCTGTCGTAGGATTGAAATGTCGAATGTGCGTAAGAACAAAAAAACTCAGTATTTCTCAAACATGCGGACACCAGTCGTACGCACACTAGTCAGTAATCGGTGATGATAAATCCTACCTGTTCTTTCCTAGCGTGCTTGTTCATGGTTAGGGTCATTTGCATTCAGAAACGCCTCCAATTGATATATATGGTATCAACAAACCTGTCACAGCTGATTTTATAGCTTGTCACACCAATCATTCAAAATGTCTGATCAATAACTAATTGATCAATTTTGTACAAAGGGAACAGAGAACATGTGTGAAGTCTGAGATAGCTGAACGTTGTGACTCCTTTCATGGGTTCTAGTTGTAGTTTCACTGTTCTACCACTAGGCTTTGTGTGTAAGCATGCTCAGAGTTGGGTTTAAATTTACTCATGTTCCTAAGCACAAGTGCAGGTTGATCAATTCCAGACTTTGTGTGGGAATGTTTGTGCACTCATTACACACACATCTGTACGAACAGACGGTTGATAAACGAGGACCCTAATGTTTGAGGGTTTCAGTCTCACCTGGTCTGCAGGGTCCTGGATGAGGCCTTCCCTGATGTGGGTCATCATGTGTTTCCGGAGCCAGCAGGGTTTCAGGAAGCTCCGGGGGCAGATGCTGCAGGTGTGGCATGTTTTGTGGATCTTCTTGGGCACTCTCAGGTCGGTGATGGTACTGAACATCTCCGTGCACGTGGAGCAGCGGTGCAGTGCCTCGGTGGCGTGGATCTTTAAGTGCCGTTGGAGTGTAGACGGTCTGAAGAAGCTCCTCTCACAGAGGGAGCAGCTGTGGAGCTTCTTATCTGGACTCAATGACACAGAAATCAGAACCAGGATGAGCAGAGACTTGACCAGGTATTCGATCAGGACCCAAAAGTCTGAGAGGAGCCTGATCCAGGGACCTCTTCAGAAAACTGATGGACTGTATTAACACTTAGAACTCCACTGGATCGCCGTCGATCCCACGTGACACCATGAATATAGTTTACAGTTTCTCAGGAACTATACCGTGTATCTCTATGGGATGAAAAGTGTATAAAAGCTTACCCTTTTGGAGGTCTATCAAGGGTTTCCAGACATTTCTACACCTGCCACAAGGTTTACAATCCAGCCACAAAAATAGGTGTTTGATCAGATTTGTTTGATAGTAAATCCACAGTGATATACCGGTGAAAACATGATTATTTATCATATTGTTGTGATAAAGATTGCTATCGTTTAATGCTGCTAATGTCTTCTTGGTTTGACAAGCTGTTTTGATCATGTCTTTTTCTGTCAAACTTTCGACCAATTACATGGTCTCATATTCTTTTTCTATTCAAAAATGCATTGAGCAAGTAGCACCAGCGCATTTGAACGAAATTCACTTTCTAGGCACTTTTTCCTTTGTCCCAATACAGCTTATGACCTCGAGCGAAGTTTCTTTCGCGGAGTTTCAGATGCCGTAGACGTGGATGCATCGACGATGCTGCGTTAAGGGTTTGACTGACCCGTGGCTGCATCACGTTCTTGTTTCTCAAACCCCTTTAGCAAATAAATCGCTGGTAGCATGTCATGTGAAACCCAGCGTCATCAGGAACATTGTCAAAGTCGATATCAACGCAAAGTTTATAAGTTTCTGCAAGGTCCTTTGTCTCACCCTGTAGAGAAAGCCACTCTCTAATACTAGTTCTGTAAGTTTCCAAACGTGTCCTTGTAAAGTCGAGAACGTCTTCACTCTGGACAGATGACAGATGATAGATGCATATAGCATCGTTTCGCTCCTTTTTTTATCAATCAATCAATCAATCAATCAAATTTTATTTATATAGCGCCAATTCACAACAGTCGTCATCTCAAGACGCTTTTCAAGGAACAAGAGCAGGTCAGGACCGCGCTCATTGTTTGATGATCAAGAACCAACCTAAGATGGGTTTTGGCCCATCTCAACTAACATGAGTAGCAGTGGCAAGGAAAAACTTCCTTTTAACAGGCAGAAACCTTGGGCAGGACCAGACTCATGCTAGACAGCCACCATGCCGCTGCTGGGTTGGGGAGGAATGTAGAGAGAAGAGGGGAGAGGGGGAGAGGACAGGGGGAGGGAGAGAGACAGCAAGATAGGGGAAAGGCGAGAGAGAATTAGTACGGAGAGGGAGGGGGAGGGAGAGAGAGTAGGGAACGAGGGTGAGAGAGAGACAGGAGGCAGCAGGAACAACAGCAACAACGACAACAGCTCATGTAATGGTGAAACAAAAAGACGTTCAGTTTACAGGTTTAGGATATGAGTGATAATGGACAATGTTTAATTAATTGATTGTTGAATTTTTATGCACTTTTGAAGGCTGTTTTCTTTTGTTCCTTGTCTTTTCTTCCTCTTCGCTTGTCTCGCTGCGAGATGCGGTCATCGCCATGTTTGTGTATTTCTGACACTATTGCTGCGTCCGAACTGCCCGCTCGGATACTACATGCTACTGCTACGTGCTACTGCTAGATCCTACTCCTACATACTAAACACGTTGGCCCAATTCGGACACACTAGACGAGCGGTGGGGAAAGACGACCCCCGCAGGCAGAGAGTAGGTACTGCGCCCGTGCAGACAGCGGTAACTGAAGCCCCTCATCTGCGGGCCTGGCTGTAGTACTGCAGCTGTGCAGTTTAATGATGGAATAAGTGAGCTTTACCTCCATGATGTCGCCACATATTTGCTCATAAAATGATTACTTGGGCAAATATGACACCATGACATGACAAAGAGATACAACCGCACATTTTTTAGGACAGTGTGTGAAGTTACATGAAACTTACATCTGTACTGCTGCTGCTCCGCGACATGGTGCGCGCTGTTGTGGCCAGCCGGCGTTCGCGACGCATCTAAATAGGCAGCAGCTGGTGGCGCTAGCATCACATGCGCTTCTACAACTTTTAAGAGGACGAAGAAGAAGCCCGCGGTGCATTTTGGGTCAGTAGCATGCCCGTAGGATGCACCGAGACCAACCTACAATGTGGGCGTGTCTAGTATCTGAAGTAGTATCTGAAGTAGCATGCTACTCGCTCCGGTGGCCAATTCGGACACGCTAGATACTACTTCGACTACCACTTCGACTACTACTTGGCAATTCGGACGCAGCTTGTGGCAACGAGACTCGGCTCCTATTGGTCCACGTGACAAAAATCGCTTCACCCCTCTGCATATTCGATTGCGCGTGTGCAAATATCACTACGCCGCAGAAGGGAAATAGTTCGACACCGAAACACTGATTACTTAAAATCGACAGGATGGCATGAGTAGATATTTTTTTAGTACTTACTATCAATAGAGCTTTTTTATGAATCACAGTTTATGTTGCCCCACTGAAGTGGAACGAGACTCACTTTCTAAGCACTTTTTCCTCTGTCCCAATACAGCCTATACACCGCAGAAAGGAAATAGTTCGACACCGAAACACTGATTACTAAGAATCGACTGGATGACATGAGTAGATATTTTTTTAGTACTTACTATCAATAGAGCTTTTTAATGAATCACAGTTTATATTGCACCACTAAAGTGGAACGAACCAACACGATCTCATTCAGCCAATACAGCCTAATTGTAGGCTAAGCTAATGTGTATTCATGCCACTTCCTGAACGCAGGGTGACGGGGTGGGGAAGGAGGGGGAGGCCTGTCACTCATGGCAGACCGCGCCCCTCTCAGTCGAGGCCCGCCCCCACGGAAAAACAGGGTCAAAAGTGAACCTGAAACTTTTCAAGTTGAATCCGAAAAAAGATCTGAATCTGAAAAAAAAAATCTGAAACCAAAAAAAAAAAACGTTTTGAATCCGTAAAAATAAGATCTGAATCTGAAATAAATAAATCAAATTCAATCGGAAAAAAAAGTACTCTAAGATCGAAATATACATTGAAGTGAAAAATATAAACTAGAAAAATTGCATTTCCTTGCAGAAAATGCGTGGAAATGCTGAGTGCTGAAAGCTGAAAAAGCAATGCTAAACTGCTAATAAAACATGGAGAAATGTATAAATGTTAAAGCTGTTGAAGGGGTGTGAAAGAAATGTAAGTTGGATAATTGATTAATTGGTTGAAGGACAAATAGTATGAATATGCTCTATAAAAAGAAATTTTATTTATGCTGAAAGAGGCTAGAAAAATGTCTAAAATTGCACAAAGTTTGAATGAAGAAGGAAATTGCCTTAAAAGGCAGGAAGGTGGGAAGTGGCATAAGTTTAATTTTTTAAGTATTAGAAAGGTTTGAAACAGTTTGAATCAGTTCAAATTAGTTTGAAAAATTAAATGATAAATCATCACTGAGTGACTTTAAAATGTGAAAAATCTAAATGTATATAAATCCTAAATACACCCCATAATGTCCTCAATGAGCTCAAATTTTAAAGCCCTGAATGGTTTCTGTAGGTCAAAGGTCATGTGAGGAGATAGGGGCTGAAGTTTTTTCAAGCGCTCTAGTAAAGGGTTTTAAGTGTCATCCCCAGTGCTATGTGTGCTGAGCCTGGCTTCATGTGTCTCATATGGCCATTAGAAGCAGCTTTCCAGTCAGCTGTGTGTCTCCAGGTGCACTAATTGGTTGCCATGGGGACCTTGGATGCATAACTATAGCAGGAGAAAGAAGGCTTGAAGCTAAGGAAACAGGACTCCAAGTAGGCCCTGACGCTCATCCTCTGTATCTATTCCTGAAAAGGAGCTTGTGAGAACACAAGACTCTGCTAAACACATTAATACAATTTATTATCACAATCCTCAAAACACCCCATAATATCTTCAATGAGCTGAATTTTAGAAGCCCAGAATGGTTTCTGTAGCTCAAAGTTTGTGGGTGGAGACAGGTGGCGAAGCAGACACATATTAACTGTGTGTACAAGCAGCTGAACTGCAAGGTAGACCTCATAAAGCAACAAGTACAAGAATGTGTGTGTGTGTGTGTGTGTGTGTGTGTCTCTCGTTAATGACTGCATCCTAAACAGCTGTGAGATCAAAGGCAAATCACTGACCTACTGTTTGAATGAGAAGCAGCTGAACTGCAGAGGATTTAGAGGCTCTAAACTTCTTCACATAGCGTGATTTCCTTAAGTCACAGAATGAAAATAAGAACATCGTACGAATCCTCCGCCCTTCATGAACACAATGATGTCTTTTTCATGTCTGTACTTCGAAAAATGAGGCCACAACAGCGAGTTAAAAAAGTCTGAGCCTGAGCGATGATCCGGATTTTCTTGGAGAAAAATAACATTACGGTCAATGGGAGAGATTTCCGCCTTTTTTGGACAGTTGGTCACCTGCTGGCCAAGGGGTACGATTTAATGATTTGAAACCTCTTTTGTGAGAAGCAGGACACATATACCTCCATTTTGATGTATTTTTTATGGCTGTGGAGTGAGATTTGTGGGCGTGGGAGCGATATATTCCAGCGAGGTTCTGTCGATCAGAGAGGAGCTGTCCACTCTAGTGATGACATCATCACTCTAAACTCTCCAATACACACCCATTATAAGCCTGAAAATTTGCTGAAAACCACAAGGTGCATAAAGCTAAATTGTGGAAAAACTGAAGGAGATAGCACAAAAAAGTCAATACAGCATATTTAGAGGAGAGGATTGTGAACATTTTAAAGCAAAAATGAGGTCTGTAGGTGAAAGTATGCTGAAGTTATAAGGCTGAGAAGGTGGAGGAGTAAAAGGTAGAATTTGAAGATTTCCCCATTCATTTCAATGGGAAAAATTTTGCACAAAAAGTCAAAAATATCAAAAAGTATAAGGGGTAGAAAAGTAAAAAATAGACCCCATAATGTCCTGAAGGAGTGGAATAGTTTAAAGTTTGAACGGTTGAAATCGGACAAAGTTTGAAGGAGGAGAAGCGTTGCAAAAAAGGGACGGAAGAATAATAATAATAATAATAATAACTAGAAAAATTGCATTTCCTTGCAGAAAATGCGTGGAAATGCTGAGTGCTGAAAGCTGAAAAAGCAATGCTAAACTGCCAGTAATAAATGGAGAAGGTATAAATGAAAAAACTGTTAAAGGGGTGAAGTGTTATAAGCGAATGAATGTTTCAACCGTAACAGAACTGAAGAAGAAGATGATGAAAAAGAGATGAGTTGTATGGATGTAAAAACACTGGGAGAGGTAAACCAGTAGCTGTATGAATATTCAAATTGCTAAAGAACTGAACTTGAACATTACAGAAAATATGGTAAAGAATTTTAAAGATGGCTGAAAAGGCCTTCATGTTGGAAGAAGTAGAAATGATTGTAGATGAGAAATGAATATATTACACAAATATTTTTAATTTAAAATTTGAATCAACTTGAAAATTCAAATTGAGTTTTTACATAAGTAAAACCAAAATAAAGAAAAAAAGAAAAATATTTTTGTCAATTCTTTAACATTTTGTGAGCAATGAAATGATTAATCATAAAATATAAAAAAATAATTTAAAAAAAAAACATCAAAACATAAACACATAAAGAAATAGTGCTCCATAGTGCCTTAAATCAAATTATAAACAATTTGTTTGTGAACAGGTTTTGGAAGCAGAAATCTTTACATGGGTGACCAATCTGTCTCTTAAGCTTAAGGTTTTAAGATTGTAGTTGCTGTGATTGTTGATGGACAAAGGTATCACATTTTCAGTTGTTTCTAAAATTGTTTAGCCCAATCATTATAGGCTCTTCACACAGTTGTTAGACTGAGGCTAACACCCCATTATTTACTGGATTCAAACTCCAGCAGCCCTGTACCCACATTCACCTCTTTTCTTGTGTTTTCGGATTACTAAGCCTTAACAAAAGTTGGCTCATAAAATTTGTCATGGCCCATTGAGCCAAGTCCTGTGTTGTGGGCTTTAAAAACAGACCTTGAAATTTGATTTCAAAGTCTGATACAGGACTGTTATGTGTGTTTTTAAGGGTTTAGATTAGCCTAAGACTAAGTTCGCACATCTGAAAAACCTTTATACCTATACATTAAAAAAAGATATGAAAATGGTGACTAAAATCGTTAAAATTGTTACTAAAATCGGTCAGCAGTATTACAAAGTATTGCAAAGTTATCCAGGCTTGTGGAAATATACAGGCAAAGTAAGGTGAAAGGCATATGAATTAAATACGGCATTGTAGTATTTTTTAAAGCTAACTGCAGTGAAATGTGGGCCCTCTCATGTAGAAAAAAAAGAAAATTATAGAATAATAAATGATTATAATAATAAAATTAAATGATATGAAACTGAAACATTAAACAAAATCTAAAATGATCAGATTAAAAAGTAGATTTGATAACTTGAAATAAATTGATGTAATGTATTGGTCCACCTTACCACCAAAAGGCTTTTCACAGTAGACCAAGGCTAGTACTGTCATCAGCTCATTGTAGTGGACTGACAATCTGGTCAGCAAAAATAACTCAGCAGTTTACTGTACAGTGTAGTACAGAAGTCTATTACAGAAATTAAAATAATTTTTTTAATTAAATCTAAATTTAAAATTTAAAATAATGTGGAGGGTAAGGTAGAGAATGCAAATGCAAAAGGTGCAAAGTTATCCAGGCTTGTGGAAATATACAGGCAAAGTAAGGTGAAAGGCGTATGAATTAAATATGGCACTGAAGTATTTTTTATAGCATGTATTGGTCCACCTTACCACCCAAAAGGCTTTTCACAGTAGTTAGACCAAGGCTAATACTGTCACCAGCTCATTGTAGTGGACTGACAATCTGGTCAGCATTTTACATCCCAGTGTTTTCTTATCCAAACATTCACACTACTTGTCTTACTGAAATGCTGGGTTGTCTTCATGTTGATAGTTTCTTTTTAAAAAGTTTTCTACTATGGAGAATTACATTTTAAGGATAAGCATAAAACTTTGTTCCTCTATGAAATCCCTTCACACAGCTTGTTTAACCAAGCCCTGTGTTTGAGGATTGTGACGACAACCTTCAGCAGGGATTGTTTCACACTGTAGTGCTGGGATCACTGCTGTCCAAAATATTAGCCCAAGACTAAGCACACGTGAAAAATTTCAGTGTACCTACCAGCTGAAACCCAAAGTACATCATTTATTTCTAAAACACGTCTTCTCTTGTAGGTAAATTTGAGGGATATTGTGAGCATATTAAAACGAGAAATTCAGCTGCCTGCAACAACTGAAGTAACTGGTATTTTTTCCCTTCATCAGTGTTGGTCATCTTTTGATATAAGGACAGATACACAGTAAAAGGGGAAGAAAACACTAAAATAAAATAGAACATAAAGTCCAAGAAACATAAAGGAAACTTAAAATATTAACAGATATTGACAACCGATCACTTAATGTAGAAAACAGGATTCAAAAGAATACAAGAGTAATAGTTGTCCTGTCCTAAAGACAATCAGTCAGTTCCTCATGTGAGTACTGTGTTCTGTCTGGGCACTTTTTTCAAAACCAAAAGCAGAGCCCGGTACAGTTCAGAGTGAAGGTTTAGAGTGAGGTAATGATTTGACCTTTGACCTGTGGTTGTAGAATCGCTGTGTGCAGTTATCAGTGTTCGAGTTGACAGCATCATTGGAGTTAGAGGCAGGAGGAGGAGAGGTCTGAAAAAAACAAACAAAATCCCCTTCACTTTAACTATGTAATCCTGTGCTAACAGTAATTCTGTGCTTTTCTATGTTGGTCAAACATGGTTATTGTTATGGGGCAAGGAAATACACCGTTACCTCAGGGAAACTTTAAAGCTGCAGTAGAGATAAACTGATGATCTGAATGTGATGACATCTGCTGCAGCTTGCTTCACAGGACTGCAGGACTTGAAGGATCACCATTAGTAGGACTCTGCTGAGCTGCACTAGCTACACCGTGGATGAACAGACAGTGACTTGAAGTGGGAGAATGTAGCTGGTTCAAAACTGGAAATAAACAGAAACATTTGTGTTGATAATCTGTGAAACTAAACATATTGAATAAATACACACATCATTACAATGAATACCTTCAGCACTGCAGCAGAGCAAAAAATATTTCTGTCCAGAGCAACTTCACCAGGTCTGCAGCAGCAAAGCTTCGTCACACAGAGAGGCTCAAGGCTCAGGGTGGCTGCATGATGTCCACCTTTGGTGTGTTCAGCTGTCTGAGTGTCTAAGCTGTTCTTCCTCTCTTAACTGGCTTGAAGAAGACCTGGGAGAAAACACTGCTGTTAAAGACGATGGTATCAGCAGAGCTGTACAATAGCATCACAAGCATTAATACAGCAGCTAAGATTACTAAGAAAAAATAAATGAACACAAGTTCACTAAGACATTACCTCAGACTTTCTTGAAGAGGGGTTTATCTCTTGGAGGTTCAGCAGGAACGAGCCAAGTGAGTGACAGGTACTACAGCATCAGTTCTGCTTCAGTCTGGTGTCTGGTGGTCCTTGAGAGCTGCTTCAGGACATCTGGAGCACAAGCAGGTAAAACACATGTTTGTGTAGTCCATGAGAGAAGGGTCCCGGTGGGTGCTGCAGTCTGTCCAGCACAGTGATGATGGTTGTTGAGAGCAGCAGGGGGATGGTGTGGAGGATGTCATCTCTTCTTCACCTCTGACCAAAGACTGGGTTAAACAGCAGGTAGACTGTGTCTTTGAGTGGTCCAAAGTGATGTTTTTACTTCTGGTTGACGGTTTGATAATTTTTTTCTGCTCATAAGTGAGCTAGTTAGGACAGCACTAATGGTCAGGACAAAGATGGCAGAGACAACTGAAGAAGAAAAAAAAAAATACCCAAACAAAAGGAAACTTAGCTTTACTCTACTGCATCCACAGGTGATGCGTTTACTTTTGGTTGACAGTTTGATAATTTTTTTCAGTTTACAGTGAGCTAGTCAGGATAGTACTAATGGGGGTCAGGTTAAAGATGGCGGGGACAACTGAAAAAAAAAAATAATAATAATAATAAAAAATTAAAACTAAAAACATACCCAAAGAAAAGGAAACTTAGGTTTGCTCTAGTGTACTTACAGCCACCCATGCTAAGAGAGTGGTGTAAAGTTGGGTGGAGAAAAGGGGGGTTTCAGCTGGTAGGTAACAGAACATCAGAAAGTGTGTGTTCATTAGGGAACACACACTTTCTGATGGAGGTTTTTAATTTTAGCTGCTGTATACAGTATTGTACACAGCAGCTGAGAGTCTTGGCCTGTGCATTTATCAATCCGCACCCACCCTCCCTATGTCCAGTCAAGTCAAGTTAAATGGATTAACTTGACTTGACTGGACTTGATAAATGCACAGGCCAAAAATTGTCATTTATAACATTTGAATAGTTGGAAAATTTTACAACCTGAAAAATATTTTCTTTCTAAAAATTCTGAGCCATAAAAATATTTTTTGCACTAGTAAAATTTACAATGACCAAGCACATTTCAATCTGTACTGAAAATATGAGCATAACATTAGCCACAGCTTCTGTAGTTTGTCTTTTCCTTAATAGTACTTTCCTCTATGACCTGTTGGATGAAATGACACAGTAAGTGGCGTTGTGGTAACTGTAGTACGTCTGCATGATACCTGAGGAGAGACATAGCTGAGGTCGTGAGATGAAGATCAGGTCCAGCAGTGTGTTCTTGTCCGTTGTAGCAGCAGTGATCAGTTGACCATATCCCTTGGACTGAAAGAAATCCAAAATTGGCTTACTTGCATTAGAAAAGAGATTCTCATTGAAGTCGCCACAGACGATGATGGGATGACAGTCCATGATCTCAAGTGAGTCCAGAAGGCTTCCCAGATTGGACAGGAATGATGGCACACTGTAGTCTGGAGGTCTGTACACAGCTGCAATCAGAGCACTTACAGGAGATTCAACCTTCAAAGCCACAAACTCGAGGTCAGTCACATTATTCAGGTACTGTTTCTCCACAACCTGCAAATGGTTTTTCACATAAACAGCGACTCCACCACCTCCTTTACTGGCCATCTGTGGAAAGTTAGTGTAGGACAAATGTCTGTTGCGTTTGAACATGGTGTAGCCCTCAAACTGGAGACTGTCTGCCACAAAGGAGCCCTGTAGGTGAGTTTCTGTCAGACACAAAACATCTGCAAGACACAGTTCATGATGGCTTTTGATGTCATTCACATGAACAGGTAATCCTTCGGTGTTGTGATGAATGATGCTCACAGTGTCCTGTCTGCTGAGAGAATGCTGGATCTGGAGAAAAGGCATGAGGTGATCAAAGTTAGCTTGCGTCATGGTCTCCAAAGATACAGTGACTGCAGGGTTAGCATGGATTTTACTCTCATCCAAATCAAGCATGTACAGGCCGCTGAGAGAGGTCACTCGACTGATAGCTACGTAGGCCATGCCGGGCTCAAAAATGTGCTTCAGAGAGACAACAGTTGATTTTCTGGTCATACCTTGAACCTTGTGTATCGTGCATGCAAAGGCAAGTTTCACAGGAAACTGTCTGCGTACCACTCCTTTCTGTTGCAGAGCCTCCTCAGATCTCTCGATGTACACAAGATTGTCTCCTCTAGTACGATAGCTCCTGCCAGCTGTTTCATCATCCATCCTGAGACCAAGCATAGTGACAAGAGCAGAACCATTGTTTTCAGAGCTTATGAGACGTCCTACTGTAGCAAATGATCCGTTCACCAATCCTTGAGACACATCAATGTTTCTGGTAAGCATGACTCTAGCACCTACTGCAACATCTAGTGTGTCAGGTAGATCATTTCTGCTTCCATGACATGGTGCACCTTGTCTTTTCATGTGTCCAGTGTGTGGGTCCTTTTTAAAGTCATCTGCATCAATGGTGGTGATATCAGAATGGAGCAGAGATAGTGTAGCAGAGTTGTGTTCTGCGACTTGTTTGTTGGTAGCAAAAATGTGCAGCACATCAGAGGGACACAGTTGTGGTTCAGTGACACGCTGTGACAGCAGAGTTCTGTCAGCTTCAGAAAGCTCATCTGACCTTGTTTTCACACGGAGTCTGTTCAGCATCTCGGCAAAAGTTTTGTCATCCTTCTGTCGCATGATCTCATCTAAAGTGATCACCTGGAAGTTGTCTCTCCAGAGGTCAAGCTCACTTGGATCATAGACACAGAGTGGTTTGGACTGTCGCACAGGCGGTAGCTGGTAAAAGTCTCCCACAGCAATGACTGACATTCCTCCAAAGGGTCTGTGGCTGCCTTTAATCTGTTTCAGTCTCACATCCACATAGGCAAACAGTGGCTTTGACACCATGGAGATTTCATCAATGATGATGATTTCAGCGTTTAAAAGCTCACACCTGATTTCATCAAGTTGGTTCCCAAGACCTTGAAAAGGAGGTTTCAAACTTCTGGGCAGCTTGAGGAGAGAGTGCAGTGTTGTTCCAGAGATGTTAAAGGCTGCAGTTCCAGTGAAAGCAGTCAACAGCACAGTCGGGTTTGAGATGTCAGCTTCCTCAGCACGTCTAGGTAGTGTTCTCAGAATCTTTGATGCTTCTGAATGAATGCATTTAATGAGATGTGACTTTCCAGTGCCAGCACCACCATTGATGTAGTAGAAAAACTGCTCTGGTTGTCGTCCACAGACTCGTTTTATGCACCAGTCTCTCACTGCATAGAACACACATGCCTGTTTCTGGTTCAGACTCTGATACATTTGTCGTAACCGTGTGGGATCGATTGTAGGGGGCTCTCTCATGACTCTGGCTTCTGTAGCAGCATTTGATTGTCTGCTGTAATCCGGTACATCCTCTTGGACATTTTCACACTGTCTGGCATCCAGTTCATCGATACACTCCAACCTCACCAGTTCAGATTCAGGTGCCAAATTACACCATTCATCGACCACACCTCTGTTCTGTTCAAAGTCCTCGAGAGCAGAGTCAATTTCCTCACTGTTTTTTTCATATCTCTCTCGGTTTCTTTTCACGATGAGTTTCACACTCAGGGGTCGGTCAGAATACGGCAGCTGAACCACACCTCTCTCATAGAATGACTCATACGTGGGAAAATATGGTCTTTTCAGCTCATCGTCTGATCTGTATGGAAGATACAGTCTAAGCAATGTGCCGTAAAACTGCTCAGGGTATTTCTCTTTGGATATGCGGCGATACCTGATGACAGCAGCGTTGTCACTTTCTCGTCTCTGTATAAAGCCTAGTTCATTCAGCAAAGGTACCACTTTCTTGCCCTTGGTCTGTTGTCCATACACCAGTCTGCAGGTAGAAGCAAAATCAGCCATGCACATCTCTTCAAACTCTGGTGATTCAGGTCTGGATTTGTACTTGTCTGTTAAGGATGTCATCCACACATTCAAGCTGTCTGGTGTTGTGTTGTCAAGGCTTGACACAGGCAGACTCATTTTCACAGGGTTGTCATCAGTTGGGACAAAAACCACACTGCGTGAACTCTTTTTCATGTTCAGTGAAGTCACTCGGGCAACAGCTTCTTGTGCTGATACTTCTCGCTTTTTGGAATACGCCTGCATGACCGCTTTCATTTCATCACATTCATTGACACATTCTCTGTCGGAGTTCTGAATGAGTGTTTGCAGGTACTGGCTCACAGAGTTCTCACTTTTACACATGTACGTACATATGTAATGGATCAGACTGTAGTAGCTGAGAATGAACTGCACATCAATGTTTGCATCCCAAGCTTTGAGCAGGTGAGGGTTGTAGGTGTTTACCCAGCAGTCTTTTGGCTCACGCTTCAGAATGATGTTGCTGGACTGACTCATCACATTCATGTGTTTCTCGTACTCATCAGCGGTTAAGTCACAGACGGACAGGAGCTGTTGAAAACTCATGGATTCAGTTTGTGTCTCATTCAGCAGCTGATTCAGTGGTGCAAGTTTCTCTTTGGCTCTCTTAAGTCTCTCTGACTCCTCATCATCACCCACAGGTCTTGTTATCATTGTCTGTCTGGAGGGTGGTTTTGGGAATCCAAATCGGCATCCAGAACTTGCACTTTTGAAACATGTCTTTGAGTGGTTCTTACTGTGTATTTGCACTTCTTTGACCTTTTTGTACAGTTCAGGCTGTTTATTTGGGTCAGGGAGCTGAGCAGAGATGTGTTTGGACACAAAGTCACACACAGTTTTGTCAGAGTCTCTCTCAAACACAGGTGCACCGTCTACCCACAAAAGACCATGTATATGAGGACTTCCTCTGTGCTGAAACTCGAGACGCCAAAAGAAGTCAAAAACTTTGCCCAGGGGTTGTGCAGGAGACATGATCAGATCTCTGTACAGTGCTTCAACACGCTTATCAAACATGCGCATCGTTGTCACAGGATTGCTTCTCAGAATGTCACACTTTGTGGACCAGTCGAGCTCTTCAAAATTCACCTCCTCACCTTGTTGTGATTTTATTGCAATAATCACCTCAGGCCAACGCATTTCTGCTGCAGAAAATGTGACAAAGAAAGTAGGACTGCCCAACTGTCTGATCATAGCAAACAGATCTTTTGTAGTTTTGTCCCAGTAGGCTGGTGTTCCTCTGAGCGGCTGCATAAATCTGATAGCATCTCTGTTTCTCACCAGTCTCTCCACTTCATATTTGTCTCTCAACATTCTGGATGTTATTTTACGTCCGTCTCTGGTCAAAGGTTTGCCTTTGCGTAATTGTATGGACATGCTGGAGGTAGCCAAGTGTATTTCAGTCACAAACTGTGCAAAGAACAGGTAGTTGGTATCTTTGGCAAAGCGATCATCAACACCAAAGAGCCTTGCTTTAAAATAACTACTGGGTGATAGTTTCATTGGTCTGTTTTCATCCAGTGTATTCTCACCAGTGGGAAACTGAACAGGAAACGCCATGGCCTCTAGTTTGGGTGTTTTGAAAAAACTGACTGGATTGTTTCTCTCTGCTGGAGCTACTGAGTATGTAGAGTCACTGAAACACAATATCTCCTCAGAAACATCACGTGGCTGAAGGCACGACTCCAAAACAACACCACCATTATGCACGTCTGAATCCTGTTGTTGTGTCTGATCATCATTGTCCTGGGTCTGACTTTTATCACACAGCTCTGTGTTGTCGTCCTCAGTTTCAGCATTAGTTTCAGCCTCATACATGGCAGCAGCCTCAATTCTATCAATCTCCATCAAATCCTCATCATCATAGTCATCATCATTCATTGTGTTATCATCATCATCCTCATCCTCATCCTCATCACCATCATCAGGAAGTGTGGGGTCACATAACTCCTCCTCATCTCTAATAGTGATGTCTTCATATTGGGGGTGTATCTCTTTCAGTGTATGCAGGGCCTGTACTAGCTTGGACCAGGTAACAGTCTGAAACAGATGGTGACCTCTGTAACTCAAGCGTCTCTTTAGTTTTACTCTCATCACTTGAGACTCATTTCTCAATCTGGGTAGAGCTTGAATTGTTTCCTGGACTTCAGAGGGAACACATACAACATTACCATGTATAGCTCGCTGTCTGCCTTTGGGAAGAGGAATGATTTTGGCAAATGTTATGCACTTTGCTATCAGATGTCTCTCCAGTATGTTGAGGTCACACAGTTCAGGTGGTATGTCAGCAAGCTCCAAGTTGTTTGCTATGGCAAGTTTGGGCATGGCTCCATTTTTCAGATGGTCATGGCAGGTGTGACAAATCCACTCAGTCTTTCTCTCATCAGGGACAGTGCAGTGATTTCTGCAGTTATCATTACACTCATGGACGTACTGACCTTTGAGACAAGCTGAAACCATGATTGGATTTTTCACATAGTTGGACCTCTTGCACTTTTGCACCTGGTTTGGAAATGAGGCTTTGTGGCAAACTGTGCAAACATGGGTGGGACCAGCTTTAATGTGTGATCGGAAATCATTGATGGCACTTTCAATAAGTGGGTTTTCACTCTCTCTGTCAGTCTCACATGTTTGTCTACTTATCCGTTTGTATTTCTTTGATATTTTCAATGCACACCTCATTTTATGCATAGTTCTGTATGCAAGATCTGTCTTGTACCTGTCTCGCATCATTTGTCTCATCAGCTGTCTGTGTCGGCGACAGAATATTTCATCATTTGCATATCGATGATTGATATATGACCGCTGTCTTTGCCTGAAATTAACATCCTCTGAGTATTTTTTTCTGAAATATTCTTTTCGTCTGCCTTTGAAATCAACATTTTCTCCATATTTTTTCCTGAAATATTCTTTTTGTCTGCCTTTAAAATCAGCATTTTCTCTGTATCTTCTTGTGATATATTCTTTTTGTCTGCCTTTAAATTCAACATTTTCTCTGTATGTTCTTTTTATATATAATTTTTGCTTTAGTCTGAAGTCTGTGCTTTCCCAGTATTTAGTTGTGATTTTTTGTCTTTTCTTTGTCTGTATTTCATGATTGTCAGAATATTTGTTCCTTGAATAAGACTTTTTCTTTGTCTTATATGTCTCGTCCTTGGTATACTTCTCTCTCTCTTTCCTGTTTTTATCCTCTTTCTTTTGTGATGTCTTTCTAGATCTCATTAATCTTCTCTTAAATTTCTTTTTTTGCTGTTTGCTTAATTTCGACAGTTTAGTGGAGATGTCATGGAGGACATTGTCACTGGTGACATGGATATTTATTAATAGTTCAGTCAAATTTGATTGTGTCTCCTGAGATTCTTCTAATGTGACAGGATTATTGTTGATTTCACCTGGTTGATGAGCTTGTGTTTCCATCAAAGTTGAGACTTTCTGTGATGTGTCATCACTTACAGTAGTGTTCATCTCCAAAACGAGAGATTCAGGACCAGTTAATGGGACAGAACATTGACTGAAGTTGATCAGTAGTTCTGGTTCGGTTTCCATGTCATGCTCAGTGTTTTCATGGACATCAGTGTTCATCTGTGGGGCACTTGTGTCATCATTTATCACAGTGGTTGTGACAGAGGGACTTGTGGACGGACTTCCTGTGGTTGGGATAGCATCACTTGGGTTCACATCACAGAACACAACTGGCTTGAGCTCATAGTGACAGGACGCTGCTGTGCCCAATATGTGGTGATACCTGTTGAGCCTGGCAATCATGTCACTGAGGCGTGTGAATGTTACCATGACAGCGGTTCCAGGAGTAGGTGTGGCCTTAAGCAGAGGCAAACCGTTAGCTGTCCTAGCATGTGGGTCAAAGAAACCGTACCTGCCATCTCTGGTTCTGAAAACTGCAATGCACAGTGAAGTCATTAGCAGCAAAGCATACTGCACATCTGTTAATAAGCAGCTCAGTCCCATCTCGAGGTCTAGAAAGGTATCAACAGCTCCAGGATCCGGATCTCCAAACGTACCGTATCTAGACAGCTGTAACATGTCAACAGTCTGCATGTGTCTGCGTGCAGGAACCTGGTTAGGGAGCTCATCGGTTGTCAGATGGGCGTGATCAACAGTTTTTCTGATTTCTCTGTACATCACATCACCTTTATCCAAAACACGGTCCAGGTCTGCTCTGGTGATGTGTTCTTTCTCATACAGGAATGCTAGAAATGTCAGTGAGTTACAGGTGCACTGCTGGTTTCTGGATTGGCCGTATTTCAGAGACGCTTGGCTGCGTGACGCACAGACGTTTTGTTCACCTGACTGATTAACAGAGTTAACATTTCTTACCCGAGAAGAGCCTGATACAGACTGATAATTACTGTGGTTTCCCTTCTTAACAGTGTCTGCATGTGATACCTGGGTTGAGCATGGCTTTTCAGTTTGGGCTATGTAGTTCACCTGATGAGAGTTAGACGGACCTGCTGCAGGTGACTCACTTACACGTCTCCTCTTTAGCACGTCTGCATAAGATACCTGTGGTTGACATGATGCATTTTCACCTCCCTGTTTCACAGCATCAGACACTTCAGACCTCTTTACCTCTCCACTGCTCTGAGGAACACCATCTGCTTGTCCAGTACTCACACAGTCAATATCATGAAACCTCTGCCAGCGCTGGCTTGCAGCCTGTGACTTCTTACTCTTCCTGGGCATTGTAACTGTTCTTTCACAACAATGTGTTTATGCAACAATTAAAAGTTACTGATAAGCACCAGTATAGACAAAAATGCTTTATTTCTTCAAGAGGACGTTATTTACAGCTCTTATAGTCTCCAAAAAAATCTAATTTATAACTGTGTGTATACCAACAATAGTTTATGAAATGTTTTCTAAGGAAATCCTAGGCAAGAGTATGTAAATGTTTTAAGAAGAAACACAAATCAACAATTTTTTAATCTTAGAACTTTGTGCTTGAAATACTATGCAACTCAAATATTCTATATAAAACGTGTTTTTATGTTCTTTCAAAGTCAGGTATGCAGATGTGGTGTAGCTGACGACACGTCTTCTGGCGAAACTCTGGATTCACAGACAGGAGAGGAGGACCTAGAACAACAATCAGACTTGTGCAAAATTAGGGATTTTTCAAAATAGCAGTTGTATTAAATGTACTTCCGTTTCAAAAGTTTTGACTCAAAGAAAGGTTGCTTGTTTCAAAAGGTTTCTCAAAATAGGTTCTCAAAATAGGTTCTCAAAATAGGTTCTCAAATGTTCTGCAAAGTTCTGAAAAGTTCTGCAAAGTTCTGAAAAGTTCTGCAAAGTTCTGAAAAGTTCTGCAAAGTTCTGAAATGTTCTGCAAAGTTCTGAAAAGTTCTGCAATGAGTCAGAGTGGGATAGAAGGGGGATAGAAAGACAGAGTTGCTTTTCAATCAGACAGAGCGGTAGAGGAGACAGGAAAGTCAGAGCGTCCAAAACTTAGCCAGAGGGATAGAAGAAAGGGGGACACAAGACAGAGTGCTTTTCAATCAGACAGAGTGGTAGAGGAGACAGGAAAGACAGAGTGACCAAAATGATAGGGGAGAGTGGGGAGACTGGACAGGATACCTGTAAGACACAATGGAAACAAACATTAATCCCTTTTTATTAAAGAAATAAAATAAACCAACATCCACCCAAAGCTAATGGCATCATAATGTACTTTTACTCAACCCACCAAGTGGCTGTCCTCAATTATACATCTATCAAAAGTCAAGTTGAGTCAAAAGCTGGAAGTGACCATTGTCTTGTTCGATAACCCTTCAAACAAATTAATAAGGACTAAAAATCCAAAGTGTTCATAATAGTTAATTAAAAATTAATTTAAGATACAAATAACTTTATCCCCTAAGGGAAATTCAATTTTCTGTAGTCTCATTTGTCATGTCTCAAAAAGTCATCTACTATTCAAATTGTAGAGTCTGATGGCTGTGGGTACAAAAGATCTTCTGAATCTTTTTTTCCTGCAGCGAAGAGAGAGGAGCCGTCCACCACCATAGGCCTTTCGGTCCACCAAGGTGTTGTGAAGTGGGTGATCCATGTTCTCTAGAATAGCCTCCACCTTCCTCACAGTACATCTCTCCACCACATCCTCCAGTGAGTCCAACTTGAATCCAACCACAGAGCCACCTTTTTAAATTTAGGACCTCAAAGTATTTTACAAAAAGTTCTATTATCCCTGTGTATTTCAGACTCTTTACTTTAAGTTCCCTTTATAATGTTCATAACCATGTCCTGGTAAGCAAAAGTAACAATGGATTACTCTGCTGATAAAATATCATGTATTTTGGAGAAGGTAATTTCCTTTACTGTGTTTGAAGTATTCCAACAATGTAAAAAGTAGTAATGAGGCCAAGCACCTCCATGAGCTGTTAACGGAAGCATGCAAGGTACCTTAGAAGGATATACACATATCTAAAGATAGGATTAAATGAATAATAAAATAAATCGATGGCTGCATAAATAATGATTGTCTATTCCATATTAAAGAACATTAAGTTAGCTTGTTCTTTTAATATGAGAGATGCACAAAAGGAGGGAATCACATTCAATTAGTAATTATTTGGATTTTCATCGTTAAAAAATTTCAACTCCACAATTTAATAGTAATAAATTGCTTTCCAGGGATTGGAAATGAAATGCAAATAAGTGTACTGCATATTACATTCAAGCTGTTCATTTCCAACTGTGAGTATTACATAATCAAAGGAAACAAATTGTTAAGTTAGGACATGATGAGGGGTCCATAATGTGTTGAATAGTAGCACACTGTCTTATTCATGAAAGTGTCATTCCTGTGTGAACTTACGTCGAGTCGCCACAAAGCGGTCTGCACTTGGAGACAGGACAGAGTTGGCAAAAAGGAAAATGGAAAAATAGAGACAAGAGATTTTGAGTTTAATTGTAGAAAACCAGCACATCTCACTGCATTGCAGTTTCAACTGTAATCAGCCGGCAAAATTAATTGTTATTTAAATTTGTTTGTGTTACAATGAAAATGTGTTGCAGTTTGTCAAATAAGAACATAATGTCAGGTTTTTACATGATATGTTTAAAAAAGTAACAGTGTAAACATTTTTAAGTTACTTTATTTGTGAACTTACAGCTGAGTCGCCAACACTGAATAGGGCCAGCAGTAGAGATAGCGTCGAGTTCAGGAGAGAAAAGACAGGGACAAAAAATAAATAAATTTAGTTGCAAAAAATCAGCATCTTATAGTTTACTGCAATCACAACTTTTCACTGTGGATCATTAGTTTTCTCATTTCTTATCAAAGTCTACAATTTGTGGCACTTGATTAGTAAAAAGGATGTTACTGCAGCTCCCTTGGCCTGTAAAAGATGTTTGTTACAATGGGGAGAAAATGCACAAACACAATGAAGGACCTCTTCACTTTTTACTTTCTTATGTAAGTTATTGAGGTGAAATACAAAACAGTGAAATATAATTATAAACTGCAGAGCAAAAATGTAACATTTAAGTGATTGCCCAATAAGTATATATATATATATACCATCAGGTCCATAAATATTGGGACGTCAACACAATTCTCATCTCTCTGGCTGTAAACACCACCACAATGGATTTGAACTGAAACAAACATGGTGTGCTTTGACTGCAGACATTCAGCTTTAATTTAAGGGTATTTACATCCAAATCAGGTGCACGGTGTAGGGCAAAGAAGTGGAATGTTATGAAATGGCCAAGTCAATCACCTGACCTGAATCCGTTTGAGCATGCATTTCACTTGCTGAAGATAAAACTAAAGAGGAAATGCACCAAGAACAAGCAGGAACTGAAGACAGTTGCAGTCCAGGCCTGGCAGAGCAACACTAGGGGTGAAATCCAGCGTCTGGTGTATCTATGCGTCCTGGACAGCAAAGGATTTGCAACCATATATTGAAAAGTGAAAGTTTGATGTATGATTTTTGGTTTGTCCCAATACTTTTGGTCCCTTAAAAAGTGAGAGGCACATATACAAACTGTTTTAATTCCTACACTTTTCACCTAATGTGGATGTAAATAACCATATATTAAAGCTGAATGTCTGCAGTCAAAGCACATCTTGTTTATTTCATTTAAAATCAACTGTGGTGGTGTTTACAGCCAGAGAGATGAGTATTATGCTGATGTCCCAATATTTATGGACCTGACTGTAAGCGTGAACTTACACTTCAGAGTTGGTAGGGATTTTCGCCCAGGTCAGAGGACAAGTTGAGGCAGGAGGGGGGAGAGGGAGGGAAAGAGATTTTTAATACACTAAAAAAAACACTTCATTCAAAATTTATCTGAATGATTTTCTCACTTAATTATTGTCACAATCAAGATTCAGACTTTCGCCAGCAATTTTTTAATAAATTAATTTAGTAGTGTAGTTATATTGTTAGCACACTATTGTCTTCTAGGAAAAAACTGTATCCCATCTATGGTTTTCACATAGGATATATCCTAACAACACAACAGTGTTACAGATAAATCAACATTTCAAATCAATTTAAACTCAGTACTTGAAAAATGCATCATATGTTGTACATTATCTTGAATGACATGTTGTTTAACAGGATTAAGCTAATCATTAATCCAGTTATTTTTATTTTGTTTGTTGTCAGTCTTGGTCAAAACACTTATACTTACCAACAAATGCACTGGAGCGGATGTATCTTCTGTTTGTTTGAGACAAGAAACAATACATTAGTGTTTTCTGACAGATAGCACATTAAAAACAATAGGCCTATAAAGAAAACTAACATTATTACAGTAGTTGGGCTAATTGAAAAATAAACAGCTCCAACAGATCACCTGGCTGTTAGCTGCAGCTGAAAATGTCACACATGATACATACTGTATTAAAGTACTTATACCTCAGATAAAGTATCTTTGCTGTGGTGTTAGCACATCACCAATATCCAAATTAACAGCTTGCTATCAAAGGTAAATTAGGTACAGTAGAAGGTGAAGTTCAGTAGCAGCCAGCAAGGCAGAGACAGACCAGGAGCAGGTTCACCAACTTCAAGGCAGCTTACTCTCCATCCATCAACTCAATATTAAGATAAGAACTTTATTGATCCCCAACGGGAAATTCAACTGGAATATACTTATTAATTGGAACTTTGTATTGTTAAACATTAAATACTGAATTAATTTTATGTTTTGCAATCTAAATATCTCTATCATCCACATCATGAATAAAACCTTCAATAATAGAGGACCATCTAGGTCCATTCTGACACATAAAAAAAGGAAAACCACTCACATTTGTGCTATACCTGGATGCTTGCTAAATGCAGCCTATATTTTAATACATCTACAATGGCTGATAAAAAGTGACCGGGAGCTAAACAGCTGACGTCTCCAGACCAGTTCCCCAGCAATGACTCAGTCACAGTAATGAACTGAACCTGTAGCAATGACGCTAGCGTAATTAGTTAGCTAGTTAGTCAGTTAATACTTGACAATATCAGTATTCTTGTCACTCCCATTGTCAGTAAACTCCACAGCCTGTACATCATTTGGCATGCTTTATAGTACCACAGCGGCTACGTATTCACTTTATTTTGTGCTCAGCTGGCTAATGATTCAGCCTCACAGCTGAAGGTATGTTAGCTTTAACGTTAGCTCGACGCTAGCGGCGGCGGCTAGCGCTAACGGCGCTAGCCGTTAGCGCTAGCTAGCGCCGCTAACTCGACGCTAACAGCGTTAGCGTACGCTTTTTCAACTCATTATCTCGACCACTTCAATCATGAATGAACCCTTCATTGATTATAACTCAAACCAGTGCCATTTGAAACGTTAAATCACCGTTTGACGTGTCCAGAAGTTAGAGAGACTATGCTCTGACTCACCTTCGTCGAGGTCGGAGAAGGTTAGCGCGAGCCACCAGTGGGTCACGGTATTAATGTTTGAGGCGTTCAGGGAGACTCGGAAATGTCAGACTTCACACGACGGAAAGGCAGTGGTTCAATCAATTCATTTTAATTGTTTTCTAGTACTAATAGTAGCAAGACTAGTTAAAGTAGAAGTGATGTAAGTTGTAGTTGTAGAAGTGGAAGTGGGATTTTGTTTGAAGAAATGAAATATGCATGAATAGTAAAAATGATTTAAAATGGGGAAAATATAACTAATAAAAAATCCTAAAGTATTAGAAAGGTTTGAAGAATCAGAGAGGTTTGAATAAGAGTGAGTTTAAATTTGTTAGAAGAATTGAATAATGCATAAATAATGAGAATGATTTTAAATTAAGGACAATTTAAATGAATAGAAATCCTCTGTAGACTCCATAATGTCCTCAATGAGCAGAATTTTTGAAGCCCTAAATGTGTCTATATCTCAAAGTTTGTGAGAGAAGATAGGTGGTGAAGCAGACACATGGTCAAAGTGTGTTCAGGTCTCATAGACAGAGAGAGACTCACGCACGCACATATTTACTGTGTGTTCCTGAAGGTATCAAAGAGAGAAAGAGGCTTACGCACACACATAGGCTGAGTGTGTGTGTGTCTCGCTAATGACTGCATCCTAAACAGCTGTGAGATCAAAGGCAAATCACTGACCTACTGTTTGAATGAGAAGCAGCTGAACTGCAGAGGATTTAGAGGCTCTAAACTTCTTCACATAGCGTGATTTCCTTAAGTCACAGAATGAAAATAAGAACATCGTACGAATCCTCCGCCCTTCATGAACACAATGATGTCTTTTTCATGTCTGTACTTCGAAAAATGAGGCCACAACAGCGAGTTAAAAAAGTCTGAGCCTGAGCGATGATCCGGATTTTCTTGGAGAAAAATAACATTAGGGTCAATGGGAGAGATTTCCGCCTTCTTTGGACAGTTGGTCACCTGCTGGCCAAGGGGTACGATTTAATGATTTGAAACCTCTTTTGTGAGAAGCAGGACACATATACCTCAATTTTGATGTATTTTTTATGGGTGTGGATTGAGATTTGTGAGCGTGGGAGCGATATATTCGAGCGAGGTTCTGTCGATCAGAGACGAGGTCTGCACTCTAGCTGATGACATCATCACTCTAAACTCTCCAATACACACCCATTATAAAGCTTGAAATTTGCTGAAAACCACAAGTTGCTTAAAGCTAAATTGTGGAAAAACTGTAAAAGATATCAAAAAACTGAGTACAACTGTAATAGTCGACAAGTGAATGAACATTTTAAAGCAAAAATGAGGTCTCTAGGTGAAAGTATGCTGAAGTTATAAGGTCTAGAAGGTGGAAGAGGAAAAGGTAGATTTTAAGATTTCCCCATTCATTTTTAATGGTAAAAATTTTGCACAAAAAGTTAAAAAAAACAAAAAGTATAAAGGGTAGAAAGGAAAAAAATAGACGCCATAATGTCCTGAATGAGTGGAATAGTTTAAAGTTTGAACGGTTGAAATCGGACAAAGTTTGAAGGAGGAGAAGCGGTCCAAAAATCGGCGGAAGAATAATAATAAGTTTAATAAAGAAACAGGAGAATAACAATAAGTGGAAATGCTTAATCAGCATTTCCACTTAATAATAATAAAGAAATAGGAGAATAACAATAAGTGGAAATGCTTAATCAGCATTTCCACTTAATAAGTAATTTATTCAAAAGTATTAAAAAACAGAATCAAAGTTACATTTGAACAGATTTTTTTCATGCATTCTGGGATTTTTCAAAGTTCAATTTCGAAATTCAAGACTTTCAGGTACCATTTTATTTTTTTCAGGTTCAAATCTTATTTTTCCACTTCACTTTTTATTTTTCCACTTACACTACTTTTCAATACTTTTGAGCCTGATCTGGCTCCATAGTGTAATCCCTTCTTTGATCCTCCTGGGGGCAGCACTCGCCACCGCCTTTGACCAGGTTTGGTAATTTAGCAGATAATCGCAGTAGCTAAGGAGGTAAGAGCGGTCGTCCAATAACTGGAAGGTTGGCGGTTCGATTCCCCCCTATCCCAAGTCTGTCCGTTGTTTCCTTGGGCAAGACACTTAACCCACCTTGCTCCCAGTGTGTGTCCTCCACTGGAGTATGATTGCGAGTGTTGTGTGGTGGTGGTCAGAGGGGCCGTAGGTGCAAAATGGCAGCCACGTTTCCGTCAGGGCAGCTGTGACTACTAAGGTAGTTTACCACCACCAAAGTGTGACTGTGTGAGCGAATGAATGATGTATGCAATGTGACACAGTTGTGTGTAAATTGTATGAAAATAAAACACTTTTGTGTGAAGAATACATAACGCAGCTATGTGTAAATTGCATGAAAAAATGACACAGCTCTGTGTTATCTTTGTGTAAACCCAACACAGTTGATGTGTTGACACATTTAACACACAATATGTGTAAAATCTGTCAACACAAAGTCATGTGTCAAAACAACACATTGTGTGTTGTCCTTAACTAGACACACGGATGTGTTAAGAAATAACACATGATGAGTTACTTTTGACACATTCGTTTTGAGAGTGTACTCAGATTAAAACCTCTTAAATACTCAGATTAAAACCCTCTAAAATACTCAGATTAAAGCCTCTTAAATACTCAGATTGAAACCCTCTTATATACTCAGATTAAAACCCTCTAATAGACTCAGATTAAAACCCTCTAAAATATTCAGATTAAAACCTCTTAAATACTCAGATTAAAACCCTCTAAAATACTCAGATTAAAACCCTCTAGGTATTCAGATTAAAACCTCTTTAATACTCAGATTAACACCCTCTAAAATACTGCACTGCACTACACTTCTATATTCTTTTTCTTATATGCTTGTTCTGCTAATGTGATTGACATTCTGTTGCTTATTTTGTTGCTTTTTTGACTGTGTATTTCAGCACTTTGAGATTTATTGAAAATGTAAAGTGCATTACAAATTAAATTTATTATAATTGTTATTATTATAATTAAAATACTCAGATTAAAACGCTCTGAAATACTCAGATTAAAACCCTCTAAATTACTCAGGTTAAAGCCTCTTAAATACTCAGATTGAAACCCTCTTAAATACTCAGATTGAAACCCTCTAAAATACCCAGATTAACACCCTCTAAAATACTCAGATTAAAACCCTTTAAAATACTCAGATTGAAACCCTCTAAAATACCCAGATTAAAACCCTCTTTAATACTCAGATTTAAACCCTCTAAAATACCCAGATTGAAACCCTCTTAAATACTCAGATTGAAACCCTCTAAATTACTCAGATTGAAACCCTCTTAAATACTACACTGCACTGCACTTCTATATTCGTAAAAGCCTCTAAAATACTCAGATTAAAATCCTTTAAAATACTCAGATTAAAACCCTCTAAAATATTCAGATTAAAACCTCTTAAATACTCAGATTAAAACCCTCTAAAATACTGAACTGCACTGCAATTCTATATTCTTTTTCTTTGATCTTTTCTTTTATGCTTGTTTTGCTAATATGTGATTGACATTCTGTTGCTTTTTTTGATTTGTTGTTTTTTTACTGTGTACTGTAGAACTTTGAGATTTCTTGGAAATGTAAAGTGCTATACAAATTGAATTTATTATTATTGTTATTATTATTGAAATGCTCAGATTAAAACCCTCTGAATTACTGATTAAAACCCTCTAAAATACTTTGATTAAAACCCTCTAAAATACTTTGATTAAAACCCTCTAAAATACCTAGATTAAAACCCTGAAATACTCAGATTAAAACCCTCTAAAATACTCAGATTACAACCCTCTAAAATATTCAGATTAAAACCCTCTAAAATACTGAACTGCACTGCAATTCTATATTCTTTTTCTTTGATCTTTTCTTTTATGCTTGTTTTGCTAATATGTGATTGACATTTTGTTGCTTTTTTTGATTTGTTGCTTTTTTTACTGTGTACTGTAGCACTGTGAGATTTCTTGGAAATGTAAAGTGCTATACAAATTGAATTTATTATTATTGTTATTATTATTAAAATGCTCAGATTAAAACCCTCTGAATTACTGATAAAAACCCTCTAAAATACTTAGATGAAAACCCTCTAAAATACCCAGATTAAAGCCCTCTAAAATACCTAGATTAAAACCCTGAAATACTCAGATTAAAGCCTCTTAAATACTCAGATTGAAACCCTCTTAAATACTCAGATTGAAACCCTCTAAAATACCCAGATTAACACCCTCTAAAATACTCTGATTAATACCTCTAGGTATTCAGATTAAAACCTTTAAAATACTCAAATAAAAACCCTCTAAAATACTCAGATTACAACCCTCTAAAATACTCAGATTAAAACCCACCTCCTAAATACTCAAATTACAAACCTCTAAAATACTCAGATTAAAACCCTCTAAAATACTCAGATTAAAACCCTCTAAAATACCACGATTAAAACCCTCTTAAATACTCAGATTAATACCCTCTAAAATATTCAGATTCAAACCTCTTAAATACTCAGATTAAAACCCTCTACAATACTCAGATAAAACCCTCTAAAATACCACGATTAAAACCCTCTTAAATACTCAGATTAATACCCTCTAAAATATTCAGATTAAAACCTCTAAAATACTCAGATTAAAACCCTCTAAAATACTCAGATTAAAACCCTAAAATACTCAGATTCAAACCTCTTAAATTCTCAGATTAAAACCCTCTAAAATACCACAATTAAAACCCTCTTAAATACTCAGATTAAAACCCTATTAAATACTCAGATTACAACCCTCTAAAATACCCGGATTAAACCCTCTAAAATACTCAGATTATAACTCTCTAAAAAACTCAGATAAAAACCCTCTGAAATGCTCAGATTAAAACCATCTAAAACACTCAGATTGAAACCCTCTTAAATACTCAGATTGAAACCCTCTGAAATACTCAGATTAAAACCCTCTAAAATACTCAGATTAAAACCCTCTACAATACTCAGATTAAAACCCTCTAAAATATTCAGATTAAAACCTCTTAAATACTCAGATTAAAACCCTCTAAAATACTCAGATTAAAACCCTCTAAAATATTCAGATGAAAACCTCTTTAATACTCAGATTAAAACCCTCTAAAATACCAAGATTAAAACCCTCTAAAATACTCAGATCAAAACCCTCTAAAATACTCAGATTGAAACCCTCTTAATAAACTCAGATTAAAACCCTCTAGGTATTCAGATTAAAACCTCCTAAATACTCAGATTAAAACCCACCCTCTAAAATACTGCACTGCACTGCAATTCTATATTCTTTTTCTTTTATCTTTTCTTTTATGCTTGTTCTGCTAATATGTAATTGACATTCTATTTCTTTTTTATTTGTTGCTTTTTTTACTGTGTACTGTAGCACTTTGAGATTTCTTGGAAATGTAAAGTGCATTACAAATTAAATTTATTATTATTGTTATTATTAAAATACTCAGATTAAAGCCCTCTTAAATACTCAGAATGAAACCCCTAAAATACTCAGATTAAAACCCTCTAGGTATTCAGATTAAAACCTCTTAAATACTCAGATTAAAACCCTCTAAAATACTGCACTGCACTGCAATTCTATATTCTTTTTCTTTTATCTTTTCTTTTATGCTTGTTCTGCTAATATGTAATTGACATTCTATTTCTTTTTTATTTGTTGCTTTTTTTACTGTGTACTGTAGCACTTTGAGATTTCTTGGAAATGTAAAGTGCATTACAAATTAAATTTATTATTATTGTTATTATTAAAATACTCAGATTAAAGCCCTCTTAAATACTCAGAATGAAACCCCTAAAATACTCAGATTAAAACCCTCTAGGTATTCAGATTAAAACCTCTTAAATACTCAGATTAAAACCCTCTAAAATACTGCACTGCACTGCAATTCTATATTCTTTTTCTTTTATCTTTTCTTTTATGCTTGTTCTGCTAATATTTAATTGACATTCTGTCGTTTTTTTTTTTTTATTTGTTGCTTTTTTTACTGTGTACTGTAGCACTTTGAGATTTCTTGGAAATGTAAAGTGCATTACAAATTAAATTTATTATTGTTATTATTATAATACTCAGATTAAAACCCTCTGAAATACTCAGATTAAAACCCTCTTAATTACTCAGATTAAAGCCTCTTAAATACTCAGATTGAAACCCTCTTAAATACTCAGATTGAAACCCTCTTAAATACTCAGATTGAAACCCTCTAAAATACCCAGATTAACACCCTCTAAAATACTCAGATTAAAACCCTCTAAAATACTCAGATTAAAACCCCTAAAATACTCAGATTAAAACCCTCTAGGTATTCAGATTAAAACCTCTTAAATACTCAGATTAAAACCCTCTAAAATACTGCTCTGCACTGCAATTCATATTCTTTTTCTTTTATCTTTTCTTTTTTGCTTGTTCGGCCAATATGTGATTCGCATTCTGTTGCTTTTTTTTATTTGTTGTTTTTTTTACTGTGTACTTTAGCACTTTGAGATTTCTTGGAATGTAAAGTGCATTATAAATTAAGTTTATTATTATTGTTATTATTATTAAAATACTCTGATTAAAACCCTCTAAAATACTCAGATTGAAACCCTCAAAAATTCTTAGATTAAAACCCTCTAAAATACCTAGATTAAAACCCTGAAATACCCAGATTAAAATCCCTCTAAAATACTCAATTAAAACCCTCTTAAATACTCAGATTAAAACCTCTAAAATACTTCACTGCACTTCTTTATTCTTTTACTTTTTGCTTGTTCTGCTAATATGCGATTGATATTGTGTTGCTTTTTTTTGTTGCTTTTTTTACTGTGTACTGTAGCACTTTGAGATTTCTTGGAAATGTAAAGTGCATTACAACTTAAATGTATTATTATTGTTATGATAATTATTAAAATACTTATAATGAGGCCCTCTTAAATTCTCAGATTAAAACCCCTAAAATAATCAGATTAAAACCCTGAAATACCCAGATTAAAACCCTCTAAAATACCTAGATTAAAACCCTGAAATACCCAGATTAAAACCCTCTAAAATATTCAGATTAAAACCTCTAAAATTCTCAAATTAAAACCCTCTTAAATACTGCACTGCACTTCTATATTTTTCTTTTTCTATTATGCTTGTTCTGCCAATTCCGGTTGACATTGTGTTGATTTTTTTTTTGTTGCTTTTTTTACTGTATACTGTAGCACTTTGAGATTTCTTGAAAATGTAAAGTGCATTACAAATTAAATTTATTATTATTATTAAAATACTCAGATTGAAGCCCTCTTAAATACTCAGATTAAAACCCTGTAGGTATTCAGATTAAAACCTCTTAAATACTCAGATTAAAACCCTCTAAAATACTGCACTGCACTGCAATTCTATACTCTTTTTTTTATCTTTACTTTTATGCTTGTTCTGCTAATATGTAATTGACTGTCGCTTTTTTTTTATTTGTTGCTTTTTTTACTGTGTACTGTAGCACTTTGAGATTTCTTGGAAATGTAAAGTGCATTACAAATTAAATTTATTATTATTGTTATTATTATTATAATACTCATATTAAAACCCTCTAAAATACTCAGATTAAAACCTCTTAAATACTCAGATTAAAACCCTCTAAAATACTCAGATTAAAACCTCTTAAATACTGCACTGCACTTCTATATTCTTTTTTTTTCTTTTATGCTTGTTTTGCTAATATGCGATTGACATTGTGTTGCTTTTTTTTAATCTGTTGCTTTTTTTACTGTGTACTGTAGCACCTTGAGATTTCTTAAAAATGTAAAGTGCATTACAAATTGAATTTATTATTATTATTAAAATACTCAGATTAAAACCCTCTGAAATACTCCGATTAAAACCCCTTACTCAGAATAAAACCATAAAATACTCACGAAAACCCCAAAATACTCTGATTTAAACCGAATAATACTCACAAAATACTCAGATTAAATCCTGAAGATACTCATGTTTAACCCCCCCAAAATACTTAGATTAAAACCCCTTAAATACTCGGATTATAACCCTCAATACTCAGATTAAAAACCTTAAATACTCAGATTGAACCCCTAAAACACTCAGTTTCATAGAAAAAAAATGTTTAAATGAGAGGACTGCTGACACTCCCGGACAGTTAATCAGCTTATTTCTGGTCCGATTCTGAAGCTCAAACACTCACAGAGCTAAATTTACGTTTACCACCCTGTCAGCAGAATAAACCTGAATATCAGGGTTCGATAAAGTGACTTCTTATTCTTCAGTGTTGGAAATCTGGAGCGAAAACATAAATTGGACTCCAGATTTCAAACAGTGGTAATAACAGCATATCTATTTATTGAACATGAGATAAAGACACTCTTCTCCTCCTCCTCCTCCTCCTCCTCCTCCTCCTCGTCCTCAGTCTACTGTCTCTTCTTCACCACGTGGGCACAGTCATATTTCCCTCGCACCACTTTGAGTTTGACCCCGGGCAGGTCCTGCGTCCTCCCGCCCTCCACCAGCACCACGTTGTGCTCCTGCAGGTTGTGTCCTTCCCCGGGGATGAACACCACCACCTCCTTCCCATTGGACAGACGCACCCGAGCGCACTTCCTGTTGGCAGAGTTGGGCTTCTTAGGTTTTCTGATCATGGTCTTCAGGATGACCCCCTTCAGCTGGGGGCGTCCAAAGGTGGGGCCGAGAGATTTGGGGGGGAATTTCGGTTTTCCCTGCCGGTGCATCTGGTTAAGAGTGGCCATAGCCCTGGAGAGAAGGGGGGACGTCCAGGCTGAGGCATGCTGGGAGGCTGCGGGGGGAGGGGGTTTGGGAAAACAAACAGTTTATTTATTAGATCGGATCAATAGAATAGTCAACACATAAAAAACCCACCTGAATCAGAGACATGGCTATTAATCAGAGGCCTGGGTTCAAGTGTACAGGTGCACAGGTGAGTAAACTGACCTTGTAACAGAGACGTCAGCATCGGTCTGAAGCGCCACAGTGACGACGCCATCTCTGAAACAAATGAGATCAGAAAGAATAAAACAGGTTTCTACTTCTCAGACTGATTCTCTGGACCTTTTTTGGGAAACATGTTTATTAATTTTCAATAAACATTAAATGAAAAGTAAAAATATTCATATACATATACACATATATATAATGAAAAAAAAGGTACAGGGGTACAAAAAGCAGCACATCAAGAATTACAACAATATTACATGGTCATAGAATGAGAATGGACTGTATAGAATATAAAAGCAGAAATAAAATTATGATCATAATAAGAAAAGTAAAATAAAACGGTCGGTAAACAAGATCACACTTTTGTTTGTACTGTGAGGTTTTGTTTAACAGCTAGTGTCTATGGACTCACATTTTTAAGGTAATTTAGTACAGGGCCCCATGTTTTATCAAACGTATCCCCTCTATCTTCATCGTATCATCTCAGTCTCTCCAAATGTAACGTGTTTGACAATTCACCCAACCATAAGTAATAGGAACAAGAGCCCAAGAACAAGATAGGAGCAGAGTCTGTTTTCCCACTGTTACGCCCCACCTGAAGGCAGCCCTATGGGACTAACAACTATCCTCATCTTTTAACCCATTGAGTTAACAAAACACCTTCAAAAGTTTAACAAGTGATTTATTTGTGACAACATAACTAAATTATAGGCCTGCCATGATAACAAATTTTGCTGGACGATAATTGTGCTACAAATTATTGCCGATAAAAGATATTATTGACACCGTTTTTTGAATTATAGAAAATGATAATATATGGCATAATAATGCCAGTACACCATGTCAAAAGTGATAAACTTTAATTTCCGCTGTCTGTCAGCGCGCACCATTTTGCACTGTTTTGTTTATATTTGCTTTGCTTACCAAACGCTTCAGTAAGCGGTACCTGTCGGGACGATGGCTCCGCAGCACCTCCGGCGGTACTTTTTTTGCTCAGTTGGGAAAAATGGAGGGGATGATTGTGCTTGAGGTGCGCATGCATGTTCGTCGTATTCCCCTTCTTTGTCACCACAACTTTGGAACAAATACGACATATCGGCTCGTCCGTATTTGTGGGCTCACCTCTTTCGTTTGGTTTAAAGCCGAAATATTCCCACACTTGGGCTGTTGCGTTCGGTTTAGACAACAAAGCTGTTGTGTTCATTCTGTTTACTTGCTTTTCACTCACGACGCTCACTTGCAGCACTGTAACCAAAAGTCTGTGTCTGTGTGCGTGTGCGTCCAGCCCCCCCCGTGACAAAGAGACTGAATGACTGACAGGAGGGTTCACTAACTCCGTTCATACCGCTATAGAGCCACCGCCCCCAGGTGTCTAGAAAAATGCACAGAGTGAGACCTCTTCTCTCATCCAGAGTGTTTGGTAGTGAGAGAGGAGGAAAACTAACACACGTTAGTTATCGAGGCTGGCAAAATGACCGACCTCGTTTTTATTTACCGAGCGATAAGGCGATTTATTGATTATCGCAACAGGCCTACTAAATTACGAACTAAACACAAAGAACCCACAACACAAATAAGAGGCAGCAGTTCCCCACCAAATGCCTCTCCAGACTGCAGGAAGCTCTCGGTCTTAAAAGTCTCTGCACCAGGTGAGTCTGATTGTCACTCAGTGACTTCACCTGGGCAGCTATGGTGAGACAAAAGGGGAAAAACACTAACAAAACTAGAAAAGCACTCAGAGAGCGCAGACCTCCACCAAGCAGCTCATGTCCCCCCTTATATTGTGATTCACACCAAAACTTTGACTGTTACGTGTCTTTTATTAACTTTTATTTGTGTTTAAACTGGTATGTTCACTGTTCATAATGTTCCTAAAACAACAAAGCTCATATTAGATACATAAATGCATGATTTATTATGCAATATTTGTAAGCGTACACTTCCTTGTATCTTCATTGGTTTTCTTTCCATTTTCATTTTCTACCGCTTATTCCCATTCCCGGGGTCGCGGAAGGGCTGGAGCCTATCCCAGCATCTTCGTGCGAAGACAGGGGACACCCTGAACAAGTCACCAGTTCATCGCAGGGCTGACATATAGAGACGAACAACCATCCACGCTCATATTCACACCTATGGGCAATTTGGAAGTGGCCAATTAACCTAACCCCACCTCTGCATGTTTTTGGGATGTGGGAGGAAACCGGAGTACCCGGAGTAAACCCACGCAGACACAGGGAGAACATGCAAACTCCACACAGAAATACCCTGACCCAGATTCGAACCCAGGACCTTCTTGCTGTGAGGCGACAGTGCTAACCACTACACCACTGTGCCGCCCATTGGTTATCTTTCAGCATTGGAAATTCCAACGACACCCTTATTTTTATGTGTTCAGTATCCAGAATTTTGTCTGGATCAGGATCAACCTTTGACACCTCATAAAACTCATTGAGATCCTTTTGTGTAATATTTTTACTGAAGACTCTGGACATTTTTAAAGAGTTAAATGCAAAAATTCCAAAATTTGCCCTATCTCACAATGATAAAGAATCCTTCAAAAAATTCCTGGATCCAGAAGGCGATCCGGATCACCACCAAAATGTAATGGGATCCTCCTGGGCTGAGACGCACCTCTGGTGAAAATTTCAGGTCAATCCGTCTGTAACTTTTTCCGTAAAGTTGCTAACAGACAACAAACTCACAAACAAACAACAAATGCTACCGAAAACATAACCTCCTTGGTGGAGGTAACAAACACACAGCCGTAACACCCCCACCCTTGAGACAATGAATAATTGGTACTGCAAAAATAAACACCACTACTGCACACCATAAATCTAAAAAAGTTACAAACATTTATTCATTGAATCAAAGTGCATTGTGCCAACCATATTAAAACAGGAATTTAAATGGGTGTTACTTACCAAGGCTGTGTGTGACAAAACACAGACCACTGCACAAGCTTAAAAAAAAAAAACTTCACTATTCACCAAAACTGAAGACAACTACTGCTGACAAAAAGGTGCAAAATGGGTCATGAGGAACGCAAAACCTCATTCAATCATTAGGGCCATAAAAAAGGCTGTACTCAAATTTAAGAGCATCCATCCCAAAAGTAGCCAATTAAGTGGGTGCCACTCCCACAAAGCAAAATGGCTACTACCATGAGGTTAACACAAACACAAAGAGCAAAAACACTAAATTTGCCAATACCACACACAGTAACAGATGTCCAACACTAAAGGGAGTGAGCAGTCACACACAAACGGATCAACAAAAGTAGTCAGAACTATAACACTGCTGTAATTCACAAACAGCACACAATGATCTAACAAAAGGTGACTGCTGCCACCACAACACAGATGGATGCAAGTCTTCAAAAGACATACAAGTTACTGTGATAAGGCCGGCAACAAATGAACGGAACATACAATTAGGAATATGAAGCAGTAACACACAAGTGAACCACCAAATGTGGACCCCAAACCACTACACAAAATGGTCACATAGCAGTCACCACTACACAAATGTTGCCACCTTACACCTAAGATGCAACTCACACGTGACCCACCAAATGTGGAGAGCAGTTACCACCAAACGGTCACACAACACAAGTTACTGCGCACAAAAAAATCCTAATTGTTATCACACGGAGTGACCAAGCAAAAATGGGTAGCCTTCTGAAACACACACAAAAACAGTACTGTAGTACAAAACAATTCTGAAGAGCAAATGAGTCACCCCAACCCCTACCTGCTTGACAAGATGTCTGACTTACCTAACTAGTCTTCGGTGGCCTGCCGAGCCCGAGGCATCACCGAAGTGTGCCCCCTCCTCAGGATTACCACCAAAAAATAAGGAAGGCAAAATAAAAAAGTGGCAAGTTCTTCCCTGCCCGGCGACTAAATGATCAGGGTGCTCAGAAGTTACAAATAAATGCAACTACTAATGATAGTGACAGAAACAGAAGACTAACAAACCCAAACTATGGTCACTAGTTACGAGAGGAAAAAAACAACTTCAAAGAACCTCATGGATGTTCGATCCCGGACGAGCCCCCGTTTGCCAAACCACACCCAAAGTCGGCCCTATGGGGCTAACAACTATCCACACCTTTTGACCCATTGAGTTAACAAAACACCTTCAAAAGTTTAACAAGTGATTTATTGTGACAACATAACAAAATTATGAACTACACTGTGTGCACAATTATTAGGCAAGTGAGTATTTTGATCATATCATCATTTTTATGCATATTTTCCAACTCCAAGCTGTATAAACTTGAATGCTTATTGGATATAAGCATATCAGGTAATGTGTATTAGTGTAATGAGGGAGGCTGGGGCCTAAGGAGATCAAAACCCTATATCAAGGTGTGCATAATTATTAGGCAGCTTCTTTTCCTCAGGTAAAATGGGCCAAAAAAGAGATTTAAATGACTCTGAAAAGTCAAAAAAATGTAAAAAGTCTTTCAGAGGGATGCAGCACTCTTGAAATTGCTTAGATATTTGGGCGTGATCACAGAATCAGCAAACATTTTGATGCAAATAGTCAACAGGGTCGCAAGAAATGTGTTAAGAAAAAAAAACGCAAATTAACTGCCAAAGATTTGAGAAGACTCAAACGTAAAGCTACCAGGAATCGCTTATCCTCCGGTGCTGTCATATTCCAGAACTGCAACCTACCTGGAGTGCCCAGAAGTACAAGATGATCAGTGCTCAGAGACATGGCCAAAGTAAGGAAGGCTGAAATCTGACCACCACTGAACAAGACACAAGTTGAAACATCAAGACTGGGCCAAGAAATATCTGAAGAGAGATTTTTCAAAGGTTTTATGGACTGATGGGATGAGAGTGACTCTTGACGGACCAGATGGATGGACCCGTGGCTGGATCAGTAATGGGCACAGAGCTCCACTTTGAATCAGACACCAGCAAGGTGGAGGCGGGGTACTGGTATGGGCTGGTATTATTAAAGATGAGCTAGCTGGACCTTTTGGGTTAAAGATGGACTTAAAATCAACTCCCAAATCAAGAAAACCATGATTTTTATGCATGGGTCAGTTGAGGTGGCTCTGGCATCTGGTTAGGACGCCTACTGAAGCTGCTGCCCCCTCGACCCGGACCCGCGGAAGAAAACAACGGCAAAGACGATTGTTCTTCGATTGCACTGCTCTTTCTTTGTTTACCGTAGTTCAAGGGCGTAGGTTTGCATAGGGATGGTAGGGACATAACACTGCCAACTTTTCAGAGTGCTCAAATTGTCCCCACCAACTTCTAAGCAACCTTATTTGCATTATATAATGAGTGCAGTTATATAGGTAATTTAGATTGTCTTGATATTTCGTAAGGATAGAATCGACCCTACCATTATTAAGTGAATTATTTTCATTATGTTCTGACTTATGTTTACCCTTTTTCACTTGTTGAATGTGCTGGTCCATTTTTTTTTCCTCAAACGCACATCTATTGGCTGATGACTACGCCCTTACCGTAGTTCTTTATCTTATTTGTTTTTTGTATGAATGTGTATGTTGTGTGAACCACTGCTGTTAACAATTTAATTTCCCCATTGATGGATGAATAAAGAAAAAACTAATCTAATCTAATCCTGATTCTGAAACTATTAACCTGTTATTTTTAAATGAGAGATTGGAAGCTGCTCTTCTTTTCACTCAATTTAACACACATGTACACACTTTTTGGCGTTGTGTTGTTACAGATGATACCAAGTAAAATCAGAACAGATGAACAGGATCAGACAGGACAGGAGGATTGTGTCCAGAGTCAGTTTTTTCAGGGTTCACATAGTGGACGTCTTCAGGGCTGAGAAAGTCTCAGATTATTGAGATTAAATTTATTTAGATCATGCCGAAATAACAGTAGAATCTGGAAATCCAACATAGGTCTGTTATTGTGTACTAACTTTAATCTTTTTGTCCCATTTGAGACAAACTCCCTTAAATTGAAGATTTTATGAACGGAGTCTGGTCCATCTCTGCTCCACTCCATAACTACAGACTGGCTTTAACAAAAACTCTTATTATTGTTTTAAAATCTGCTGCGGAAACATTTTCGTCCTGGTTTAAAACAAAATCTGTAAACTTAAATCACAGATGCTAACAGCTAATGTTGCTAACACAGAGGTTACAGGATGAACTTTACGTACCGAATCAGAGTCCAGGATCAGGAACCAACGTCAGAACCACAGAGGTAATCCGGGAAAGTAGAACAGATTTGATTATATATTACAACTAATAGTTTTTTTATCGCATATTGACAGAAAATTTATCCAAGATCTTCGCGGTGCAGCATGAGCACGGTATGACCCCAAGGACTTCCGCTTCTTCTTCTTCTGATGATGATTATTTGGCGGCTGACACGCCGGCTACACGGTAAATTACCGCCACCTAGACGACTGCAGTGAAAAGCGGTTATTTTGCACACAACATTATATTAATTTTATAAATATGAATACGTTCTCGTTAATTCTGTGTGACATTATATTAATTTTATAAATATGAATACGTTCTCGTTAATTCTGTGTAGCAAAGTCATGCTGGCACTGAAATAGCAAATCTAGACATTAATTATGTTTGCTTTTGTGGTTTTAACCATAGACTGTATATAGAATAGACGCTGTCTGCCTCCTCTCTGGGTGAGGCCACGCTGAGAACAGCACCCTCTGGTGACGGGCTGCAGTATAGGTCATAAATCCCGCCTCCTTATGGAGCTGTGGACAAACTTTATAAATTAATTACACAGAATATAAATGTTTCTCCCCCCTGGTTGTGATTTTGACATTAAATTACTGTCAGACTGGTTTGTGCTCAAGTCCTCTTTTTTCTGTACAGCTCCATTTTTAAAAGTTATTAGGGGGTTCATGTTTTCTATGATTAACACTTGATACAGCCTATGAGCGTACAGAGAAGATTGTAAGTTTTGTATTGTGTAGCTCATCCGGGGGATACGCTGTTTGAGCCGAGCATCACCACAGCGACTCTCGGCGACTCCCGCTGAATGCGCACAACGCTACTGCACAATGTTGGTTTAAGGAAACTGAGAAAACATAACCTCCTTGGTGGAGGTAATTAAGTCAAGATCTCCAGAAAACAACTGAAAGAGCTCATAATGACAGTAAACATGAGTGATTGAGGCTCCTGTGGACAACAACAAAGAATTTAAAAGAAACCAAAACAGATTAAACATTTATATTCATGTCCATTTTAATTCCTCAGTAAAATTATTAAAGAAAGATAATCAAGGATAGAAAAACGAAGAGAAAGTGAAGGAGTTTATAAGAGGAGGCCTTAGAGCCCCGTGACCCCGCTGAAAGAGGAGGAGGAGGAGGAGGTCAGAAAACAAAGACCAAACCGGGTCAAATGTCAAGGCCCAAATCTAAAGGGTCATATTTACTTCTGTGTAATTTGATCTTAAGATAAATATACATGTATGTGAATTACTTCGCAGCTGATTTTGGTCCTTTTGAACGTTTACCTGTCCCTGTTACCTGTTTATTTATTCAGGTGTGCTCCAAATCAAACCTCCTGATCAGACTGAAGGACGTCGTGTTCTCGCTCTGTTTCTCCTGTGACCTTTGGCAGTTTGTTGAAGCATCAAGTTTGAGTCTAATATAAAGTTTTATGACGACCATCAGATAAAAAACTCAGATAAAACATCAGCTGAGTAACTTCACCTGTAAAATAACAGAGAGGAGATCATTTTAAATTGCTAACAGACAAACAAACTAACAAACAAACAAACAAACAAACCAACGCTCCTGAAAAAAAAACCTCCTTGGCGGAGGTAACAAGGAGACTAATGAAGCGAAAATCAAATTTTATCTTTATTGATGATAATTTCCTTACATTTTAACAGACTTATGATATTCCCAGAAAACTTTTTTTTTTTACAAATGAAACATTTCATACAGTCCAAATATAAGCAGATGCTAACTAAACCACCACCATTGTCACAGCTTGAAAATATCACACTATCAAACCTAAATGAGAGAGGTCAGATCTCTGTTTTATGCAGCTCTGATGTCACATGATAATCCTCAGCTGACAGACTTGAAGCGTGGAGACTAGATATTCAAGAAGAGATACATGAGGCTGATTGGGAATTAACATGCTTAAAAGCCCAAAAGCAATCTATCAATACAAGAATGAGACTATTACAGTACAAATGGTTCATGAGAACTTACATTACTGCGGTCAAACTGACCCGATGCTCCCCTGACATCCGGACACCTGTGTTCAATGTCTTAAAGAAAAGGGCGCCCTTTTTCATCGTGTATGGGAATGTCCAAAACTTAATGAATACGGGAAAACAGTGGTTAAGATTGTATCTGAAGTTGTATGCAAAATTGTGCATACTAGGTATATATCCAAATGATTTTACTGTTAACTCAAAGCAGATGACTTTAATCGACTTGGGACTCCTGCAGGCCAGAAGAATAATCGCCGTATCTTGGAAGAAAATGGATGTACCTTCGATAAACGTTTGGGTGAAAGAGATGGCTTCCTGTGTTGGACCAGAGAGATGAATGTCCATCATCAGAGGGAAAGCAAGTGAATTTGAGAAGATTTGGAGACCCCTGTTGGACTTTCTTGGACGTTGGGGCGCTGATGCTAATGTGCTGAGTACATGTATATTTTATTTATTACTGTCTTGTCTCATGTAACCCTGTCCTTTTTTATCTTTTACTTTCTATTGACTTATGTTGTTATTGATAGTTGTCTGGACAACTCCAAGTATGGTCTTTTTATAGATGGAGACGACTACACATTTCATTGTCCAACTGTTCATGTTTTTGATGGTTTTTTTTTTTGTATACTTGTATATGTAAAAGTTCAATAAATACATTGTTAAAAAAATTATCTTTATCAAAAAATGAGTCAAAGCCAGTATGTTGAGTAAATACAGGGAAATATGTTCATCTAAGTCTGTGTATGTTTGTTTTGTGGAAAATGTGAATTAACGTGGTCTTTTCTGTTTGTTTTTGAAAATAAGAACAAAAAGGCATGTTGGCCTGCAGTTGGCCCTCAGCTCGAATCATCGCGGGTTCATTAAGGAGGACCATGAAGACAGGTGTTTGTGTCAGGTGTTTATGGCCATGTCAGACTATTAGAGACTTTCGAGTCAGAGCTCAGAGCTGCTATCAGCCGGTCCACAGGTTATCGATACTGATCCCTCTGATATGGATCCATCTGAGCGGAGGAATTGTCCTTCACCTTTGATCTCAATCAGAGATGTAGTGAAACATTAACCAGGCTGTTACAGGTGTGCAGACAGGTGAGGTCTCTCCTTCATCAGTCCGTCCAGGTAAAGGTGAAGATGAGGTTTGAACTGCTCCTGGTCGTCACGGCCGTCATCTCCATCACCGCTAAGCCTCAGAGCAAGGCAGCCCAAAGGAACAAGCTGCTGCTGATCTCCTTTGATGGCTTCAGGTGGGATTATGACCAGGATGTGGACACGCCGAACCTGGACCAGCTGGTTCTGGACGGAGTCAAGGCCAAGTACATAACCCCCCCGATGCTGACCATGACGTCCCCTTCCCACTTCACCACCATAACAGGTAGGAACTGGGGGTGCATCGATCACGATTTTCTGGCCAATCACGATATTTAAAAAGCTTGACCTGCCGATACCGATTTTGGCGGATACCTTTTTATTTTTCAAACTGACAACATACATCTTCGATGTTCTGATCTAGTTTTAATAAAAAAACTTTGAGCAATACTCATGAAACAATACAAACCTTTTGTTTAACTGCACGAGGTAGTTCTCTCAAATATAAATGAAAAGTTTAAAATATTTCTGTCCAAACTATTAAATTATATCAGTTCCTTTAGATTTTTATTTTCTACATTTTAAAACTTAACAATACTTGCCCAACAGGTCAGACTGCAGGCCTGATTTGAGCCTCTTACCAAAATAAAGTGCACAGCAGTATTTTACTTTAGCAAATAAAGGAAATCACAAAGTTTGAGGAAGTTAGTAAAATAATAATCTACAGGACAAACTACTATAACTGGGCGGGTCTGTCATTCTGGCAAAAGCAAAAAAAGCAACAACGGTGGACTTTCAGACCTCTGCTGAGGTCGAAAAGATCGGAGGATAAAATCAGTTTCATATGTAAGGATCAGCCAATCACTGATCCACCAAAATGACACGAAGAGACACTTCTACTGCTGGAAATGAAAGGGTTACAGGCCTGCTGGGGACAGGAGGGTTCTGAAGGTCTACAGGAGGTTTCTGGATCAGGCTGTAACATCTGCACCGAGATCCTTCATGGATCACAGAACAGAACATGTTTAATATTTAACCGTGTTCATGAACAGAGAGGACTCGGACCTGCAGTGGACTTGGTTTAAGTGATGTCCATACAGAACCAATGTTAGTAAAATGCATAACTGCCTTGCCTGGTTGAACATTAAGCACAGATTTACTGCCTCATCAGCAGCTTTCATTAGAAGACTATCTGTGACGAAATTGCCGAGGATTCTTCAAGATCGTTTGTCTCTTTCAGTTCAGATGAACACTTTTACAAAGCAAGACATGCTACGGAGGGTAAATTCACCTTTCCTAAAGTAAAAATAAACAAGATGAAAAGTACGGTAAAGTATAGAACCATGCTAATATGGGACATATTATCCAAGAAAACAACAAATACAGATTGAAAGATCTAGTGAAAGAACATTTATTAGTCAAACAGCTCCTTACTTAGATGAAGCTACTTTGCAGAATCAATCAGTGTTTGTCTGATTAACTTATAATATCTTAAGTCTGCCTATCTACTGGGTACTGTTTCTGTGAATTAATTAAATTATGTGGAATGTAAGTTGATATTTAAACATCTGATTATTTCAGAACTATAGCTACAGTGTGAAAATGAATAAGGTCCAGTTATATGTGTCTGTTGTTTGTATTGTTCTTGTTTTATTGTTTTTGTCTTGTTGGCTGTTGTGAGTTGCTGTGGTTATTGACGTTGTCTTTGTGGCGTGATGTTTTTTTTTTGTTTGTCTTTGACTGAGATGGAGAAGTAATTGTAAATGTAGACTCCAGGAAGAGTTACAGGAACCAAGTGTTTGTGGTTCTGGTTCCAGGAGCACAGTCCCTGAAACACGTTTGGTCTGGTCTTCACCTCATTAACCAAATCTAGGATCCAGTATCAGGACCATTCTGGAGACTAGAACCTGAAGTTATCCTTGTGTTGTCTCCTGTGTGTTAGGCAGATGGGTGGAGGATCATGAGGTCGTCCACAATATGATGTTTGACACCAAAACTAACCTCAAAGTCCCTCATAAGAAGACGCTGACCCGATCCGAGTGGTGGGACAACGGACCTCTGCCGTTATGGATCACTGCGCAGAACCAGGTGAGTCCTTAGCAGGAAACTTGTCTGGGATGTGAGCTGAATATCAGCAAAGAGTCAGTCTGGGTATCAGGAGTTCAGACTGTAGTGACACTGTGGTTCATTCAGACTTAGTCCCACTTTCAGTACCAAGCTCCTACAGAAAGCTGAGTGTCATCTGCATAGCAGCAAAGGGTGACAAGGGTTATTCAGCCGAGTGACTTCATAACGCCGTTTCAGGAACCACTATAGGTGGGGTAGGCAGGAATCCATTGAAGAAGCATCTTTTTTTGTGGTGTATTTACAAAAAATCATTTAATATCAGTCAATAGTTATTAGCTATTGATGACATTTGATAATATAACGATATCGCTGTGTTCTCTTCTGTCTGTGTAGTCAACATTTGAACATTTTTGAGCGGTCCGCTCTTTCTGACTCTAAAGCCGTTCTCCACCTCCCCAACCTGACTGGTTGTGAGGCAGACGCTGCTCCCTGTGTTGTTCACGAGCCCAAACAAAGTTAGTGTGCAACAATATCAGACAGTAGAAACCAACCAGAAAGTTCAGAAAATTGTCTGAATCCTCCTTTGACCACGACTGCCAACACATGCAAGAAAGTGAAGTAAATACCGGAGACTCTGACGGAATAACAGGCTTAAAACGGAGGTAGACAAGAGCTAAAAAGCTGGGTCAACATAAACGAAGGGGGGACGCTTCGGAATCTTGGTGACCCTGTAACCTTTCTGCTGGACAGGTAAACCGCTTTAACAAAGTAAGACAAGAGTCTGTAACAGAAGCGTTTCTTGTCAAACTGGACCTGCTGTAGCGTGTTGTAGCGCCGCTAAACTGTTGACCTCGGGTCCTGGACTTTGTCACTTTATCCTAGTTGTAGAAGTCCTACAAACATTGTGTTTGCTGGTAGTCTGTTGGCATCAACAGTAGCACCAATGCTCTTTACTTTCACGTTGACTGTGCCCCATTTGTAATTATCTGAAGTATTTATCTGCATTATATCTGAATTTAATTGGAACGATACGAGTGAGCAGGAGCTTCTGTTTGTGGGCGGGGCTTGCTGGAGCAGAGAGGGAGGGGAGAGGAGGAGCTGAGGGGAAAACTGGTTGGGAGGGGTAGAGTTTACATTCAAGATTTCTCCTAAAAACTGGAACTTCCTCAGATCCTGACTACCCGACCTTTAAATGAGTGACTGGAATCAGAAAAACAGATTTTTACAGCTGGACTTTGACAGAGCTCCTCAAACATATCAGACAGCAGCTACAGAAAGTTGAGTGTCATCTGCAAAGCAGCAAAGCCGAATGACCTCATAGCGCCATTTCAGGAACCATTAAGTGACGTCACAGAGACAGAGTTCATGTTTTTTCAGTCTGTATCTGACGTGATTTTTTTTCTTTGCTCTAGGGTTTGAAAACCGCCTCCTTCTTCTTTCCAGGAGGCGGCGCCAACTACAGCGGCCAGGCGGTCAACAGAGTCTTGTTGGAGGACTTTAATCACCCTGACGACAACGAGACCGAGTGGCGTGAGAACATCGACAAGGTGATGAGCTGGTTCTCTGAGGAGGACTTCCACCTGGTGACGCTGTACTACGGAGAGCCGGACAACGTGGGCCACGCCAAGGGACCGGATCACCCTGACAGGAAGAAGATCATCATGCAGATCGACCGCACCATTGGCTACCTGAGGGAGGCCATCGTTCGCCATCAGCTGACTGACACTCTGAACGTCATCATCACCTCTGACCACGGTATGACCACCGTCAAGAAGCGACCACAGGTGGATGAGATCATCCTCAACAAATACCTGAACTTACTCAAGCTCGCCAGCTTTGAGATCCTGGACTACGGCGGGTTTGGGATCCTGACGCCACGGCCTGGGAAGGAGCAGGAAGTGTTTGACGCTCTCTCCAAAGCTCCCAACCTGACGGTGTGGAAGAAGGAGGAGTTTCCCGAGAGCTTCCATCTGGCCAAGAGTAAGCGGCTGCCCCCCATCGTGGTTGTCGCAGATCTGGGATTCAACCTGAACTCTGTGAGTTTCCTTCATTTCCCTCCGAGTCCTGAATAAGTGTCCGATCCTGGTGTATCTTTCAATGAATTCTAACTCCTCTGCAGAGATTCATCGTCTACGTAAACAAAGGCGATCACGGCTACCATAGCGGGGAGATGGACATGAAGACCATCTTCAGGGCGTTCGGTCCAGACTTCAAGAAGAACTTCATTTCTGATCCGTTTGACAGCATCCACATCTATCCTCTCATGTGTAAACTGCTGCAGATTGAACCGGCACCGCACAACGGATCCCTGAGCGCCACTGAGAACCTGCTCAACGGTCAGTATGTTCTTAGACTTCAGATTTGAGGGTTCCTGCAGGGATCCAAAGAGTCCTTCAGAATCAAACTAAAACCTCTTTCTGTTTCCAGGTGGTCCACAGATGACTTGTCTGCCCGTCTCTCTGCTGCTGGTCCTGCTGCTCCTCAGGTTCACACTGCTCTAACAGGTCCAGGATCAGGACTGAAATGGTTTTAATGACATTGGGCTCTGACTTAATTTGATTTAGTTTTCATATTTATAAATTGTAATGTTCATTTCTCTGGATTCAGATGTTAGTGTCTCTAAAAAAAAATCAAAGTTTTTATTTATTCAAACTAATTTTAAACTCAGTTTTAATGTTTTTCTGCCTAAAAGTCTGTGAATAAATCCGACTGTTGATCTGCTCTCTGGGTTTCTTACTGACTGTGGTTTTTAACGTAAAAAGGATTGTTTCATATTTTAGGGTTAGAGTGTTTCCATGGAAACAGACATCATTAAAGGGATATTCAGGCATAAAATTAATTTAGGGTCAAACACACCGTAACACCGAGTTAGATACGCCCTTCGATCAAATATCACTCACTGATTGAGCACTGGAGATTTACTGAATCTTCACATCACTGTATTTTAATAAGAGATGGACCTTAAACCGGCCAGCAGGGGGAGCTGTGAATAGATCCTTAACATTAACTGGTTTGTCCACCAAAGTCCTCCTCAACAGAAAGGAGAGCGTAAAAATATAACATGAAATAATAAAAATAGAATTTTTATCACTGACGTCAAATAGTCACAGCGCTGTGAAGATGTGGATATAAAGAAATTATGATCATCAGTCTGTTATTGTTAACATACTCCGACAAGATACCAAATATGGACTCTTAAAGGAATATTCTGGCGTAAAATTAATTTAGGGTCAAACACACCGTAACACAGAGTTGGACACCCCCTCCAGAGATGAATGTTGCCGACCGCTTGCTTCTCTAGTTATACCAACTTTGGTAACGACCGCAGGATAGCAATACACAGCAGTCTGAGGAGCCATAAACAAACCTCAACCAAAACGCCACTTTATAGCCACAAATAATGCTCAGAATAGCACCTAACTTCATCAACAGTACAGATAGGGTCCCAGCCATAGTACTAGCCACCAAACATCTTTTTAACTTTGACTAATTTCTTTAGCAAAGAGACTAACTACAACTCACGTACTCTCTTCCAGCAGCCGCTTGTTTGTAGGGAGACTTCAGGCCGGTCCATTATGGACTACAGCAGGATGACGCAGCTCAACGAAGAACATTTATGATAATTTATTATTTCATGTTTTATTTTTACACTCTCCTCTTTCTGTTGAGGAAGACTTTGATGGACAAACCAGTTAATGTTAAAGATCTATTCACAGCTCCCCCTGCTGGCTGGTTTAAGGTCCATCTCCTATTAAAATACAGTGATGTGAAGATTCAGTAAATCTCCAGCGTCCAATCAGTGAGTGATATTTGATTGAGGGGCGTGTCTACAGCGAACAGACGTCTGTGAAGGCTGCTGTCGTGTTTCCTCATATCTCTTCTCTCTTTTCTTTTCTCTTTTTCCGAGCGTATACATTACAGAATTTTTTCAGCGTCTGATCGGCTGAAATCACATTTTATTTTTCATGTCGTCACCAAACTGGTTTTATTTCAATTTGAAGAATAAACTTAGAAGAATGAATTTAGAAGACATCAGCTGTGCCGTCATTTAACCATCCGCTTCAGGCAAAGAAGTGAGGCACAACAGTGATCACACACACACACACACACACACACACACACACACACACACACACACACACAAACATATAAAACTGAAATCAGCATGATGGATTAAATTAAAACTTCTCTCTGCTTCATGAAAGCAGAAATTAAAAACAATACAAATTTCACTTCAGGGTGTTTTTTTCATCAGTCTGTTCACTTTGGTGCTCCAGCAGCCAATCACAGCGTAGCAGGAAATCAACGGACTCAGAAGAAACCTGAGGAAGGCGTTTCCAGAAGTGGCGGCCATATTGGCTCAAAGAGGGGTGGAGTTTCCGTGATTCACCATAAAACGATGAGAAGATTAAACGTTCACCTCCGCCTGGAAGGGGGCAGGGTGAGGAGTACGGCGGGGCCAGGTGAGGCCTGATTGGTCCTCCCGTGACCTTTCACCTCAGTCTAGAGGACATGGAGGGCGATGGTGACACCAGCATCAGCCTCCTCTTCTTCAGGCAGCGCCGCCTGGTGGTGGAGAGCAGCCAGGCATCATAGAAACGTCTCACTGGCCACCACCTTCCATCCGTCCTCGTTCTCCACCTTTATCTCCACGCTCGGTAGCTTCTCCATACTGCGGACACGGAAACAAAGATGGCGTCTCATTTCTTATTTTATATCAACATGTTTGACAGTGAGGAGGGAAAAAGGTTATCTTTAAAGCGGATTGATTTGAATGTTATTGACTTTAGGTTCAGGACTGTAACGACACGTTAACCTCACAGTACGATACAGTTACGGTTAAAGAACATCAGTGCTTTTATTCTGAAAGGACACCAAAGGTTTCAGCTGAGAGAAAATCAACAATAAGCTGCCTAAGAGTGAGACGACCAATCACAGAGAGCCTCAGCTGATGATGTCATTAGGTACCTGTTGCTTCGTTTGAGACCTTTGCTGCTGTCGGAGTTCATCGCCACCGACTTCCAAATGCCGCTTTTTGCCATTTCATCGGAGATGTTGACCTCAGAGGGGTCGACTCTGCAGAGGCGGACACACTCAGAGGTAAAAAACAAACATGGCTGTGTGTGTGTTTGTGTATGCGTGTGTGTGTGTGTGTGTGTGTGTGTGTGTGTAGGTGTGTGTAGGTGTGTGTAGGTGTGTGTAGGTGTGTGTGTGTGCACTGATGTAAGACTCACCGCCTCTTTTTCATCGTGAAGTCGATGAGGTTTCCTCCGTTGTACGGCGGATCATCTTCCACTTCCTCCAACATCCTCTGAGCGTCCTGAAGGAAACAAACGCAATTCTTTACGTTTACACTGTCAACCCGACCAGAACCGGAGTACCAAACACCCAGTTCGTTTACATTCACAGTTTAATCTGACTAAGCTCATAATTAGTTTTTTTCGCCGAATTGGACTTCTCTCCTTGTCCGCGTATACATGCAGCTGAACAAATTGAATTATTGACGTGAACGTGTCCTCCTCCCCAAAACTAGGGGGTGATATAGATCTTTTCAGCGGCGCTGTTTCTGACCCCGTACAACCGTCAACAACATCAGCAGGTCCATGTCAGACGTCAGAAGTGTCTACAACTGCTGCTGGGCATTTTGGAGCAAGAAGATGGAGCATCGTACAGCGTTGTTTTTGTCCTACATGATGGACGCGCTGCAGATGAGACGCACGCTACTCCTCTTCTCTGGTGCTTTTGTTCCGGGGTTGCGGCGTACGTGCACATGCATTGTCCGACCATACTCTGACTACGCTGGTTACATGGTAGAGAAAATTGAATTCCAATCACATTATCTGGGTGTCTTAATCGGAGTTCTCCGACTCCAATCAGAGTTCTCAAACTCCGATTATAGTAAGACTGAGGTGTTTACATGCACTTCAGTTGTCTGGTCTTTATCGGAGTAAGGCAATAATTTGGTTTTCTCGAGTGTCATGGAAACGTGATTTGAGTGATTTGATTAACCCGTCATCATCATTAGAACTTAAGGAGGTGAAGCTGAATGAGAGCTCTGCTGTCTGACCTCCTTCTCCTTCTTCTTCTTGTCGTCTTCTTTCTTCTTCTTGCTCTCCGGTATCAGGTCGTCCAGCCAGCTCAGCTCTCTCTTGGTAAAACAGAAATCCAGAAGCCTCCGAATGAAGACCAGAGCCAGAACCTGCAGAGGACAGGGAGGGTTTAGACCTGAACCTGGTCTACTGATCCAGTCTGGGAGCAGGATGATCCATCGTCTCAGACTCTCTCACCATCATGGGGAAGACCACGGCGGCGGCCGAAGCCTTGATGACCCAGAGGACGATGAGACAGGTCAGCTGGACCACGGTGAAGATGTGGACCTTCCACAGAGGGACGTAGCGCAGGTAGATCAGGTCCGGTTGGTGTTTGGCTGGCATACCGAAGAGTTTGAGCCGGTCAAAGAGCTGCAGGAGACAAACGGACATCAGAGACATTTACAGACACAGAGACAGACGGACACCAGAGACATTTTCAGACACAGAGACAGACAGAGACACACCTGGATCCCTTTGAGCGAGGACACGCCCATGTAGAGGAAGACTCCGTAGAGGACGGGCATCGGGATGAACTGAAGGAGGAGAGAGAAAGTTAACCACGCCTCAGAGGTTCAAAGGTTGTTTTCTGTCTCAGTGGCGTCCTCAGGTCTGACACTCACCTTTAGGGCGGAGGTCATGAAGACGGAGCAGCCCATCAGGACGAAGATCATGAAGCCCGTCACTCTCTGCTCTCTGATACCCAGGAACTTGGGCTGCTCGCCCGGCGCCGCGCACTCCGACTCCAGCTTCAGGCTGTTCACGTGAGAGATGGAGAGGACGGTCGCCGCAACAAACCACGGCAGGCCCATGATGGAGCAGACGCCAAGCATCACCGCCACCACCAGCAGGTCCAGGTGATATCCACAGCCTTTCTGCAAACACAACACACACACACACAGAGGTCATCAGAGGCCATCACAGAAGTCATCAGAGAGGTCATCTCAGAGCCTCTCTTTTCCTCACTAACCTCCCTGACCCCCCTAACCCTCACCTTCAGTTTGTTCTCCTTCCTGTTGACGATGACAGCGGTGATCTGCTGGTCCATGAAGATCAGGATGGTGCAGAGCAGAGCGGGAACAGCGGCCGCCAGCAGCGTCCACTTGGGGTTCGTACCCAGAGGAGAGATCAGCCAACCACGATTGTTAGAGGTGGGCTGGGGGGGGGGCAGAAAACAGGGTCAGAGGTCAGACCAGTTCCTCAGCAGCAGGACTCTTCTACTACAGAGCCATGCTCACTGTAATCTCTCTCTCTCTCTCTCTCTCTCTCTCTCTCTCTCTCTCTCTCTCTCTCTCTCTCTCTGTGTGGGACACAGAGGACACACACTTGGGTTCTGTACCTCGAAGCGGTCTGGGACTCTGAGTTTAGGTGAAGGAACACCAACCAGATAATCCACCAAGACCATGATCATGATGGTCAGGAAGACGGCAAAGTCACTGATGGTGGACCGGACCTGCAGAGACAAAAACTGTCTGATCCACGTCCATATCAAGACTCTGAACAGCGTGTGTGTCTGTGTCTGTGTGTGTATAAATAATTATCATATAAAGGTTAAATCAGCCATTTTTTAAAGAAACAAAGAAAGTCTTTGTGGTAAACAAGCTCTCATCATCAGCATTAGTGTGAATGGGTTCAGACAGCTCCACTGCCTTATATGGAGGTCCCTGTTAGACTGGTAGATCTCACTTAAGGATCCAGGTCCCCTCTTGGCAATTAAAAAAAAAAAGTCACATTTCAAGTTTTATTATGGTAAAAGACCTTAAAAGATCATTTTCTATGATATTTTTGTTTTATCAAAATGACCAGAAATAGGGGTCCCCTTTTGGTCAGTCTGAGCTGATAGTCCCCTGTTGATACAGTAAGCGTGTTTGTGTGTGTGTTCTGACCTTGGTGGGGAAGTATCTCTTGGTCTTAAACTGTTTGAGGAAGGAGGAGAGGAAGAAGGTGGTGAAGAAGAGGATGACGGACCAGAAGAGGACGTCAGGGACGTAAGGACCATCATGGCTGCAGGCTGAGCCCACAAATTCCCCGTGAAGGTCCACACAATCCTGGAGGGGGCGCAGAGAGAGAGAGAGAGAAAAGGAGGGCTTGAATACTGCAAGTTAGTTCTGAAGACACCGTCTAAATTTTGTTGGAGAGAGGAAACAAGCGCAGAAAAATGCTGAGGCGGAAAAACTCCGGAAAACTAAGAGTGATCTGGAGTGTCTGATCAAATCTGAGAGTTTTTCCTCTGAGTTTAAGAGAAATCTGATCAACAAAGAATATAAAAAACAGACACACACATTAACACACACACAAAGACGCGCACACACACACAAACACACACACACTTCAGTTTGAGGAGATCCAGGTCAGACCTTCACACTAAGCTGCTCCCACTCGATGCTCTCTGAGGTTAGGTTTTTGTTCATCCAGATCTTTTGGACTTCAGCCGAGGCGTTGGCAGGTGAAGAACACTGACACCTGTGACAGGAAGTGACAGGTAGGGACAGGAAACAGATTCATGAGTTCAGTCCATGCAGTCTCCACTGACCGGGTTTTGTCCCGGTTTTCGGCAGTCTTACATGTAGAAGGTGAGGTTGTCCAGCTGGTTGTGCATGTTGATGGGGTAGACATCCCCCAGGTGAACCAGCTTCTCCAGAGCCTCGTAGATGAAGATGATGCAGATGAGGGCGGCGAAGGCTTCCTCTGTGAAGCGGGTGATGTAGCAGACCAGAGAGCTGGCGTCTGTGGCGACCAGCACCACGCAGAGGAGGGCGGTCCAGAGTCCGATACTCGTCCTCAGGGACAGGTAGGACAGATGGTAGTCACTGAGGGAGGACAGGAGGAGACGGGAGACAAGAGGAGGAGGGTTTAGAGACGTTTACCTCCAACCACTAAATCACACACACACAGAGGATCTGCAGCCTCTCAGTTTCTACCCTCATCATCCAGGGAGTGATCTTAGTGGGCAGGGCTGGTATGATTATGAGGCTCTGCTCTGATTGGCTGTCTGATTAATGAGGGGAAATCAGAGCAGTAAAATCAGAGGAGGTCCAGACTGTGACCCTGAAGAGGAGGAGGATGATCAAGCTGCTGCAGCGACAGCACGTCTCTGAGTGTGAGGTTAAAAGTCAGCAGACGTAAGCAGCTCTTCATCCGGGACCGGCTCCAATCTGGAACAGCGGCGATTTTCGCCATACGCCAATTCCTACTAGATCCGTTTGTGAGGTGGATTACAGACAGCGGTAATCACGAGAACTCACAAGAACCCGCGGATTCATGTTCAATCATGCGATAACGAGTTGTCTCTATAAAGACAGACACATAGACATATAAGCAGTAGATTGTGTTCTTCCAGAAGAGGAAATCTACTTCTAGACTTCTAAAATCAGCATCTCCTCACCCGTGGTGTCATCGGAGTGAAATGACGTCTATAAACCTTTCACTTGTTTGTCTCCGCCCGTTTGCATGGTGTGAAATATGATCCTCCTGAAACATGGAGTGTTTTATTTTGAAAAGAAGCCGGATGTTTTATTTTGTGTCTGTGTCTGACTTCCTTTCCAGCACGGGTTAATCTGTGATGAATTTATCTGCCATGCTCCGGCGTCCAGAAAAAATAGAACTCTTGCGATCAGCTGTGGAGTCCAGCGATCCACAGAGGAACAGAAAGAAGCCGGAGGAAATTGACACGTTAACTTGAATGGTTACGATCAGAGGATATGACCTTTTAGTAGACGTTCAGGATGAAGGTGGAAATTGGATGTCAGTCAATATTAAAGTCTGAACATACAGACAGAGTTTTATTTAAGCAGGTAGTCTTGACCGACATCCAGCACCAGGCCCATTTGACCTGACTGGACCTTCACAGCTCCTCTTGTTACCCTCACATTCAGAGACCAAAACTTTGGACTAAAGTTCTTGCTGAGAAACTTTGAGGTTATTTCAGACAAACACACAGAGTCCATTTACTGAGTCTGTATGTTTGACTCACAGGATACAGATAAGACGTACTGACCTTTGGATCAACCAATCAGAGAGCAGAATGCTCAGGATTTCAACACTGACCTGATCAATAACTCCACCAATAATTGACACAGGGCAGACCGCTGTGAGGTGGATGATGGGAAGTCCAAGTGATTCTGGTTCACAACAAGTCAGCTGTTGAAGTGGAGGTGATAAGGCTCATCAGCAGAACTGAGATGATCTAGAGTCTGTTGAGAGTCTAGAGCTAGTGCGCTTAGATGCTGCAGACTAGTGATATAAGAGAGCAATAATAGCTGACTGAGACAAGACTAAGACCGAAATGAGATGGACTGAGACCGAAATGAAACCAAAATGACACTTCACTGAGACTGGATTGAGACCAGACTGAGACCGAAATGAGACGGACTGAGACCAAAATGAGACTGAAATGAGACCAGACTGAGACCAGAATGAGACCAGACTGAGACCAGACTGAGACTGAAATGAGACTAGAATACGACTGGACTGAGACCAAAATAAGATCAGAATGAGACCGGACTGAGACCTGAATGAGACTAGACTGAGACCGGAATGCGACCAGACTGAGAACAGAATGCGACCAGACTGAGACCAAAATGATACCAGACTAAGACCGAAATTATACCGGACTGAGACCAGAATGAGACCAGAATGAGACCGGAATGAGACCAGACTGAGACCGGAATGAGACCAGACTGAGACCAAAATTATTCCAGACTGAGACCGGAATTATACCAGACTGAGACCAGAATGAGACCAGAATGAGACTGAAATGAGGCCAGACTAAGAACAAAAGGAGGCTGGACATAAACCAGAATGAGACCAGACTAAGACCTAATCGTAACCGAAATGAGACCTCACTGAGACTGGACTGAGACCGGACTGCCACCGAAACCAGACCAGAATGAAACTGAAATGAGATCAGAATAAGACCAGAATGCGACCTCACTGAGACTGATCTGAGACCAGACTTAGACAGGACTGAGACCTGAATAAACATAAATGAGACTGGTCTGAGACCTCACTGAGACCAGAATGAGACAAGACTGAGACCGAAATGAGACGGACTGAGACCAAAATAAGACCAGACTGAGACGGGACTGAGACCGAAATGAAACCAGAATGAGACTGAAATGAGACCAGAATAAGACTGGACTGAGACTGGAATGAGACCTCACTGGGACTGGTCTGAGACCAGACTTAGATGGGACTGAGACCTGAATGAGACCGAAATGAGACTGGTCTGAGACCTCACTGAGACCAGAATGAGACAAGACTGGGATCAAGATGAGACCAATATGAGACCTGAATGAGACTGGTCTGAGACCTCACTGGGACCAGACTGAGATTGGAATGAGACCTGAGTGAGACCAAGATGAGACCGGAATGAGACTGGACTGAGAACGTAGTGACACCAGACTGAGACCGAAATGAGACTGGACTGAGACTGGAATGAGACCGGACTGAGACCGATAAGAAACCAGACTGAGACTGAAACGAGACCGGAGTGAGACCAGACTGAGACTGAAATGAGAACAGACTAAGACCAGACTGAGACCGAAATGAGACCAGACTGACTGTCTGTTTGGAAATCACGGCTGCTCATCTTCCTCTATAAAGAGTAGAGGGACCACCGGACTCCTTCTCAGCTGGTTTACAGAGCGCTCTGTGCAGCACATTAATAAACTGTTATCACATATAAGAACTTGTAATTACATGATTAATAACTCTTCCTACAAAGACAATAATTTCTGTCACTCACAGTCCCACCATGAGGTCTGTTAGCAGGATTAAATAGGGGGATGTTTTCACATTCTTGACCTTTGACCTTTGTGCATTCTAACAGCAGCTAATGTTTACATTCACAGAGTAAACACACACAGCTGATCTGAACCCAGCGTCTCTATATAAAGCCGTCTCTCCGTCCTACTCCTCGTCTCTCATCATGTCTCGCCTCCTCCCTGTCCTGCTGCTGCTCGCTCTGGAGTGTGTGGCTCGGCTCTGCTCGGCTCAGCCTGTCGATGTCCGGGCCGAGCTGAATAGGATGCAGGCCGCCATGGAGGAGCTGAAGGCGGAGAGAAGAGGTGAGACGGCAACTGATCGTTCCCGGGGACGCTGGGTTGTTTAACCTTCAACTTCATGGTTCATCAGGATGTTTCAGGTTTTTTTGTTTCTGTCTGCAGAGATGATTCTGCGTCTGGAGGCCTCTGAGAGGGAGCTCAGGGAGGTCAAAGGTCAGAAACTAAAAGAGAGATTTAGGACTAAGTGTGTCTTGAAAGAGTAAAAGAACCGATCAGATATTTATTGATTATAAAGGATAAAGAGAATCACAGAGTCCTCCTGTTAACACCCACAGGAAGCTCACATCTATTATCTCCTTATTTACACAGAAACACCCAAAGTGGCGTTCGCCGCCTCACTGGGAGACAGAGGTCTGGTAAAGACCACCACAGGCAACAAAGACCTCATCTACAGGGACGTCCTGACCAATGTGGGCGGAGCTTACAACTCAGAGACAGGTGAGTTAAAGCTAACGTTGTTTGATCAGATAATGAGGCTCGGGTTCCCTCAAATGTCATTACCGTTATCTTCACTTTGAACCTTCACTCTTCTTCTTCTCTCAGGTGTGTTCACCGCCCCCATCCGTGGAGTCTACTACATCCGCTTCACCTCTAACGGACCCACCGACTTCCCCAGGAGCGCTGTGCTCTACAAAAACAACGACCAGATCCAACTAATCACCCACGAGCAGGTCTCTGGCGAGGGCAGCGACACAGCGTCCAACGGCGCCACCCTGCTGTTGGAGCAGGGCGACACGCTGAAGATGGTGCTGTGGCACAACACGCAGATCTGGGACAACAGCAACCATCACAGCACCTTCAGCGGCTTCCTGCTGTTCCCCATGTGAGGACCAAAGCAGGGGCTCAGAGGACGGACGATGCTGATTGGCTGACTGTGGTTGTTCGAAAAAAAAAAAACAATAGAGACAATCAGAAAACAGTCAAAAGTTACGTTCGAGTTAACTCAGGTGTGACGTCATTTTCAGCTTTGACTTCTGACTTCTGAGTTCCCAGTTAACATATTGGAAAAATCAAAATCGGAGGCGGAAACAAGATGGCTACATCTACGAAATTTATTTTAGCGCTTGCCTTGTCTGAATATTAGGAAAGCGCTACAATAACTTTCATAGACATAGTCATCTTGTTTCTGCCTCTGATTTTGCTTTTTTCCGACTTTGTAACTAAAACATTGAGAACCCAGGTGTGACGTCATTTTCAGCTCCAACAATTAACTTCCGAGGTAACTCGAACGCAACATTAGGGTGTATTTGTTTGATTGACAGGACAGGTGACCAGTGAGGGCAGGTGGTGGGACTCCAGGTGAATTGTGGGAGGTTGGACTAAAGTTGTAGATAATTCAGTTTCTGTTGAACGAGCTTCAAAACTTTAAGGAAACCAAACAGGATCAGAGTCCAAAACATCTGTACCAGGAGAGTTATTTAAAAGGACAGGACTTTGCAGAGGGTTTACGTGGTTCTGGTGTAGCTACAGTTTTGGTCTCTGCTGTCTGCTCGACTCTCTAAACTAAAGATGGTAAAAAAATGATCAGCTGGTTTTTAATTATCCTCCCACCTGGACTGATGAGTCACAGAGTTGATTTAGACCCTGCAGACATGTGCTGCGTCCGAATTGCCCGCTCGCATACTACATACTACTGCTACATACTACTGCGGGATCCTACTCCTACATACTAAACACGTTGGCCCAATTCGGACACACTAAACGAGTGGTGGGGAAAGACGACCCCCACAGGCAGAGAGTAGGTACTGTGCCCGTGCAGACAGTTTTTGACTCTTTGAATATTATTGTGCAAGTGATGGATGCTGCTGTATTATATTCCTGCACTGCTTTAAAAATTCACAAAGTAGCTTTTCCATTACTTTTAGCCTTCATTCACTCACGTGGTGATCGTTTGTTCAATGAGATCTGCCTGATTAGTGCAGCTGTGCAGTTTAATGATGGAATAAGTGAGCTTTACCTCCATGATGTCGCCACATATTTGCTCGTAAAATGATTACTTGGGCAAATATGACACCATGACATGACAAAGAGATACAACCGCACATTTTTTAGGACAGTGTGTGAAGTTACATGAGACTTACATCTGTACTGCTGCAGTCCTGCCTGCTGCTGCTGCTCCGCCATGGTGCGCGCTGCTGTGGCCAGCCGGCGTTTGCAACGCATCTAAATAGACAGCAGCTGGTGGTGCTAGCATCACATGCGCTTCTACAACTTTTAAGAAGACGAAGAAGAAGCCCGCGGTGCATTTTGGGTCAGTAGCATGCCCGTAGGATGCACCGCGACCATACTGCAATGTGGGCGTGTCTAGTATCTGAAGTAGTATCTGAAGTAGCATGCTACTCGCTCCGGTGGCCAATTCGGACATGCTACATACTACTTCGACTACTACTTGGCAATTTGGACACAGCACTGGACCAGAACTGACAGACCACTTAATGACTGAGTGGTGCATCATGGGACAGCGGGGTCGATATTTGCACTCTAATATTTCTGAAAATCGACTTTTTTAAGCAGGCCCTAAATCCAGGTCTGACCTTCTTGTGTAATCAGTAAACAGTGGAGCCTAAATTAACATAGGTCTCTTTAATCTCTGTCAGTGGAAAACTTTGTGGATAAAACCTCCTTATGTAAGCTGCAGCTCCATTACACACAGATCTATGCTCATTTTGGACTAAAACCCCTTGTGTGTGTGTGTGTGTGTGTGTGTGTGTGTGTGTGTGTGTGTGTGTGTGTGTGTGTGTGTGTGTGTGTGTGTGTGTGTGTGTGTGTTTGTGTGTGTGTGTGTGTGTTACAGGGTGGATGAAGCTCCGACAGAGTTTGACCCTGAAACTGAACTGAAGAAACTTCAGGCTTCGATGAAACTCCTCCAGACTGAGAACCAGAGTAAGACTCACTTTCTTCTTCTCCTGTTTCTCACTGTGGTGTCACACGCCGACCTTCATGGACCCCCACTGATCTTCAGACTGAACATCTACACTCTGAATTCTGGACCAAAGTTCTGCTTTTGTTGGTTCAAGTGATTTCTGCTCTTTCTGAATCAGCTCCTCGTAGTTTACGTCTCTATCAGCTCATAAGAGTCTCTGAGCAGAAACTAGACAACAATATGATGATGCTCAGACTACAGTCTCCCTGTAGTAGTCTTCACCCCAGACCTGACCTGATCTAACACAGACTCAGGCCCTCATAAGTGTCTGATGGTTTTGTGTGTTTGCAGGTCTAAAGGACAGACTGGAGTCCACAGCGAAGGAGCTGAAGACCATGAAGGGTGAGTCTCTGAATATTCTGATCTAGTTATTTTCTCTCTAAACTCTTCAGTCTGTTTACCACACAGGTCAAAGGTCATCAGAAAGTTTGAAGAGACTTGGGTTTTTGTCCTGGTCATCAGTAGGGAAATATTGATCAGAGTAATTCTGCCTCCGCTACAGCAGGTGGCAAGGTGCCCTCTTTTAATTCATTACTACATTAATTACTCTGGACTGACCGACGACATCATGTACCAAAACAATCAGCATGTTAGCAGGAAGCTAACAGGCTGAAACATTCAACTCTCTTCTTCTTTTTCATCTTTCTTCATCTTCTTCTTCTGCAACTTTCTTTTTCTTCTTCTTCAACTTTCTTCTTCAACTTTCTCCTTCAACTTTCTTCTTCTTCAACTTTCTTCTTCTTCTGCAACTTTCCTCTTTTTCTTCTTCTTCATCTTCTTCAACCTTCTTCTTCTTCACCTACTTTCTTCTTCTTCAACCTTCTTCCTCTTCACCAACTTTCTTCTTCTTCTTCTTCTTCAACTTTCTTCTTCTTCACCTACTTCTTCCTCTTCTTCTTCTTCACCTACTTCTTTTTCTTCTTCTTCACCTACTTTCTTCTTCTTCTTCTTCCTCTTCTTCTTCACCTACTTTCTTCTTCTTCACCTACTTTTTTCTTCTTCTTCTTCTTCTTCCTCTTCTTCACCTACTTTTTTCTTCTTCTTCTTCTTCCTCTTCCTCTTCACCTACTTTCTTCTTCTTCCAGTTCTTCTTCACCTACTTTCTTCTTCTTCCAGTTCTTCTTCACCTACTTTCTTCTTCTTCCAGTTCTTCTTCACCTACTTTCTTCTTCTTCCAGTTCTTCTTCACCTACTTTCTTCTTCTTCCAGTTCTTCTTCACCTACTTTCTTCTTCTTCCAGTTCTTCTTCACCTACTTTCTTCTTCTTCCAGTTCTTCTTCACCTACTTTCTTCTTCTTCTTCACCTACTTTCTTCTTCTTCTTCTTCTTCTTCTTCTTCTTCTTCTTCTTCTTCACCTACTTTCTTCTTCTTCACCTAATTTCTTCTTCTTCAACTGTCTTCAACTTTCTTCTTCTTTCGCAGCTTTCTTTTTCTTCTTCTGCAACTTTCTACTTCTTCTGCAACTTTCTTCTTTTTCTTCTTCTGCAACTTACTTTTTCTTCTTCAACTTTCTTCTTTTTCGGTAACTTTCTTCTTCAACTTTCTTCCTCTTCTTCTTTCGCAACTTCTTTTTGTTCTTCAACTTTCCTCTTCTGCAACTTTCTTCTTTTTCTTCTTCTTCAACTTTCTTCTTCTTCAGCAACTTTTTCTTTTTCAACTTTCTTCTTCTTCTGTAACTTCCTTCTTTTTTTCTTCTTCTTCTTCAACCTTCTTCTTCAACTTTCTTCAACTTTCTTTTCCCTCTTCTTCTTCTTCTTCCGTGGAGGTCTAACCTCCATGTTTTTAAACAGACTTAAAGGTTCATATTTTTAAACCTGGATAATCTCAGAGTCTCAAAAGTTTCTCAGGATTAATCCCGTCTCTGACCGCACGTTTACCTCTCTGTTATTTTGTTCGGTGAAGTTGGTCAAACTGCCTCATGAACTCAAACTTTGTTCATCGCTCTGTTTCCGTTTCCCTGCAGACGTACCAAAGGTGGCGTTTGCTCTTTCTCTGGGTAATGGTCTACAGAAGACGACCTCAGGAAGTAAAACACTTATCTACAGAGACGTGCTGACCAACATTGGACAGGTCTACAACTCTGAGACCGGTTGGTGACCACAGATCTACTCTAAGTCAACAGACAGTAAATACTAACACCTCTGAGTCTGACCACGCCTCTTTTAACCCCTCCCCTCCAGGTGTGTTCACCGCCCCCATCCGTGGAGTCTACTACGTCCGCTTCACCGCAAACGCCCCCACCGACTTCCCCATGAGCGCCGTGCTCTACAAAAACAACGACCAGATCCTGCTGATTGCCCATGAGCAGGAGTCCGGCCAGGGCAGCGACACTGCGTCCAACGGCGCCCCCCTGCTGCTGGAGCAGGGCGACACGCTCTCCATGCAGCTGTGGCACAACACGCAGATCTGGGACAACAGCAACCATCACAGCACCTTCAGCGGCTTTCTGCTGTTCCCCATGTGAGGATGACCAACGATCAACAATCAGATGCCGCAAACCGACCTCCGACCCTCCTGATCCAAAAATTTACCTCAAAATGACCTGAACGAGTTTGATTTCTCGATCATGAACCACCGTGAAAACCTCAACTGCTGAAATCATGTCCAATAAAAAAGCTTCGTCGCTCACAGAGACTCTGTGTGCGTCATTTCCTGAAAACTGGAGAGTTCAGTTCAACTGAAATAAATAAAAGTTTGAAAAATAAAAACAGTTTCTGAGTGTTTGAAAGTTTCAGGTTCACCATGAAACAGCTGAGACAGCGTAGATTGATTGAAGGCTTTATTTCGGACATGATAAACCCATGATAACCCAAATCAAAATAGTCAAAACAGCAAAACAATGTTAACATGTCCGAAAAGGAGTAGGAAGAAGGAAATGCCTATTTAATCCTACCCCTCTCCTTTCTCAATAATTAATAGTCAGCAGTTCTGTGTATACCAATACCTCATCAATATGCATATTTACATAAGTTCATATTTACAGACAACGACAATAAACAAGTGAATAAATGATCTGTGAAAAACACCTGATGATCAACAAAGCCCTTCATTCTCCCTGTACCCTGTGAAAACCATGACATTGCTTGAGCTCCGCACCCAACCCGTTCCACAGCTTCACTCCACGTACAGAAATGGAAAACCTTCTTAGTGTTGTGCGGACACAAGGATGTTTTAAATTGTTCACCCCCCTCAAATTATAATCCCCTTCTCTGTTAAAAAACAATTTTTTAACATTTCCAGGAAGCAGATGATTTATTGCTTTGTACATAATTTGTACTGTTTGAAAGTGAACCAGATCCGAGAATTTTAGTATGTTTGATTTCAAGAATAGTCTATTTGTGTGATCTCTGTAACCGGCATCATGAATTATCCTTATGGCCCTTTTTTGCAGTATTGATAGTGATTGTAGTGTACATTTGTAAGTATTGCCCCAAACCTCTGCACAGTAATTTGAATATGGTAAAACCAGTGAACAATAGAGAATGTGGAGTGAATTGTGGTCCAGGATATGTTTTGTTTTGCTGAGTACTGAGATGCTGCTTGACAGTTTGTTACGTACATGTTTTGAGTGAGATTTCCAGTTTATTTTGTCATCTATTATTACACCAAGAAACTTATTTTCATGAACTCTTTCAATATCCACACCTTCTACTTGCACCTGCACTTGAGTATCCCTACTACAATTACCAAATAACATGAACTTAGTTTTATCTAAATTTAATGATAACTTGTTTCTGTCAAACCAACGCTTTAATTTGCACATTTCTGCAGTGACTGTCTCCAGTAGCTCATTTAAATCACCCCCAGAGCAAAAAATATTGGTGTCATCAGCAAACAATACTAATTTAAATATTTTTGATACCTTACAAATGTCATTTATATAAAGGATAAACCGTTTAGGACCCAAAACTGACCCCTGGGGGACGCCACAAGCAATGTCCAAGCATGATGATGTATGTTCATCCAACTTCACGAATATTTTCCTGTCTTCTAAGTAACTTCTCACCCAATGCAATACTACCCCCCTGATCCCATATTGTTCCAATTTTTTGATTAATATGTTGTGATTAATTGTGTCGAAAGCTTTTCTAAGATCTATGAATACTCCAACTGCATACTGTTTGTGGTCTATTGTGTTTGTGATTTCCTCAATTGATTCAATTAGTGCAAGTGATGTTGAGCTGTTTGTTCTGAATCCATATTGACTATCAGAAAGTAATTTGTGCTTTTCTATGAATTTCTCTAGTCTGTTATTGAATAGTTTTTCCAATATTTTAGAGAATTGTGGAAGTAATGAGACAGGCTTGTAATTTGTGAAGTGGTGTCTATCCCCAGTTTTATACAGCGGCACAACTTTCGCTATTTTCATTTTGTTAGGAAATTTACCAGTTTGGAATGATAAATTACATCTGTATGTTAGTGGTTCTGAAATCCCCTTTATGACCATTTTTACAATTTTCATATCAATTTCATTACAATCAGTAGATGTTTTATATTTACATTTATTTACAATATCTATTATTTCTTTTTCATCCACTGCTGTAAGAAACATTGAGCTGGGGTTCCTATCTATAAGGTTGTCATTCGAAACCTCAGATTACCATGGGTTAGGGATTTTTTCTGTCAGGTTTGGTCCAACACTCACAAAGAAATCATTAAAACTATTAATCACCTCTTCCTTATTGTCCTTTTTAAAGTTGTTATTAATGAAATATTGAGGGTAACTTTGCTGTCTGGAGCCACTTTTAATAATACTATTTAATATGTCCCGTAATCCTTCAGTATTGTTTTTGTTATTGTGTAATATTTTACAATAAATATTCTTTCCTACATACCCTTATAATATTAGTTAACTTATTTTTATATGTTTTATATTTGTGTTCGGCCTCTTTAGTTCTTTGTTTTATGAATGCTCTATAAGGTGTATTTTTCTTCTTACAGGCATTTTGTAATCCCTTTGTAATCCATGGTCGATCTGTGTATTTTTGTTTTCTACTGTATTGTTTTGTCGGACAGTTTTTATCATACAAAGACGTGAAAATTCTTAAAAATGACTCATATGCATGATCAACATCGTTTTCTCTGTTTACAATTTCCCAATTTTGTGCTAGCAATTCATTCCTTAATGCACTCACGGTTTCCTCTGTCCTCACTCGTCTGTATTGAGGCTTTTCATCTGGCTGATTTGTCTTGTAGTTGCTGTCATAGACTGTAAAAATTGGTAGGTGATCACTGATATCTTTGATTAGTAGTCCACTCACTGTCTTATTTTCAATGTCATTGGTGAATATATTATCAACTAGGGTGGCACAATGGGATGTGATTCTGCTGGGTCTGGTGATTTTTGGATATAAGCCCATACTATACATCATGTTAATGAATTCGTCAGTGATTTTGTGCTTGTTTGGATTTAGCAGATCAATATTGAAATCACCACAGATGAAGTAACCTGTCTGTAACTTTGGCACATGTATTCACCGTAACTCTACTCTAATACAGAGCTCTGTTCTTTTAAATAGATCCCTTTGTCTATATCAGGGGTCGGCAACCTTAAACACTCAAAGAGCCACTTGGACCAGTTTCCCACAGAAAAGAAAACACAGGGAGCCACAAAACCTCTTTGACATCTAAAATGAAGATAACATTGCATATATCTTTTTTTTTTTTACCTTTATACAAAGTATATAAAAAACTGTAGCGAGTTGCATTTATGAAATAAATGGACTATTTCGGCGAGTGTCTGTCTTCTTCTGTAGTTAAACCGCAAGATATCAAAATCTACCCGGATACAGCAATGCTGCTTTTTGATTGGCTGTTCGGTAGATATACTTTATTTGATTGGCTTGTGTGTGGCACGCAGCTTCTGAACTCTCGGAGAAACTCAGCTCATTTCTCCCTGTTCCATAGTTAAAGAGGTGCAACTTGGTGGACATCACCGTGTTCATTTGAGTGCGTGAGAAATACAATGTGTGGTGTGTGAGCGTGTGAACGAGTGGGAATGCGTGTGTCATACGCTGAATGCATGAGACTTGAGAGCCCTGTGCTCACGCATCATCGATGTACTCCCGTGCCATGCAAAACAGGCTTTGCAAATGTTGCACTGAACGCCTTCCTTTTCAGTCTTGGTGAAGTTTTCCCACACCACTGATGTTTTAGGTCGGGATTTGGGTTGGGTTGTGTCCATGTTTTTCTCAGCCGCTGCCTCGGCCATGGCTGTTTCTTTTCTGTGCGTCCTGCTGATGTTTACACGCCGGTGTCCATGAACATATATAAAGACCCGACGAATCGATTACAGAATTTGTTGGCAACGGATTTTTTCGTCACGACTAATCTACTTAATCGATTCGTTGTTGCAGCCTTAATAGTTTATTTAATGTTACAAGAGCATTATAATCTTTGAATTTAGAATTACAAAAAAAATAATAATAATAAAATAAAATAAAATGCAATTAAGTATTTATTATTTATTTTCCAAATCCTTTGGGAGCCGCAGCTTAGGGAGGAAAGAGCCGCATGCGGCTCCAGAGCCGCGGGTTGCCGACCCCTGGTCTATATTATATTGGACTGAAATCATTTCTAAATGTTTAGGAGGATTATCAGAGGCTTCTCCTCTGACAGTTTAAATATAAAAACATTAATTTCACAGAAAAACAAGATTCTGGTGTTCCTGACCCACAAAGACCGGCTTTTTGCGGCTCATTTGATGACATGATGGCGGGAATCTCCATAGACGCTGACATATTTTCAGAGAAATAATCGAGTTTTAACATCGAAAACACAGAGATGACGTCAGCTGCTTAAATAACGAGGATTTATGGAAGTCTTATCGAACCTGATTTTATCACACTAGAGCTTTTGTAATCCTCGGGATCAAACGATGGAGATTCACACTGAACCCAAATCTATCAGAGCTGATCCTCGAAACAACCGGCGACCCGTGACCTCCAACAGAAGAACAACAACGTTTCATCGGTCGCCCTTGGCTCTGACTTAACCCCATTTTTATCGCATTATTCTTATAAACCCAAGTCTGGGGCTGAAATTATGTCACCCAGAGTTCCTGTTCCTGTCCAGCAGGGGGCGCCAGAGCCTGAGACAGGCGCCCGCTGAAGCTGCAGCTTTAGAGTTTAAACAGATTCACAGTTTTCATGGTCAGAGGCCACCGTCACTCCAACAACAGGAGGCGTGAGTAACCCCCAATTTCCACCGCAACCTGAACTGATATTGTCTTAAACTGAGGATGCAGCATCTATGATTTCCAACTCTTTGATGAAAGGACAGTTGGACTTACCGAGTCCCAACCAAGTAAGTCCAACTGTCATTTCCAAAAGGGAGTTACCCCCAATTTCCACCTTCATCCTTAACGGCTACTAAAAGGTTGTACCCTCCGATCGTAGCTGATCATAACCATTCAAGTTAACATGTCAATTTCCACCGACTTCTTTCCATTCCTCTGTGGATCACCGGACTCTGCAGCTGATCGCAAGAGTTCTTTTTTTTCCGGACGCCGGAGCATGCCGGATAAATTCAGCATAGTTTTACCCGTGCTGGAAAGGAAGTCGGGCACAGACACAAAATAAAACGTCCGGCTTCTTTTCAAAATAAAACACTCCGTGTTTCAGGAGGATCGTATTTCACCCTGCAAATGGGCGGAGACAAACAAGTGAAAGGTTTTTAGACTTCATTTCACCCCCATGACACCATGGATGAGGAGATGCTGATTCTAGTCAGTCTAGAAGTAGATTTCCTCCTCTGGAAGGACACAATCTACTGCTTATATGTCTATGTGTCTGTCTTTATAGACAACTCGTTATCGCACATTTGCACATGAATCCGCAGGTTCTTGTGAGTTCTCACAATTCCTACTGTCTGTAATCCGCCACGGAATTCGCCTCACAAACAGATCTGGTAGGAATTGGCGGACATTCTGGATGGGAGCCGTTCCGGATGCAGTGAAAATTAGGGGTAAGGGAGTGCTCCGGTCCAGAACCGGACTGTTAGTTTAACCCTTTAACCCCCAGACTCCATCAAGAGAGCTTCAGCTAGACTTTATGGTTTCTCACCTGCAGAACTTGTACAGGATCTTCTCAAAGACCAGGACTGGACCAGTGCTGCCCAGGATGGTGAGAGGCTGACCAGCAAACATGGAGTACGCCACGCCGGTTAGAGACGCCCCCAACAGAGACTCTATGGTACTCTACCAGAGACATAGAGGGGTGTAAAAATGTGGGACTGCTCCTTTAAGAGGTTTCTCGTGGGTCGGTCCAGTTACTTACGATACTTCCTCCAGTCGCTTCTCCCAGCAGTCCTCCAAAGGTGATGACGGGCGACATGCAGGCGCAGTACAGGAAGAGGACGGACGCCAAACACTGCAGGCTGAGGGCTTCTCTGATGTCACTCCACAGGAAGGGCGCTTTCCTCCGCACGTCGTTCACCAGACCACCAAAGATCCTGCCGGGGAGACGGAGGACAGGAAATCAGTCCTGCATTTCAGGAGGTCTTAAAGTTGACATAATGGAGGGTCTGCTTCGTGACCCAGCAGGAACTCTCACCTCCCGGTCCTCTGCAGCTCTGGTCCGGTCTGATGCTCCACCTCTTTGACCATGTCACAGCTGTGGGCGGAGCCATTAGGGACTGAAGGCATCTTCCTCTTCTCCTGCAGAGACACAGAGGACAAGGACAGAGAGCTGATCTCAGGTCAGACATGAGGAAACATCTTCTCTAACTTCATGAACACCAAAGATCTTCTCTGTTGGACCTCAGGACGGGGTCTTGAACTGAACCCACCTGAGACGGGACACTCTTCGGGGGCTCGATGCGGATACTGGGGTCCCACTCGCCTGGAGGAAGTACGGTGACCTGGTCCAGGAATTCGTCAATCCCTGACAGGAGGTCGTTCCTGTCCTTGGCTTTGTAGGCGACATCATGGAAGATCTAGGAGACGGAGAGGAACAGAGTGACGAGCGTGTGTGCGGAAAAAAAACTGACTTCCTGTCGGTAAAGAAATATTTTAATGTCAAATTTAGATTAAAAAAACAGAAACGACGAAAATAAAACATTCATAAAAAGAATACAAAACAAATAAAACAGTCAGTGAAAGAACTTCACAGTCAGCAGAACGGCAGAGAACAACGACTTCACCAAAAGTCTAAATGAACAAAAATCCTGAATCACTCATAAATAAACACAGAGCAGATTTTCAACCTCAGATTAAAACCTTCAGATGATATTTTCTGTTATTTCTGGACATTTTTTCAGCAGACGAGGAAAAGTTTGAGTCAAAGTGATGAACTTTCTGTCCTCAGGTCACCGAGCGGTCTATGTCGGCGTTCACGTCGCTCTGGGCCGACAGAGTCGACGGCGGCACCGTCACCGAGGACACCGACATCACCGGAAACGCCGGGACCGTTCGGACAGAGAGGACGGCCGAGAGTCACCGACATACGGTGGGTACAGACACACACACACACATTAAAAAAGGTAGGGGTCTGTGGGTCCGAGTCTCTAAAATCAGCTTTCTGATGTGGGAAAGTCCACCCTGTCTGTGTGCCTGATCGCTCATCAAAGGGGCGGAGCTAGTCTTAAACGCTAGGCCGTGACTCTTTGCCATGAACCTCGCTGTTACCTCATCTGTCATCAGAGTGGCCATGGAGCGGCCGATCTCGTGGTACTGAGGACCTTTTCCAAACGGGCCGAGCAGCAGGAAGAGGAACCTGAACAGACCAGAAGAAGAGAGTCAAACCGAGAAATCAGAGGAGTCTTCGAGTGTGTGTATGTGAGTGCGTGTGTGTATGTGAGAGTGTGTGTGTATGTGTGTGTGTGTGTGTGGGGTTCACCTGGTGGGCACGGGGACCTCTGTGAGGCCAGTCAGCAGCATGGCAGGGGACAGACGCACGAAGGCAATGATCGGTCGCTCAAGGAAATCGACTTCACCGACGAGCACGTTGGAGGCTTCTGCACCAGGAGGGATCTTTTTCATGAAGTTCATGTCCACCTGAAACACACACGCACACGCGCGCACACACACACACACACACACACACAGCATTAAATACCATTCTGAGGCTGTAATAAGAGCTTCTGCCTGTAGGGGGCAGCAGCAGCTTCATCTGTTGTTTTCTCCAGTGCAGTCCTGAAACTCTGCTCTCTTCTGACTGAACTGTGAAAATTAAACTTCAGATTTAAACAGTTTTCTATAAACTTCTGTGTTCATTAACCCTACATCTGATCATCACATCTTTAAAACATTCTTATTTTTAATTGTGCTCAAATTTAAACTCTGTTTTCATATCTGATTCACAGCAGTCTAAAAACTAAAAACACCTCACACACCAAGACTTACTGTCGACCACCATCATGACCATCATGACCGTCACCTTACATACTTCTACGCTCAAGTGTTGGCAGTATGATGTCTGCACGCCTTTTATTGCCAATGTCCGGTTGAGTTATAGACTGTATATACTATGGACAACTTGGTTCTGCCTACTGCCTGTATACGGATTGGGAGCAAAATAGCTCTCGATATTTCCGGGATTTTTCTTCATTTCCTGAAACTAGTGCTGCGCAGTAGCGATACGCACATTCGGCCGCGCAGTCGCCGAGAGTCACTGTGATGACGCTCGGCTCAAACCGCGTATCCCCTGGGTGAGCTACGCAATCCCTGAACGCCCATAGGCTGTATCAGGTGTCAATCATAGAACTGTGCGTTTATGACGACATAACCGCATAAGGGCCCTGATAATCGTTAGCCCAGCCCTCTAAAACTTCTTTGCTGAGGTAGCGTCCGCCATTTTTTCTCCTCACATATGCTGCTCCGGGACAACAACCATGTCGAAGCTACGATCCAGACGCTGTGTGATTCTTGGCTGTACAAACAAAGACAGAAGTCTATTACTGGAAGATTTGAGGACCCAGTGGATTCATTTTATTGTTGATGGAAATGTACCCACAACAACTCTGAAAATGTTGTACGTGTGTGCTAACCATTTCACCACGGACTGTTTTACCAACGAGGAGCAGTTCAAAGCTGGATTCACTCGGAAGCTGAAGATAAAACCTGGATCCTTTAAGTTTTATCATTTTATGTTGCTTTACCGCCGCCCGTATGACTAGTCCTCTGGCTGCAATCGCGTGTGTTTACCATCGTTGGTGTTCGTCTTCGGACTCGCTACCATTTACTTTTACTCCCGTGAGCAGCGGGTGTTCCTTAGGGGTGTGGAGGCAGGCTGGTGCTTCTAGCCGCGGTGGTCTGGAGGTCCTCTAAAGAGGTCCCTAGAAGATCTCCAGACCACCGCTCCTGGACCACCGCGGCGGTGCCGGCAACTAAGAGTGGCCTTGGGGAGGAAGATGTTTACACACAGCTCATTATCATTTAAAGGTACAGGCGCAGAATCAGCTCGTTCTCAGTGGAGCTCAAAAACAGGGGGGGGTACAGGCTGGCTGATCTCTACAAATAACTTGTTTTAGACAACAAATGTCAAATTGCCACAATAGGGGACCTTTAAAGCTGGTCTCACTATCACAAACATCCACAAAGAACCAACAAAGACGTGTCGATGCAGCAGCGACAGCCAAACCAGGTCCGATCTAAAATCAGGACGAACCCGCCAAGGTCAGAATCATCTCCACAAACATTCAAACACTGAGACACAACAGCTGGGGCCTGTTCTACGAAGCAGGATTACTGCTTAGCGAGGTAACTTCGAAAGTAAGTTCGGGGTTTCCTGTTCTACGACGCGGGTTCACTTCTTAGCGAGGCGAGTCTCCATGGCAACATACGCTGAACGGCTAACCTGCTCCAAGGACAGCTTTAGCCTGGGACAGATCATCCAATTCGGGGACTGTCCCCGGAAATCAGGGACGTCTGGTCACCTTAGTTAAAAGCGCATGTTGAACAGTGCTATTTCAGGGTGACAATGGCATCAAAGATTAATTTTCTGCCAGCATTCCTTCTGTGCTTTTGCAGCGGCGACGGTGTTGCTTTTGAGGTTTATGATATATTTGAATTCTTCATACTTTCTCATGATCGTCTCCTGCTCCTCGTTTGTAAAGTACGCGGTCCTTCGCTCTCCGGCCTGCTCTGACACTCCACACTGGTCCATATTAGCGATTGGTCAGATGCGGCGGGCTCCGCCTTACATGCATGCACGCGCTCATAGCAAAGCTGGATCAACTTACGAGGTTGATAACCAGCGTCGTAAGACCGTTTAGCGAGACCGCTGGCTACCGCGCTAAGTTGAGCGAGGTAGCTCCAAGGCTACCTCGCTAGGTTGAACTTGCTTCGTAGTACAGGCCCCTGATGGAGGACTCAGAGTCACACTGACAACAACGACAACAACGACAACAACGACATGCAGCATCACGACGAGCCACAGCACAGGGAGCTCTCTGATTGGTCCACAGCAGGTAATTGACAGGTGGGCGGACTTACAGCGGGCTTTCTGCTGGCCGTCGGCAGCAAACAAACACAGTTGCAGTCCTGCTGAGAAATAAAGGAGTCACCCGCCAAAAAGCACAGGTTTTTAACTGGAGGTTTTTTTTTAAAAGGGTCATTTCGTGATTTTAGGACAAAGACGAGTGAAATAAAGTTTCCTGTACAGTCAGACTCAAAGAGGAGGGAAACCAGGACGGACACCTGTGCACACAGGTTCAACTGTCAGCCAATCACAGCAGCCCCGTTTATATGGGTAGTTTTCCTGAATCTGATTGAAATCAATCAGATTAAGTGAATCTGATTCCATCTGTATACATGAACTTTAAGTAAAGAGATCCACGTTCAATCCGCGTTTGCATGGCCCCAGCTGAGTCCGATTGTATTGGTTTTTTTTACATGCGCAGAAGGTCACTCTGCCACTACCTGCAAATGTGTAAGAAGAAGAGGTGCACTTCCTGCTTCCTGTTTACCTGTAGAAAGATGGATCTGCATCGTGTTTTGTTGGGGACGCTTATTGTGTTGTGGTTACATTTATTTGCAGTAAAAGTTTGTCTCCTCCACCGTCCAGTTTTTCTGTTTGTTTGCCATGTTTGTTTTCATTTGGGCGCGCTCTGCGTACGTCACTACGTGCCTCTTACGTACTACGGAGCGCGTGTGCAGACCGAACAAGCCTCTCTGTAAACCCAATCCACTTCACTCAGCCGTATATATGGAGCATGGAGCGGATTATCAATCTGCGTAGACTACCTCTTACAATCCGACCCAAAATACAATCAGATCTGGGTGAATCAGATTGGCAACGGTATTTATATGAGACATTTTGAATCTGATTGACCTTTCAATCTGATTGTAAATAGAATTTTTGGACCCATGTAAACGGGGCTAGTGACTCTGAGCTCATTAGACATAACAAGAGAGACTCCACCTGCAGCAGAGCGCACAGTGATTGGATGTTTACTTGTGGGAGGGGGTTTCCTCAAACACAAATAGGCTGTTAAATACAATGTATGGAAGCTAAAGGAAGTAAAACTCATTGTCATATGGTGGTTGCTGTGTTAAACGGTGTTACTCGTGTTGCTGAGATAAGAGTTCAGTCCCAGAATTCACCTTGCTGAAGTCCACCGTGCTGTTTTCTCGGCTCCCTCCGTTCATTCGGTTCTCACTGTTCTTGCTGTGGTCAAGGTTTCCAGGAGCCGAGTGAGGGGAGGCCAGCAGACCTGCAGAGACCAGACAGAAGGTTGATCATGTACATGTAGACCTGATCCTGGTGCTGCTCATCAAAACCACATGATTACTAAACACCTTAATTATGACCTGAGGAGACACCTGAGATGGGGGAACACTCTGTGACACACACACACACACACACACACAGCCTGGTGTCCTGTTTCAGCCCTGATGTATAAGGGTCATTCCATGTCAATTCAACCAAGAATCTCCACTCACGTCACAGATTTTGATGAAATTTGGTGGACTGATTGGCCTTCAGGAGAAACTGTCAGAGCTCAAATATTTTTGATCAAAGCCATCTAATTAGTGAGATAGGGGCTAATGAATTTTTGGCTAACTAGCGTGACATACGATACAAAAGTGTTCATATCTCTAGACCAAATGAACACTTTTGTAACGCATGTCACGCTAGTTAGCCAAAAATTCATTAGCCCCTATCTCACTAATTAGATGGCTTTGATCAAAAATATTTGAGCTCTGACAGTGTCTCCTGAGGGCCAATCAGTCCACCAAATTTCATCAAAATCTGAGACGTGAGTGACGCCTCCACCAGCAAAGCTTATGGGACTGTGGACAAACTTTAGAAATGTATTACACAGAACAAAATTTTTTCTCCCCCCTGGTTGTGATGTTGACATGTAGTTATTGTAAGACTGGTTTGTGCCCAAGTCCTCCTTTTTTCTGTACAGCTCCGTTTTTAAAAGTTATTAGGGGGTTCATGTTTTCTATGATTGACACCTGGTACAGCCTATGGGCGTTCAGGGATTGCGTAGCTCTTCCGGGGGAATACGCTGTTTGAGCCAAGCGTCATCACAGGGACTCTCGGCGACTGCGCGGCCGAATGCGCACAACGCTACTGCACAGCTCTGGTTTCAAGGAAGTGGAGAAAAACCTGGAATTACCGAGAGCTTTTTGGCTTCAAATCCGTATACAGGCGGAAGGCGGAACCACGGTGTCCATCTTATATACAGTCTATGGAAATGACCCATAAGTCACTCTGTGTACCAACAGTCGACACTTAAACCTTCACCTCAGACTTCAGCAGCTCCTCCTTAAACCTGTTCACTAACAGCCAGCAGGGGGCACCATCAATGAGTATAGAGTATTTGATGGTCTCAGTCGTTTTTTTCACCCTTAGTTTTTATCTGAGTTTGTAAGGTGTCCTTGGGTGATTTAAATAAAACCTGTGATTATCATCATGATTATCATGATTATCATTATTGTTATTATTTTTATCATTAATATTATAATTTTGATTATTATTATGAAGCAGGAAGCTGAGCCTCCCTCTCTCTCAGTCCTCATCTCCCCTCTGGGTTTGTTCTCAGCTCCATCAGCTCTCTGATCTGATAATATGATTATTGTTATTATTTTTATCATTAATATCATACTTTTGATTATTATTATGAAGCAGGAAGCTGTGCCTCCCTCTCATCTTTCCTCTGGGTTTGTTCTCAGCTCCATCAGCTCTCTGCTCTGCATCATTAGTCACTGTATTGCTGACTCCTTCCTATTTATGAAGACTTTAAACCTGTCGCTCTCAGCTCTTTAACAGGATAATCAGTGACAGACGATGATGGTGAGTCAGCTTCAGTTCAAAGATCATCTACAGACCCTCACTCATGAGGAGTCTCATCTCTGAACCCCTGACTGATCCGCTCTCTGTACTCTGATTGTGGAGACCTCATGAGCTCCAGTTCTATGATATGAGCTTCAACAATAAACCCTCTGACAGGTATCTCCTAGAAACATGATCCAGTGATCCCTCACTCAGCATGTGAACGTGTTCCTGTGAGGTGAGGGGGGAGATGATCCACCGCCATGCAGAGCTGCGCAGACTCATATTTGCCTGAGTAAGGGTGAAGATCCTCCAGACCGAACACTTCCTCCTCCTCTTCCTGTTCAGGAGGGTAGACCACCACCTGAGGGATCTGGACTCCCCCCCCCACAGCCCTTCAGGAGCTGAGCTCCGGCATGAGGAGGAGGAGGCCGAGAGACCCGATGGGGGAGACGGGGTGAGGACAGCAGGAAGGGACAGGGTGGGGCTGGGGGGACAGGGTGGGAACAGGGTAGTCCGAGGTCGGAAGAAATGAGGGGCCGCAGAAGGACAGGAGAAGTCAGAGGAGGTGATGGAAGGGCGTCTGAGGGAGGAGAGAGAGGAGGACAGACCCTCCCCTGAAAGAGGAGAAGAAGAGTGAGGTGAGAGAGGGAAAAACAAGGAGAGAGAGGAGGACAATCCCTCCCCTGAAAGAGGAGAAGAAGAGTGAGGTGAGAGAGGAGATAGAGACATGCTCAGGCTGGGTTTGAAGGTCTGCATGCAAACGGAGCAGAAGGAGAGGAGAAGTCAGAGGAGGCGATAGAAGGGCGTCTGAGGGAGGAAAGAGAGGAGGACAGACCCTCCCCTGAAAGAGGAGAAACATGAAGAGGAGAGAGACATGCTCAGGCTGGGCTTGAAGGTCTGCATGCAAACTGAAAAGAAAGACAGACACCAGAGAGGGAGCAAATGACTGACAGTCTGTACTTGTGTGTCCGTTTGTTTCTTAGTGAGTTTTTCTTTTCGTCTTGACCATGAACAGGCAAAAAAACAAAACCAAACAGACACAGAGCTGCATCTTTTCTTATCCTCCTGATTTCACTGGAGTTTCTGTCAGTAAATATTATTTCAGTTGAAAGATTTGATCTCCTTTGATTTAGAAAGAGTTTACTGTTTTTTTTAAAGTAACTTTTTCTTCAAAAACCAAATTACTGTTTCAATCTGGCCGTGTGCGATCAAACAAGCTTTAAGTGTTATCTTCAGTGCAAACACACACAAACACACACACACACACACACACACACACACACACACACACACAAACACACAAACACGCTCCTGCTGTTATCACACCGTCCTGTCTGCAGGTTCAAACCTGTCAGAGCCTCAGGTGAAACCAGCAGAAGGAAAAACTCCTCCTCAGACACAAACACGGTTTAGGAGTCCGGATGAGAAAACGCTGACTAGTCACGCTGTGTTAGTCAGTGATTGGCTCGCTGACTCGTCAGATCCTGCAGGTCAGAGCTGACCAACAGGAACCAGACCAGACTAGAACCACGTCTGCTGGTTCAGAGTCAATATTTAACACCATTATTAACCAACAGTTAGTTCAACATCTGAACACACACACATTTACTCAGAGCAGCAGAACCTAAACACACATGCAGCTAAAACAGACCATTTTTGATCAATCAAACTCATCAATCAGCTGACTTCAGATCAGACCTCAAATAGCTGATTCACTCAAACACCATGAGAGCCGTGCAGCGACCAGGAGACCCTTCGTCTTGTCACTCTGTTACCTCCAACCTTCAGGACCAACGAACCAAAAACAATGAGGGCGCTCTTCAAACAAAGATCTGAACTCACGTCGACATGAGATTTTAAGAGGAGTGCTGAGAAACTTCAAACAACCGTGAGGTCAAAGGTCACAAGCTTTTATCAGAGAATGACAAGAGCGCGGAGATCTCACCATTACGTTCTAGTAAATGGGGGTCCGAGTGTTTCTTGCCTATGTCAGCAAAGGACCGGACCAGCGGGATTCTGTTACTCAGCTTCTTCTCGTTCTGATGGTGGTGACGCCGCAACATGGCCTCCCTCACCTTCTCTCGGACGCCCTCCTCCAGCTGACCGGATGCCAGCATGCTGTCAATCACCATATCTATGAGGAGAGGAGCAATAGCACGGGGTTAGCTAAGATCCTATGTGAGCGTGTGTGTCTGTCGCTTCTTTTTCGCCGTGTGGATAGAGACCATTTCCTCTGTCTTTACTTTGTCACTACATCAGTGCAGGTTTTCTAACAGACACGCTCCCTTTTGTACTTCGTTGTTTTCCCAAAGGCCTTCATTACTGTCGGCGGTGTAAAAGTGGTGGTGGACTTGGTTGTTGTTGGTCCTGCATCGGTATCAGTGGGAGGCGTTGAAACTGCTGCACTGAGTGAACTCGAGGACAAATGCGTCCTCGCAGCAGTGAGCGGGTGGTTGATTCGGAGATACGTCCTTAAGTTAGAAGTGTTTCCATCTCTCACAGTTATCTTTTCATTAAACTATTTACTAATATTTATTACTAAGGCTACGTTCACACTGCAGGTTATGATGCACAATTCGGATTTTTTGTTAAATCCTATCTTTTTGTGCGGTTGTTCACATTACAATAACAAATGCGGCATCTAATGTGAACAGAATGTGTCCATGAAGTGACCCGCATGTGCACAAAGCACAAATTGCTTTCCGCGCCTATTTGTGTTGTCGAACAATGGTGACGTTTGTCGTATATTGATGACCTGAGCATCCACACTGCAGTCACATCGGATATATATCCCATTTAAATCCACATACAAAAGAGGCCTGGGTCGGATTTGAAAAAAATCAGAATTGCACTGTTCACACTTACATGAAAAAATCAGATATGTGTCACATATGGTTAAAAAATCGGAATCGACCGGAATCAAATTTTTCTGGCTCTGTCTTACTTCACTCCCTTACTCCCCTCTCCTTTTCTCCCTCTTCTTCTGTCAAAGTTGCGGTTTAGGTGGTACCTTTCAAGATTACCGTAATATATACCAAACATCATATATATATATGTACAGAAAGCACAGATACTCAGCTGTCTGTCAGTGTTGGAATTTTTCAGATTAAACAAACTTTCGAGAGATTACGGTACTGAGAAGCTGTGTAGCGCTCTGCTGATACATCCTGTGTTTTGCAATGGCTGCCTACTTCATATGATTACGACTACCGTAGTTAATCCTATATAGGCGCACATAGACAACTCTCAGTTTTTCAACAACGTTGACATTTTTCTGATTGGACAAACACTCCGGGCATTCAAAACAAAGCGCCGGTGCTGTGATGGTATTGAAACTGATACCGTTGCTTTTGAAAGACACAGCCGATATACCTTATACCTTATCACCGCCCGGTCCTAGTGTCTGTGCATCTGTAATGTGTGTGTGTGTTATGTGTGTCCTGATATCTGTATGTATGTGTGTGCACATTATTGAAGTGTGTGTTTGGATGTGTTACATCACTAAGATGTGACTGGACTTGAGATCCAAATCTTGCTGACCTGCGATCTCCTCGATGGTGCTGGCTCTCATGTCGAGGAGCACGGTGCCATTCAGGATGCAGGAGCGGAGCTCAAACAGACTATGGAGAGACAGCGTGGCCACGTAGGGTTTACTCCACCGCTCTCCTCCATCTTCTACATCCTCCTCAAACTTCAGCCACCTGAGAAACGACAGAAACAGGTTCGACTAAACATCTTCATGTGCGTTAACACGTCCCTGGAGGCTCTCCTAACAGACCATTTCTGTTTTTGGATTAACTCAGACTAATCCAAACCACAGCTACACTCACAGGTGAGTCTTTCAGGTGTTACTGGGCCTACAAACATCAGGTCTGAATTACCTGGGTGTAAAGGTAAAGACAGAGTAAAGAGTAAACAGAGGATAATCCTGTTAAAAGAACGAGGGATCAGCTGTGGAAACAAAGTGAAGAGAGGTGGTGTTTTAACTCCGACTGCCTGTTATTCAGATCATCAGGATGGAGTTCACCTGAGTGTCAGGAAAGGGTTAAAGCCTCACCTGGCTGTCTCTTTCCACTCCTGGAAGTCTCCATCTCTGAAGGCCAGCTCGTCCAGCTCTGTGAAGAGGTCGTGAGGGATGTGCTCCTCGTCTACGTCCTCGGTCCCCAGGATGAACTGGACTCTCTGAGACGGCGTGTCTGTGACAAAAACACACATCAGAGAGAACATCTGTGAGTGTGTGTTAGTGTGTTAATGTGTGTGTGTGTCTGTACCCACCGTATGTCGGTGACTCTCGGCCGTCCTCTCTGTCCGAACGGTCCCGACGTTTCCGGTGATGTCGGTGTCCTCGGTGACGGTGCCGCCGTCGACTCTGTCGGCCCAGAGGGACATGAACGCCGACATAGACCGCTCGGTGACCTGAGGACAGAAAGTTCATCACTTTAACTCAAACTTTTCCTCGTCTGCTGAAAAAATGTCCAGAAATAACAGAAAATATCATCTGAAGGTTTTAATCTGAGGTTGAAAATCTGCTCTGTGTTTATTTATGAGTGATTCAGGATTTTTGTTCATTTAGACTTTTGGTGAAGTCGTTGTTCACTGCAGTTCTGCTGACTGTGAAGTTCTTTCACTGACTGTTTTATTTGTTTTGTATTCTTTTTATGAATGTTTTATTTTCGTCGTTTCGGTTTTTTTAATCTAAATTTGACATTAAATGTTTCAGACTGATTTTAAATCAGTGACCTGTCGATCAGACACTGAGACAAACCAGCTTTTCTTTTCAGACTGTCTTTTGTTTGAACTTTCTTATGTCTCAACTGTTTAATCATGTGTGGTAAAACTATATCAATAATCATCATTATTAACATTATTATTATTATTATTATAAGCATTATAATATAATAAACTCTGGTGGTTTATGTTTTGATACCTGAGCTCACTGAACACCTGAAAAGAAAAACAGGCTGAGTCATCTTTGCTACTTTCTGTTTGACTGTAAACAAGCTGTGTGTGTGTGTGTGTGTGTGTGTGTGTGTGTGTGTGTGTGTGTGTGTGTGTGTGTGTGTGTGTGTGTGTGTGTGTGTGTGTGTGTGTGTGTGTAAAGATCAGACTCACTCTCCAGTTCCTCTTTCTCAAAGTTGGTGTGGAGGGTGGAGCTGGTCTTCCCCTGATCGAGCACAGCCTCTTCATCGTTCCCCTGCAGGAAACACACACACACACACAACAGATGTTGAGTTGTTTTTCTATAGTTTCTGTTTCTCACTCTTCATTCATGGTTTTTTCTCGGTTAGTTGTTAGTTGTCGAACTGAGGGTGTGTGTGTGTGTGTGTGTGTGTGTGTGTGTGTGTGTGTGTGTGTGTGTGTGTGTGTGTGTGTGTGTGTGTGAAATAGGAAGTGCTGCTTCATGCTGGCTGGTTTTCACTCTGCTGTGAGTGTGAGCTAACAGCCTGCTGTGTGTTTGAACAGCAGCATGGGGACAGGAACACACACACATTTCTAACAACTATGATCACCTGCCCTCCTGTACTGAGACAGGTGGGCCTTGCCATTGATTGGTTCTCCTTATGTCAGCTGATTGCAGAAACAGCCTCTCATTGGTAGACAGACCAAAACAAAGATGACAGCCCTAATCCAGCACAGACAGCTAACAACAGAAGCCTCAATATTTTACTGAGTTATCCTAGAATAAACTAGAGACTCCACTTTTTATGAACTTTTATTACCTACAGTCTGTCTGCAGATGTCCAGTGTTACTGTTGTCATCGCCTTTGTTGTAAAACTTTGCTAATCAGTCCTGACAGCATCGTCTGTGTCTGTGCTCATTTACATTCAGGTAGTGGAGCATCACATCACTTAGTACGTTTACAGTCACAGTTTAATCGGACTAAGCTCATAATTCGTTTTTTTCACCATATCAGACTTCTCTCCTTGTCCGCGTATACATGCAGCTGAGAAAATCGAATTATTGACGTGAACGTGTCCTCCTCCCCAAAACTAGGGGGCGATATAGATCTTTTCAGCTGTGCTGTTTCCGACCCCATACAACCGTCAACAACAACAGCAGGTCTGTGACAGACGTCAGAAGTGTCTACAACTGCTGCTGGGCATTTTGGAGCAAGAAGATGGAGCATCGTACAGCGTTGTTTTTGTCCTACACAATGGACGCGCTACTTTTTCTGCAGATGAGATGCACGCTACTCCTCTTCTCTGGTGTTTTTGTTCCAGGGTTACGGGGGCGTGGCACACGCACACATGCATTGTCCGATCATACTCCGACTACGCTGGTTCGTCGGACTAAGGTGTTTACATGCACTTTAGTTGTCCGGTCTTAATAAGAATAAGGCGATAATTCAGTTTTCTCGAGTGTCATGGAAACGAACTGACAATGGCAGTAGACACTAACCTGAGCTATAGCTCTACCTAATGGAGGGTGTCTGTGTTACAGCCATAGACTGTATAAAGAATGGACAGAGTCTGCCTCCTTGCTGGGTGAAGCCACTCCGAGAACAGCACCCTCTATTAATGGGCTGCAGTATAGGTCATAAATCCTGCCTCCGCCAGCAAAGCTTATGGAGCTGTGGACAAACTTTAGAAATTAATGACACAGAATATAAATGTTTCCCCCCTGGTTGTGATGTTGACATGCAGTTATTGTCAGACTGGTTTGTGCTCAAGTCCTCTTTTTTTCTGTACAGCTCCATTTTTAAAAGTTATTAGAGGGTTCATGTTTTCTATGATTGACACCTGATACAGCCTATGGGCGTTCAGGCATTGCATAGCTCTCCCGGGGGATACGCTGTTTGAGCCTAGCATCATCACAGCGACTCTCGGCAACTGTGCGCCCGAATGCGCGCATCACTACTGCGCAGCGCTGGTTTCAGGAAATGAAGAAAAATCCCGGAAATACCAAGAGTTTTTTGGCTTCAAATCCGTATACAGGCGGTAGGCGGAACAAAGTTGTCCAGATCATATACAGGCTATGGTTACAGCTTAGAATGTCTGACTGTGAGCTTCATTCATGGGGTTATTTTAGAGTCAGGTGACCTCAGATTGACCCCTCACACCCTCCTACAGTCTGACCCAAAGTCTCACGGTTCTGCTGCATCTCTGACCTCAGTCCAGTCCAGGTCAGGTCAGGTCAGATTTGGATTTCACACTGTGGTAGACTCTCTACACACACACACACACACACACACACACACACAGACATCTTGTCATCACACAGTCTATCATGTCAACCAAACGCCACGCCCAGCGAGAGGAAGTGGGGAGAGGTGGTCTCTCTCTCTCTTTTTCCGCCTCACTTCCTCTCTAGTATTCGGTGACCATCATGTGAATCCTCCTGAACTAGATTCCCACCATCCTCCTCTCACTGTAGACCTGGGGCCTCATGTATCAACACTTGCGTGGAACTCATACCAGAAACGAGCGCACGCAAGGTCCGTCACGCTGAAAAAAATCCGTATGTATCAATGTGTGCGGGCGCCGAAATCCACGTGTGTTTCCTTGATAAATCCCAATCAGCGTGGAATTGAGCGCAGATGTCGGAGTGACTGGGCCCGTCCCCGTTACGCCCTCCTATAAATATGCAGATTTATTTAAATAGGGTCTCCCTGTCCTCGCACGCAGACAAAATGACAAGAAAAACTACATTTACGGCGTGCGAGGTGGAGGAGCTGGTGGCGGAGGTGGAGGAGCGACAGCGTGTTTTGTTTGGCAGCCTGTCCAGTGGCATCAGTGCAAAACAAAAACGCTTGGAGTGGGAGAAAGTTTGCGAGAGGGTGAATGCGGTGGGTTCCGAGACACGCACCCCCGCGGAGATTAAAAAAAAGTGGTCGGACCTCAAGGTGGAGGTCAAGCGGCGTACAGCTGCCCTCCGGAGGAGTACCGGCCAGACAGGTGGGGGTCCGGGGGAGGAGACCCTCACACCGTTTGAGCAGCGGGTGGTGGCGATTATTATTATAGGGTAAGTGGCGTGTCACACAAATGTCCACATGCTTTGTCATCCCACTGAGCAAAAGACGTATATTAGACGTCTAGTCTAAGTTTATACTTCATTTCAACGTCGGGATTCAGTCTATTTTTAGACGTGATTTATACTTCGCCCTTAACTTCATTTTTCGATAACTTTTTATGCAATAAACAACTGTAATGTGCATAACTGACCTCGAAATACTGGATTACATTATCTATGATACCGTGGAGAGAGATGTAAACGCAACAGATACACAGAAGCAGGAATTGAAATGAACTAATATTTTTATTGTGTCACAGAAATTAATGTGTCGGCCGTGTCGCCGGCTTGCGGAACCCTGGCCCGCGGCAGCCCGTCCGCCGGCTCGGAGTCGTCGGCCAGGACCAGCGGCATTCGGGCCACCCCGGCCCCCGGCCCCAGCACCAGCATCAGCACCAGCGCGCCGACAAGCGGTGGAGCGTCCACCAGCCGCGGCGCTTCCGCTGGACCACCCGGACGCAGTGGAAGGGTCCTCGCGGAGGGGGTCCTGCAATCGCAGGAAGAAATCATCAGGGGGATCGCGGCTGGACCGGCTCGTAAATGTCCTCGAGCGTCTGGTGGAGAAAATAAATTAATTTGGCTCATTGAACTGTGTATTCACTTCTTACCCATTCACACTGTGGCGATGAGATTCTCCCGCGCGAGGACGGCGGCCCGGCTCGCATCCCTCCGTCTGCTGCTGGTTCGTCATGTGGGGCGACGTGCTGCCCGGCCACGGGGATGTGGTGCACGCTTGTCACATAGTGAATCACCAAACACCGCCACACAGCGTCGCCAAAGTGCGAATCACAGTCAACGCAAATATCCAGCTCAACGCCAATTTCTACACCACCTCCTGACTTTGCGTTGATTAGCGCTGGAACCGACGCTCGTTTCGCGATGATAAATCTGGACATGTGCGCCGATTTTGGCGTACGCAAGGTTTTCTTGCGCCGCAAGCGTTGATACATGAGGCCCCAGGACTCTACAGGACCTCCATCATTATTCAGGGGCTCATCAGGAGAGGATCTCATGAACCAGGGTCAGGGTTAGACCGGGTCTTTAGTTTCCATCAGCAGCACTGAAACATGAGTCTTGATCAATATGTCTGCTCACACTCACAGACAGAAACAGCTGCCGCTTCAAAGGAAACCTCTGATCTGTCTGGAGCATAGACTGTATATAAGATGGACGCCGTGGTTCCGCCTTCCGCCTGTATACGGATTTGAAGCCAAACGGCTCTCGGTAATTCCGGGTTTTTCTCCGCTTCCTTGAAACCAGAGCTGTGCAGTAGCGTTGTGCGCATTCGGCCGCGCAGTCGCCGAGAGTCCCTGTGATGACGCTTGGCTCAAACAGCGTATTCCCCCGGAAGAGCTTCGGAATCCCTGAACGCCCATAGGCTGTACCAGGTGTCAATCATAGAAAACATGAACCCTCTAATAACTTTTAAAAACGGAGCTGTACAGAAAAAAGAGGACTTGGGCACAAACCAGTCTGACAGTAACTACATGTCAACATCACAACCAGGGGGGAGAAAAAATTATGTTCTGTGTAATAAATTTCTAAAGTTTGTCCACAGCTCCATAAGCTTTGCTGGCGGAGGCGGGATTTATGACCTGTACTGCAGCCCACCATCAGAGGGTGCTGTTCTCGGAGTGGCTTCACCCAGCGAGGAGGCAGGCTCTGTCCATCTTATATACAGTCTATGGTCTGGAGATCTTTCTGCTGATGCAGGATCAGGATCCTGTCAGGGTACAAGATGATTATGTGTGTTCATTTGCTCTGACCCTCCTCTCCTCAAACAAGCATGTGACGCCATACCGCACTCATGCTCCGGGTCAGAGGAGGATTCATCAACAGTTTTCGCTAAAAGTCGACTGAATCTCATTCCTCACAGCTGAAAAACTTTAGACACACTTCCTAAAGTTTTCTCTGACTGAAAGAGGATTCGCTTTGGGATGCAGAAATTACCTGCTGAGCCTCAAAACTGAAAATACTCCTTTCTAATTAAGTAACAGAAAGGAGAGACGAGAGTTAAAATGAAGGATGGAAAAAGAGCGACAGGCCCAGAGGACTAAAGCTGCGTTCAGACCAAACGCGACCTCGGCGACGTGAGCAACGACTCCCAATGCAAAGTCTATGGACAGCCGCGACCAAGTCGCGCATGGTCGCCGACGTCGCGTCGCACGAGGTCGCGACGCCCGAGGTCGCAGGACGCCAAGTCGCGTCGAGAGACTGTGTGTTTACCATCTTTGCAGAGCGCTGCCTAACTGTATTATAGAAATAAACCCTGAGAGCAGACTCATAACTAAAGCTGAAGATGAATTAAACTTATGGAGGTCTGAGGAACAGAACAGGAGTCAGGATTTTAGGAGGATGAAACCTCTGAATTATCCTGCCAATAAAAGAACTAACCCTTAATATCAGAAGAGAAACAGACATGAGAGCTCTGAATTATTTGATAAACTGGCCTGAATTAACTGTAGTAAACTTTCCTGATAACTCATCAATGAGTCACTCCTTCAGACTAATCTGCAGTAATATTATAAGTTTAATGAAATACATTAAAATATACTAAACTCTGAGATTAAATAACGATCATGTGAAAATTTATATCTAATGAATAAATTCACATGAATTCACAGAATTTAAATTGAAGTTTGAATCCTTTTTCTCTGAATGACTTTGTTATTTAGTTAAAGTCTGAAAACTTTTAAGTTTCTTCATTATCATAAACAAACTCCAGCACTCTGCCAACCTTGTGGAAAAGATTTTATTGGTGAAGTTTCTTTAGCAGACCTGAATTCAATTTCAAACCATTAACAGAGTGAAGATGCTCGGAAAATTTAAAACACTCAGAGTATTTGTACATTTCTGATTGAGTATTTTAGGAGTGTTTCTGAATGCTGTAAAAAGACTTTTATATTTCATGTCTGTACTTGTGCTCATCCTGAAATAATCACTATTTCTGTCACTAAGGTTGTCCACGGTGTCTTTTTATAACTTTAACACCAGTCTTTCTCTTGTAAAAGTACATGTGGGTTCACTTTGATCTGACACTCCGTTCTTTTCCTGTTTAACTCGTTTCCTCTCCTGTTTTATGAAGAACAACACGTCACTCATGCTCTGCATAAAAAAAGAAAGCCCTCTGTGTGCAAACATGACCACCAAACAATCTCTGACTTGTTTCCAGCTCTACCTGTGTGAGAGGAGAAGGCCACAAATTTTACATACCACACACACACACGTACAGACACAGCAGCACACACACACACACACACACACACACACACAGCAGATACGTACCAGCGACATGGCTCTGGCAACTCTCTGAGTGGCAATATCTCCCCAAAAGTCTCCCATTGCTGCTTTTCCCTGAACACTCAGATCTGAATCCTCAAAACCTCAGCAGGGGAAAGCGAGAGCGTCCAGGACCAGTGAAAAACCCCCAGGCACGGACCTCCTCGGAGTCTATAAATCCAGCAGCTGGGGCACAAACTGAGTGTTGACAACAGCGGCGTGTTGATCTATAAGTCATCCAAGTTCAGAGTGTAAATACAGCTGCAGAGACTCGGCAATGATTCGTGTATTTATAGCCGAGACAGCAGTGAGCTGCTTCAGTGAGCGAGCAGCAGGCATGAAGTCTGCAAACACAGCAAGAAAATAACACGCCATAAAGAGGGAGAGAGAGGGGGCGGGGCTTCGGGGGGGGGGGGGGGGGGGGTCCTGGGCAGGAAACTGAAGTGAGACAATCCTCAGACACTTCCTCAACACTGCAATCCACAACTCTAAACAACAATAATACACTACACAATACTCTTAAACCTCTAAGAATACTACACAATACGACACTCTCATTACTTGAACAATACTACACAATACTACACTCTTATTACTTCAACAATACTACACTCTCATTACTTTAACAATACTACACTCATATTACTTTAACAGTAGTACACTCTAATAACTCCAACAATGCAACATTCTAACAATACTAAACTCTCTCATTACCCTAACAATAGTACACCCCTATCACTTTAAAAACAATACTACACTCACATTACTCTAACAATGCTACACAATACTATACTCTCACATTACTCTGACAATACTACACTTCCTCATTACTCTAACAATACTACACTCCCTCATTACTCTAACAATACTACACTCTCTCATTACTCTAACAATACTACACACTCTCATTACTCTAACAATGCTACACACTCTCATTACTCTAACAATGCTACATTCTCTCATTACTCTAAAAATACTAAACTCCATCATTACTCTTACAATACTACATTCTTATCAATCTTACAATACTACACTCCCTCATTTCTCTAACAATACTACACGCCCTCATTACTTTAACAATACTTCCCTCTTTCACCTCTCTAACAATACAACACTCCCTCAGTACTCTAATAATACTACACTCTCTCATTACTCTAAAAATACTTCACTCTCTCATAACTCTAATAATACTACACTCCTATTAATCTAACAGTACTACACTCCCCAACTACCCTAACAATAGTACACCCCTATCACTTTAAAAACAGTTCTACACTCGCATTACTCTTACGAAAGTACACACTACGCTCTCTCATTACTCTAACAATACTACACTCTCTCATTACGCTAACATTACTACACTCCCTCATTACTTTAACATTACTACACTCCCTCATTACTCTAACAATACTACACTCTCATTACTCTAACAATACTAAACTCCCTCATTACTTGAACAATACTTCACTCGCTCATTACTCTAACAATACTACACTCTCATTACTTTAACAATACTACACTCTCTCATTACTCTAACAATACTACACTCTTATTTCTCTAACAATACTACACTCTTTCATTAATCTAACAATACTACAATCCCTCATTACACTAACAATACTACACTCTTATTAATCTAACAATACTACACTCTTTCATTAATCTAACAATACTACAATCCCTCATTACACTAACAATACTACACTCTTATTAATCTAACAATACTACACTCCCTCATTTCTCTAACAATAATACACTCCCTCATTACTCTAACAATGAAGGAGTGAGGGACTTACTCTTCTATTACTTTAACAATATTACACTCTTATTAATCTACTAATACTACACTCCCTTTACTTTAACAATACTACACTCTTATTACTGTAACAATACTGTGCTACTCTTTATCTCTCATAATACTGAAATACTGTGCGAGTTTATACAATAAGTTATAACAAGTCTTATATCGAGTCTCGAGTTGATACCCGCAAGTCCCAATTCAATTTACTGGATTAAAACCAAAGACAAGACCATCAACAAAGACTGTCAAGTTCATGACAAACAAACTGGATTCAAGTCCCAAAGAAAAACAAACAAGTCCTGAGAAGAGACACAAGACCAGACCAACAACAAGTACAGACAAATAAACCATGAGTCTGGACCGGCCCATTCTGAACCAAGTCTAGTTTTATGTCAAGATCACAGTTCTGAAAGTCCTGATGAACCAGACCCAAGTGTGGAGACCACTCTGAGTCCTGGTTCTGGTTCTGGGTTAGCCATTAAAATCAGAGGTAATGAAGTCTCAGGAACCTTTAACAAATTTTTCTGTGTGTGAAACTAGAGTTTGGACGCCTGCAGCTTTGTGTTTGCATCTGTAAACAATAAAAGGGTTTCCATGTTACAGCAACAATCGCTCTGTGGAAACCATCGCCCTCTCCCTCTCTCTGTCTCTCTCCCTCTCCCTCTCTCCAGTCTGCTCAGGAATTCTCATAAGAAACAGCAACAGGCTCCTACATGAGCAAAAAGCTCATACAGTCCATTAAAATACCATGACAGACAGGGTTTACATGTCCTCTTCAGTCACGGCACAAACAGCCTCTTACATCAACAGGGCCCAGACCGGGAACAGACACTGACCTCTGACCTGTGTCAGCTGATAATTGCTAATACTTCTCCTGTCATCTGATACTCAGACTTTCTGACTTCCTGTCTCCCTGAAAACATCTACTGGTGACAAATAATCCATCCGAGTTTCATCCTGCAGGAACTCCTCATCACTTCAGCACACATGATGACCATATAAAGATGTTTTTAAGACCATCCTCTGGGGGTGAAGAACACATTAAAAATAGGTTCTGAAGTGACCGTGGTCCAGTTTCAGCTCCTGAACCAAGAAGTGAAACACACCAAGTTCTCTTCTTTTTTGTAATATTGGATGCACCCATGTGCTACGTTTCTTTTTCTTTTGAGAAAGCAAAAGGAGTACCAATTAGGACTGATCGTGATCGATGATCGCGATAAATTTCAGTTCGATCACGGTGATCAGCTGTGAGCATATTTACTCGATCAAACATGGCGGAAACGTGCGTCACAACAGCCAATCAGAGTCGAGCTTTTCCTGCTCACTTCTGTAAGTTACTGGAAAAGTAAACAGGAGAAGTAAACAGAATGACCGAACATGAAGCTAAACGCGGAGCTGAGGGCAGCAAGATAGATGTCAGCCGTGACTTTGAGTCATCCTCCGAAGATGTTATAGTTGAGAAGTTATTCAACGTCTCTCCAAAGTGATGTCGAGCAATTAAGCCGATAAACCGGCAACATAACAAATCTGTTCTACCCAAGTGATTATGCGGGAAGCAGCGAGCGGAGTCTGTACAGCCTGCCACTGCTGACGGTGGGAGTAGCATTAGCAGTTTAGCCACAACTAGCGGTGCAGCCACAGACCAAAGCAGCGATCAATCATATCCATACCTGCCAACACTCCTGTTTATCCCGGGACTCTCCCCTATTTCAGACGTATCTCCCACCCACCCCAAGTATTGTCATTTCTCCCCGGAATTTCTCGTAGCATGGTCAGTATTCATTCATGAATCGGATCACTATATTTGTCCAAAGTTTCCAGGGGCCTTATTTATCAAAGGTGCGTAGAAAAGGTTCTAAATTCTGGCGTAGGAATGAAATTTAGAATGTGCGTAAGTACAAAAAAATCCATATTCATCAAACGTGCGGACACCGGTCGTACGCACACACGTAAGTAATCGGTGATGATAAATCCCACCTGTTCTTTACTACCGTGCTCATGCATGGTTAGGGTCATTTGCATTCATGAACGCCTCCAATTGACCATATATGGCATCAACAATCCCTTTAAAAATGCGTGTATGAATGTTTTTCCTCCTCCTGGAGGTGCACACTCACAGTGCTGTTCTGCAGAATGAATGAGTCGTGCCTTCCTCTAGGCCACCGGGCAACAACGTTTAACAGAAACAAATGTGCATCGCAGATTATTTGTGCATCGATTGAATGAAATCTTTTCCTGTTGACGAATCTGAATTTATTGTGTGAAGGTGCTTTTATTGCGATGTGGGTCCAATCTATGGCTCCAATTATGTTTGGGAATCCGGCGATGGCGTGAAATCCTCGTTTTATTTCGGCTTGTTGCTGATGTGTGTTTGGGAACTGGATGTAAATTGAGGCCAGAGAAATTATTACATCCAACTCTGCCGGCATGATTCTGTTTAACGTTGGCTGCGAAATATCGCATATGTCTCAAATCTCTCGCTGAAATGTTTGGGTTAGGGTGGACAGGAGCTGGGTGTGCGCTGGGATGGCTTTGGTGCGTTTTGTTTCTCGCTCTGACACAGGTAGTAAATCACGGCGTAAATCCATTAAAATGTTTTGGGGACGCGGTACCTGCTGAGAATCCACTCTGAGTTCTCACTGAACAGATCAGCACGCTCTTTGAAAACGCTGTGCTCCCTGTGGAGGAGCAGACGCTTCTCCAAGTCCTCCAATAGCGCAAAATAAACCGTGATACTTGTATTTGTACTTGTAAGACTTCTTTTGAGGTTGTCCTGTCACAGCAGATTTTTATAGCTTGTTTCACCAATCATTCAAAATGTCTGCTAAATTACTAATTGATAAATTTTGTATAGCGGCAACGGGAACATGTGTGAAGCTTGAGATTGCAGGACGCTGTGACTCCTTTAATGGGTTCTATTAGTAGTTTTACTGTCCTACCACTAGGTTTTGTGTGTACGCATGGTCAGAGTTGTGCTTAAATTTACGCACGTTCCTAAGCACAAGTACAGGTTGATAAATTCCAGACTCTGCGTGGGAATGTTCGTACGCACTCTTTACGCACACATCTGTGTGTACGCACGGTTGATAAATGAGGCCCCAGGTTTCCAGACGAACGGAGATAGTCCTGTGTTTCTGCTGAGCCACACAGACTGGATTGATACTTTTACTTTACAGTTTTGGATGATTCAGGTCGGTTTCAGCTGTAAATTATATTTAAACAGTGTTTGTTGGAAAATGAAAACTTCAATGAAAGGAAAACAAACGCGAGATATGCGAGAGTGATGCGTTCAGGGCAGGCTTGGATAAAAGAGTGCTGTATTTCATACACAGATGTTCAGAGAGCCTCATACGGGAGAGCATGTAGAACATATGAGGACTTTAACACTAATATAGTGGACTAAATAAGTTCAAGGAATGTCGTACCTTTTATCTTTTTTTTACCATTTGTTATTGTTAAAACAAAACCAAAGTGTGCAGCTTCACTTATACTTATTTGGATGAGCAATTTAATTACAAATACTCTGATAATTAGCTCATATCCACCATAGAGGTCACCCCAAAACTGCCCAGCGTGCGCCGCAAACAACTCCTGGATTTTATAACCAAAATGTTGGCAGGTATGCGTATCATCTATGTTTACATCACCTAATATTTACATTTTAAAGCACCTTCATTATCTCTGAGGGGGCAATTTGTTTATTTTGGGTCTTGCATACCTGCAAAAACACTCAGGACTGTAAACTAACTCTCTGTATTACTTAGTATTTATCTACATTTGTTGTACTGTTGAGTTAAAATGTTTTTTTATATTTTTGTAAGTGTATCTTATTCAATTTCCTTTGTTATTTACTTTGTATGTTAATAAAATGTTGAACTAATCTCTAGTTTTTTTAGTTTTTAGTACAGATGCTTTAAAACTGGCAGTTTAAAACAAAAATCGTGATCAGACGATATGACAAAATAAATCGTGATCATTTTTTTTGCCAAATCGCCCAGGCCTAGTACCAATTCACCATCACTTGAAGTTGAAGTAGACTACATTTTTTTCTTCTCGCTTCCACCCGAGACGCTGTAGAATGGTAAGGGTAGGTCCCGTCCCCCCTTCACCACCTGATTGGCTATAAGTGCTGACTTTGGCTTGAGCGTGTGATGACATTTCCAGCTTTTCTAGCCAATCAGAGGCAAAGGAGGCGGGACTTTCCCCAGGAAAAGTCTTCCCCAGGATGCGTCTTTTTCCCCTGGAAAGTCGCAAAATTGCATCGGGCTTGATGTGTATAGTCGGTCACAACAAAATCCGCCTACCAATATTTCCTAATTTCAAGTTCTATATTTGCGTCTGCCCCTGTGTGTAAGGACCTTGATGCAGAAGAACTACCGCGTCTGCAGTGCAAAATGGTTAATATGGTGATTATTACTTCAAGGAAATGATCAAGAAATGATCATAAATGTTCTTCCTTGAGTTGCTTCACCCTGCTGTAGTCCGTAATGGACTGGCCTGAGGTCTCACTACAAACCAGCGTCTGCTGGAAGAGAGTAGGTGAGTTGTGTTTAGTCTCTTTGCTAAAGAAATTAGTCAAAGTTAAAAAGATGTTTGGTGGCCAGTAATATGGCTGGGACCCTATATGTACTGTTGATGAAGCTAGGTGCTGTTCTGAGCATTATTTGTGGCTATAGAGTGGTGTTTTGGTTGAGGTTTGTTTATGGCTCCTCAGACCGCTGTGAATTGCTATCCTGCTGTCGTTACTAAAGTTGATATAACTAGAGAAGTAAACGGTCGGCAACATTCATCTCTGGAGGGGGTGTCTAACTCTGTGTTACGGTGTGTTTGACCCTAAATTAATTTCCTGCTGGAATATCCCTTTAATACCACAGCCTCGTTTTCTCTGTAAAGTTTCATGACCCGTTTGTCTGTAGTTTACAAAACACACATTTATCATTATTATTGTGTGCATGGATCAATATAACATCATTAACTTACAGATAGGTTGGTCTTAAAAAACTAAAAGAAGGCTTCATTATATGGAGATAATAAATCAGACTGTTGTTATTCTCACTAAAACTTTAACACTGCAGATGTTTGGAGGAGCTGAAGAGGTGTGGAGTACGTCTAAACACCGCGTGACCTCCTAATGATGGTCCCTGACAGAGTTTGTGAGTGTCGTCTCCATAAACACAGAAAAGCACCGAGCTGAACTGAACCGACCCGATCTTCACATTTAAACAGGAGGACATCTGATACCAGGATCAGAGCACGCTCAGTACAGAGGGGGGAGTTTGGACCTTTAATGAGGAGAGCTGACATCTATCCAGACTAAAACACAACCTCTTCTTTAAGTTTACAGAGTTTGAACTCTCCAATAAGCTTATTTTTAAAACAGGTAATAAAAATCCAAAACTAGGCTAACATGAAGTCCACTGAACTGAAACACAGAATACTAAATGATAGACTGCAGAGAGAGCTGTGTTTATAATGGACTGATCCAGAATACATCCAGCATGGATCCATCAGTGTTAGTCTGCAGCACCAGTCTTTGTTTCTACATGAATGATGTGAATCAGATGGGGAGCCAGAGCAGACCTCCTCCTTCCTGCTAAAAAAACAGGCCAACCTCCAAAAAGGAGGAAACGCTCTGTTCTGTACTCAGAGTCTGAAAACACAGAAACTGGAGGACAAACAAGAAAGAAAAGAAAAGAAAAGAAAGAACAAAAGAAGTGAACAAGAAAGAAAGAGAGAAAACAGAAGAAACGAGGAGGGGAGGAGGAGGAGACAAACGAAAAAAAGGAAAAAACAAAGTAAGAAAAAAGGGAAAACAGATGGTTAAAAAAAAAGGAAATTAGGGGAAAACAGAAAAAACAAAGAAGGAAGGAAAAAAACAGAATAAAACAGAGAAGGAAGGATAAAAGGAGGGAGCAGAGAAGGAAAAAAAAGTATTATCAGTATTACTTATAATTCATATAATTTATAAATACTCATGACTCTGTACTCTGTATCAGACAACAGCGGTGAAGGATCATGGGATACATCATGACGGCTGCAGGCAAATACATCCACATGACACACAACACACCACCTCTGACACACACACTTAGACACACACACACACACACACACACACAGGTCTAAAAGGATGTAGATCTGAGTGTTTAGATGTTTCATGTTTCGGCCCAATCCCAAACCGCCACCTACACACTCGCCCTCCGTTTGTGCGTCCCCGTGGAGGCTCGGCCATATTGAAGGCCGTCCCAAACCACAGAGTGTGGAGGGGGAGTGGACCGTTCAGCCCTCAAATAGCAAGTCTTCACCGGTGCAGAGTCACGACTCCTGTCACTGTAATGGTTACTGGATTGAAGATTTTACTAGGAGGATGAAAAAACAAGGTAGCCGGTGCGGCTCAGAACTGAACATGATGCCCATTTACTAAGAAAAGAAATGCCGCCATGCACAGGACGCGTCTTTGTATTGCTATGGCGATGAATTTTTCCATTTTCCAGTGGAGTGAGGAATGCGTCCCATACCCGCCCCACTTGTTTATACCCTCCCATTTCAATTGAGGCGCACTCCACAGCTGCGAGTGTAACTTCATTACGAGTTACACTCAGTAGTGAAGGGCGAGTTTGTAGGGGGTGGGTTTGGATTGGACCTTCTTCTCTCAGGCTGAAAGGTAAAACCTGTTCTGAGCAAAGCCTTCTGGGAGATGGTGTTTGTGAGTGGGTCCTGGTTCAAAAGCAGCCCTGTATTTAAAAAAGTTCTTCTCTGATCATAGAGAAGGACACAGAGCATTTGAGATTTTTAAATCTTTTTTTGTTTTACCGATTATTTTCACCCACACATGAAAAGTCTAAACACAGCGCCTCCTGCTGGTGTGGTTGTATGGAACATCCAGACCAGGGTCAGATGAAGTTTGCAGCTTTTTAAACCTAAACCCTTTTATTTGTCTAAAGATCATTTTGAATAATAAAAACAACACTCTTCTTTCTGCTCAGATTTCCGTTCTCCCTGGTTTCTCGTTTCCTCTCTGTCAGCTCTCCTGATTTCCCCGTTTTGCTCTTTGTGCTCGGCCTCCTCAGCTCCTTATCTCAGCTGCTCAAATTTACATGGCTCTGTATGAACCCCTGATCCTGGAGCAGAGGATGTGGTCTAAAATTGACTCTTTTTTTAAACCTGATTCTGCACAGAAACTGTTTGAATATACTGATACTGAAAATACCTGAAAGAACCTGCAGACCACATGAGACCGGCTGCTCAAACACACACGCACACGGAGAGGAAACTGCTCCGACACAATATCAACATGTCTGATAACATCACCATCAAACTATGAGGCTGCAGGGGGACCAGGTTCAACTTAGTCTAGAAAGATTCAGAAAGTCCGAGCTTAAAAACCACCTCCAGATTTCTCAGCACAATAGCGTCAAGGATGTGGTTTTAGCTGAACCCCAACCCTGTACACTTTGTAGTCCAGTCATACAGACCCTGTAGATCCAGTCCTCTTCTCCCTGCAGACAGGTTTCCATCCTGACATGATCTAACAGCCCACCTGAGGACGGGTCTGCTGACGTCAACACCAGGCACCTTGGACGACTCCACAACACCGAGCTGAGCGCACTCAAACTGTCATTTAACGCTGCAGACGTCCGGATTTCTGTTTGTTTCAGATCCTGCACCTTTGAGACCACCTGTCAATCAAGCTCTGAGGGCGGGGTCAGACGGCTCCATGAGTTAATGCAGACATCCAGGACATTTCACCGGTGGTCTGAAGAAGAGCACTGGATCTTCAGCTGGTTACGACACAGGCTGAACTTTAAACTGAGACCCCCGTCACAAAAAGTAATTATCAGTTTCAATATTTTAGATCATGATTGTTTGAACTCCTGGAACAGCTGCAAAAGACATTCTGAGAATGATGGCCTCAACTCCACAATAATGGAGCGTCAAGCAGTTAGCCATTAACATTAACAACAACTAGGGCTGGGCAACATGGGAAAAAGTTTCAGTCGATATCGATATTTATCACGTTATAAAAAATGAAATTTAACAGTGTTTATTGGTTGCATGTCTTTTCCAATACAATAATCTACTGCACCTGTTAGGTCTTTGTGTCTCTTTGACGTTTTGTCGTAAGGTGTTGCTCTAAAGAAAGCGGACTGAATGGTCGTCTGTTTCGGCTGCACAGGCGCCATGGGCTCCTTGCTCCTCTCAGGGTTTGCAACCTTTTGCGTTGCGCGTGCTCTGTGGCGTGGCGCTGCTTCAGGTGGTGAAAAAGATTTGAGGTATTCCCAGATTTTGTGAGAACATGTACTCGACATAATTTACAGTCCACATTACTCTGCTTCATGTCCGAACCTCAAAAAACCAAAATACCTCCACACCACAAACATTTTTGTAACGCCAGTGTTGTCGACGATGTCATCATCTGTTGAGCCTTCATCACCATTTCTGTCGGGGGTAGCACTTAGGGATGTAACGATTACCGCAAAATGATAAACCGCGGTAAAAAGTCTGATGGTGAGTACTACTGTTTCAAATTTTAATAACCGTTAAAACTGTGTTTGATTGCCACACTATGGAGAAGCTCACAGACTGCTTAGTGCTGAGAGGAGCAGCCGCACACAGCATTCTTTCGGACACAGGCGTACCACGCGCATGAGCATTGCGCAGTATATAACTCGTAAACATGGCAGAGGGCAGTCCTGCGGGAAGTTCTGCCGACCGTTTTGCAGAAGTTTTTTCCGCTGTCAAAGTAAAACAAAGTCCGAAGTCTGGGCGTATTTCAGCTTCTACAAAGGGTCGCGAGGGTTGTCAGGAAGCTTTTGTGCATCCCAGCAACCAGTGTGTCACCCGAGAGGCTATTCAGTGCCAGCGGGCACATTGTTTCTCCTCACAGATCACAACTCAAACCAGGAAAGTAAATATGCTGACATTTTTACATTTCAATCTCAAGTAGTGAACAAAGTCAGCAGCAGCACCTTATGGTGGAGAAAACGGACAACATTATTTTAAACACCTGAACTACACATTTGTTTACATGTGGCTGTATTGTTTCATAAAGTCGTGTTGTTCCATTTTATATTTGTAAGGGCAGATCTTTTTGAGCACTGAAGAGTCTTACAATTTGCACAACAAGGAATGTCATTTTATTTAAATTTGATTTATTTGTTATTATGTTAATGTTTATGCCACTGGCAAATTACTTTGTACTTTGTTTTTACTAGTGTTGATGACCTCTGGCTTAGATTTTCCTCCCTCTAAAGTCCCTCGTGGCTGTTAAAAGCCACTTTTTCTGTCGGCTGTAAAATCATATTGGATTAATAGTTTTTTCTGATTTTTTTTCCAAATTTCTTATTTTACTTCTGCCGTGTTCGAAACTAGCAAATGTTTCATTGAAAACAATTTTTTTAACCCTTTAAGTGCCAATTTAAGACAAAAAGTCACAAATTTAGCAAAAATTGAAGGAAAATGACCCATTTTTTTATAAGACATGATCAGAAACTGGTAATCTTTTGCAGGGTATTAAAGTCTTGAATATGTCAGAGATAAGTAATATAATTTACTTATATGCATTTTCTGTTTTTCTGTAGCATCAGATTTAATGAAAAACTGCCTTTGGCGCCTCCCAGTGGCCAAAACTACTATTTCTGCTGTAAAATCATATTGGATTAATATTTTTTTCAGATTTTTTTTTATACATTTCTTATTTTACTTCTGGCCTGTTAAAAACTAGCAAATGTTTCATTGAAAATAAAAAATTTAACCCTTTAAGGGCCAATTTAAGACATAAAGTCACTTAAAAAGCAAAAAAATGGAAGGAAAATGAAGGAAAATGACCCATTTTTTAAATAAAACATGATCAAAAACTGGTAATCTCTTGCAGGCTATTAAAGTCTTGAATATGTCAGAGATTAGTAATATAATTTACTTATATGCATTTTCAGTTTTTCTGTAGCATCAGATTTAATGAAAAACTGCTTTTGGCGCCTCCGAGTGGCCAAAGCTACTTTGTCTGCTGTAAAATCATATTGGATGAATATTTTTTTCAGATTTTTTTTCATACATTTCTTATTTTAAGTGACTTTATGTCTTAAATTGGCCCTTAAAGGGTTAAAATTTTTATTTTCAATGAAACATTTGCTAGTTTTGAACAGGGCAGAAGTAAAATAAGAAATGTATGAAAAGAAATCTGAAAAAAATATTCATCCAATATGATTTTACAGCAGACAAAGTAGTTTTGGCCACTGGGAGGCACCAAAGGCAGTTTTTCATTAAATCTGATGCTACAGAAAAACTGAAAATGCATATAAGTAAATTATATTACTAATCTCTGACATATTCAAGACTTTAATACCCTGCAAGAGATCACCAGTTTCTGATCATGTTTTATTAAAAAAATGGGTCATTTTCCTTCAATTTTTGCTAAATTTGTGACTTTTTGTCTTAAATTGGCACTTAAAGGGTTAAAAAAATTGTTTTTAATGAAACATTTGCTAGTTTCGAACAGGGCAGAAGTAAAATAGGAGATTTGTGAAAAAAAATCAGAAAAAAATATTAATCCAATATGATTTTACAGCCGACAAAACAAGTGGCTTTCAACAGCCACGAGGGACTTTAAAGGGAGTTTTCCTGTCCTGGCTTTATTATTGACCTGGTGAAAATTTTGAATTCATGTTTTCAAATAAAATGTCAAATTAAGCTTAGAAAAAAAAATTTTCTGCAGTAAAAAAAAAAGTTATATCCAAATTAGTCTCTAGTTTTATCATAAATTGGCTGTTAAAAGCCCGAAGGTTCCGGAAGGGTTAAGGCCCCTTCTTCAATTTTTTAAGCTTATTGTTCCTCTGTTATTTAAGGTTAAGGAAAAGTTCATTCTGCGTGTTATTTTGATTGTTTTTTTCAAAATAAAACTTTGTTCAATGATTTCAGGGCATGTATAAGTACTATTTAAACATTCTGAACTAGGGATGTGCGCGGTTATTTGGATATTCGTGTAAACTGGGCTGTCCTTACTATCTGTTTAGTAAATAATATTCGTTTATTCTATAAAAAAAAGAAAAGGGGAAAAAAAAGCAAAAAAAAAGCTTTTTTTTTTAATTACGTTTTTACCGTCCTGTCTTAATAAAAGTGTGCATTAAACAAGCTAAAATGTGTGGATCATTTGCGTGCGACTCTTTCTGCCTGGCTCGCTGCTCTGGGCTCGCAGCGCTGGCCTGCAGCATGCATGGCATCGTGGGTTAACTTCCTCAGAGTGAATCAACACATGCGATCAGCCAGAGCGATGTCAGTGAGAAAAAAGAGCAAAGTTTAAGTCTAGTGTAGAAAATAAACGTTGTTGAACATGATGTTGTCTGACTCTGAAGACTCTTCATTTTGTGCTTATGGTGTGAGGCAGGCCGATGACGCAGCAGGCTGCTTGGCTTGGGCACAGCGGGGCGGGGCTTAACTGCTTTGATGTTTCACGTACTTTATGTCATTCTCCAGTGCTTAAATAAGATTCTGTAACATATTTTAATATTATAAGCATAGCTTTCATGTACTTTTATTATTTATTTCAGGTGATATATCTGGCCATATAGATCGACATGTGCTCAATTTGGGCTATTTTCTGGGAGTGAATTAATTTTTGTGTATTCGAATATTCGGTTTCAAAATGGTCGTTTAAACTTGAGTGAAGTTAAGCACTGGGAACATCCCCATTTTGAACATATTTCAACAATACCGTGATAATATTTATAACTCTGATCATTTTGGTCACAATAATCGTGGAGTTAAATTTTCATATCGTTACATCCATAGGAGCACTCATTTTCTTTGTTTCTCACCAACAGTGCTGTTGGCTTCACCTGTTAAAGTGCTATGGTTGGGTGTAGCTGCTGTCTCCTACGACGCAGTTGTTTTATACTTGGTTCTAATTCAGCACATGATTGGTTCAGAGTGAAGCGGTCCTGGAGCAACTCCCCTTTACATTGGCTAATTGTATAGTCTACCAAAACATGGCAGAATGCCGACTACTGAAAAGCATATTGACCATGTTTTATATTGATATTGAGGGAAATTAATTTTGGATACATATCTTTATCGTTTTATCGCCCAGCCCTTATAACAACCAAACGAGACTTCCTGTTCCAGGCGCCACATTGTTGAGAGTCCAATCAGTGACCAAGAGTGAAGGAGTGAGGTTATATCAGCGAAAAAATTAGGGATGGACCGAATGGGAAAATCTTGGCCGAAACCGAATACCAAATATAAGAAACACTTGGCCGAATAACCGAATACCGAATAGCCGAATATGATTAATAAATATGTATATAAATTATGAATTTTTTATCACCAAGCAATTTTTGTACAATTGCTGTCATTGCCGTACATTTGTTTTAAAGCTACCTGATTATGGCAAAACCTGGCAAACTTAAATATTAATCACTTTATGTTTGAACCAAGAAACATTTATTCAGCTTCAGCACATGACATAACAATGCTATAACAACAACATTCAATAAAATAAAATTAAGTAAATAACATCTTTGCAATTACAATACAAAAAAAGTGCAATTTTCCCTGTAGGATAGCCTAAAGTAAATAAAATAAATAAAATTAAATGCACATACGCAAAATAAATAAAATAAATGCAGGTACGTGCATGCATATACATCACATATGTCAGAGTCAAGGCCCGCGGGCCACATCCGGCCCGCGAGAAGGTTTTTTACGGCCCCTGGGATGATCTTGATTTATTATTAGAACCGGCCCGCAGACCGCAGCAAGCCGGCAGCCCGCAGATCTTTTACACGCACCAATACTACATTTCCCACAATGCAACGGTGACGCACCGAGCAGTAGGCTGCTTCATTTCAATATTTATTAGCACAGCAGTCGTCAGCATAACAGTAAAATTAACTTTCAGATACCCATCAAAAATGGCAAAACGGAAGATGGACACCGAGAACCGGGGGTTTCAAACAAGGTGGGAGTCGGAGTATATGTTCACGGACCTGTGTGTCTTCTGTGTGGAGAAAGTGTGGCGGTACTGAAAGAGTATAATCTGAGACGACATTATGAAACGAAACACGCGGACAAAAACAAAGCAAAAACAAATGAATTATACCGGTTTCTTTCATTTAATGTTCATGTTATGGGGATTTTTATATAAAGGAAATTTGTCTTTTGTGTCTGTTGAAAATTAAAGATTACTGACAGAGCCATAAGAAAATATTGCTTTATTTATCTGATCATATTGGAATATATTTGTTAGGTTTTCAGTAGGTTCAATTAGGTTCACTAGACTATATGCGTCATTTAAAAAATTTTCAATGAACATTCGATCAGTCCGGCCCTCGGCTTGTAGCTAAATTTTTTATTTGGCCCTCCGTCCATTTGACTTTGACACCCCTGATATACATGATTGTGCAACAGTAAACACAAATCCAGGCCTGAGGCCTTCAACAATAAATGCACTTACATGCATGCACATACGATTGTGCAAACTTTTGTGCAGTGAGTTTCTTAAACTCGTCATGTTTGTCCTTATGTTTAGCGCTCAAGTGGTTGATTAGCCCCGATGTACTGAAAGTTTTTGCCGTCACACCACCTCGAGACACTTCAGCAGAGCACAGTTTACAAATTGCCATCAGACCATCTTTCTCTGATATGTCGAAGTATTTCCAAACCGCAGACATGCCGGTTGAACGGCTTCGAGCTAAGACAGCTGCACGTATCGTGTGCGTCGTATCAGCATGCAGGTGTTGTGCCGTAGAATGCACCCCCTGCTGTAGAATGCACCCCCGACGGGAGCGCGGTTGAAAGTACTTAACAAGGCGAAAATAATCCAAATAATCCAAGTTTTCCTTACCATTGGATGAATTCAAAAGCGTGTGCCTTTAATAATTTCACTCAGGCTATTCAGATAAGCCAAAAAAATAGCCCTCTGATTGAGAATATTTGCTGTCACGAAAATATAATGTATGCCGGCTTGACAGTTTACTGTACAGTTTATATACCCAAGCACACCTCCGTACGTGCATTTTTGAGACAGATAAAATCAGAACGAAAGTTGTAACGATCAAATAGTCGTGTTTTTTTTTTAAATATGAGATCATTTTCTTCCACTTTAAGAAGCTAACGAGTGGATGGGAGGCAGGGGGTGCATTCTACGGCGGGGGTGCTTTCTACGGCACAACACCGGCTTGCCTCTTGTCGCGTTCCGATTACGTCATCAACATGCTACTAAAACAGGGAAAACAGCGCCGTCTGCGTTTTCCGTTTTTGAGAGTTCATACTAGACCCATGTTTATCCACACTATTCGGTGATTTTTTTTCGGCCATAACATCTATTCGGCCGAAAACCGAAAATTCATTTTTGATGCTTTTCGGCCGAATATTTTCGGCGCCGAATATTCGGACCCATCCCTAGAAAAAATGCTTCTATTCATCAAGGCTCAGTTACACAGAGGCTTCATTCCCACCTGACGAAGACCAAAGACGCCTTCTGAAGTCTGCTGAAATAACTTCCCATTTTGTTTTTTTTTCAGGGACCGTTAACGTTCATTAACATCATGATGCCTAGGCCTGGACGATATAGAAAAAAAGCATATCGATAAAAAATAAATCATATTGATCGATATCGATAATTATCGATATAATTATTATAATTATTTAACATATATTTTAATTGCAGCCCTGGATGTTTTATGCTATTGCTTAATGACCTACTTTTAATAAAGAACACACAAGCACTGAATTCAAATTCAAACCTTTATTTAACCACCTTTTTTATTTTACCACAACTGAAAGTTTTTTAAAAAAGAACTAAAAAAAAAAAGGAATCAACTTAAGTGGCCTGAGTGACGTCAGTAAATACTGACAAACATAAAGACTAAAGTGACCAGAAAATCTGATAAATAAATATTTAAATAGTGTTTTGATGAAAATAAACAAAACAAACAAATATATATATAAACAGAATAGCTTTAGGTGGGAATAGCATACTACCAGTTTTAACTGTGTGGGAAACTGCCCACAGCCTGGTGTCTGAACACTGAAATATTTCTCCCGGGGTCGGGAGATTTATTTTTTTTAATTATCATGTGATTGACTTAATTCACAAACTAAGCACGAGAAGCAGGACTTATCCACGCCGGTGTTGTGTCGTAGAATGCACCCCTGCCGAATGCACCCCCTGCTAGTAGCCATGATCCAAATACTCGCGTCTTTGTAAAATATGAGCTCATTTTCTTCCACTTTAAGAAGCTAATGAGTGGACGGGAACGTATTTCCTCCGCACCCTTCTCACCTTTTCAACCCCTGACCCATTTTCATGCCTGAAGCGCTGTGTTTGAGAAATACTTGCGGCCGGGCACTTCATATCGCGGGTCGAGAGTGGCTAGAAGCTGGTCGAAGCCAGGCTTTTCAACGGTAGTTATTGGCAGTATGTCCCTCGCTATGGAGCATGTTACTGCATGGGTGATGTCCTTATGCCGCTCGGACGCTTTGTCGTATTTTGGCAAGAAACAAAGTCCAGTATGGTCTGCTTCACATGCTTTGTGCTGGTGCTGGCAGCGGTTCCAGAGGATTCCTCCGACGATGACGTGGAGCCGCGGCGCGGCCGACACAGCTCGTACTCCTGCGGGTGCGATCGGTTTAGATGGTAAAACAAGTTGGTTGTGTTACCAGACTTCGTTTTTACTAATTCTCTGCAAATTTTGCAAACGACCGCTGGTCGCTTTTTGTCAGACTTCTAAAAACCAAAACATTGCCATGCTGGTGAACTACTGAAACCTTTTTTCGGGACAATGTCCTCTGCTTCTCCTTGCTGTATCATTTTTTCTAATACACGTGCTGTCTGTTGTGGTTTGATAGGGGCTGGGCTTGGTGCCGTAGCGTACCTGGGTCTGCGTTTGTGATTGGTTGGGAGGAAGTAATGACTGTAGTAAAAGCTACATGATAGGCTATGATGAAAAAGAAAGGGAAACTGTTTTCTATCGAACTTTTTATCGACCCGTTTTTTTTCTATCGCACCACACGTCTATCGATCGATATATATTGTTATCGAATTATCGTCCAGCACTAATGATGCCGATTAGTCAAGGATCAAGAGTCAAGCTCTGTCAGATCATCGTGGTGGACTGTGTTGTTCTGCATGTTTTTGCTCTCCATACAGACTGGTCATCATGCAGACTGGACACTAAACTAATCGACTGTTTGTTTCAGCTAAAATAACGAGCGTCTTGTAGCTCGTTCTGCTGTGCGTTGGTGTGATGAAGAGACATTTACTTTCACCGTTAGTCTTTCTTATGTTTAGAATATTTAATATCTATCTGATGTGTCAGCGTTGATAAAAAACCGTGACCACGTCGTAGATCACCTGCAGCAGCCATGTTTGACCTCCCACTGCTGCTCGGCATCAAAGGATCTCATAAATGTTGTTTTATTGTCGAGCTGAAACCTTCACAGAGCGGACATTTCCGCCTCCATCCACACCGAACAATAACCTGCTGCCTGTGAGCTGCCGCGCCGCTTCACACGGTCACATTGTTCACAGCCGAGCACGGGTGAAAAGCTTCACCTCAGTTTCCATGGAGCGTCTACAGACAGGAAGGCAGCGTCAGATTAAATGTGAGCGGTGTT